ATGGAGATGGTTGTATCACCATGACACTGAACTGTCACATTGGAAGTGGCATCATGGAGATGGTTGTATCACCATGACTTTGAACTGTCACATTGGATGTGGCATCATGAATATGGTTGTATCACCATGACACTGAACTGTCACATTGGAAGTGGCATCATGGAGATGGTTATATCACCATGACTTTGAACTGTCACATTGGAAGTGGCATCATGGAGATGGTTGTATCACCATGACACTGAACTGTCACATTGGATGTGGCATCATGAATATGGTTGTATCACCATGACTTTGAACTGTCACATTGGAAGTGGCATCATGGAGATAGTTGTATCACCATGACACTGAACTGTCACATTGGAAGTGGCATCATGGAGATGGTTATATCACCATGACTTTGAACTGTCACATTGGAAGTGGCATCATGGAGATGGTTGTATCACCATGACACTGAACTGTCACATTGGAAGTGGCATCATGGAGATGGTTATATCACCATGACTTTGAACTGTCACATTGGAAGTGGCATCATGGAGATGGTTGTATCACCATGACACTGAACTGTCACATTGGATGTGGCATCATGAATATGGTTGTATCACCATGACACTGAACTGTCACATTAGAGGATTGTGGTATGATTTATTATACCTCCCAAGCTATTTGACCATGGTATGATGTCTGGCATGGGTGTAATCACAAATAATATTTGTGGGACTGTTTGATACCCGGGGACTGAGAGTTATAATCATTATGACGTTATATCTATTGTTAAATAATCTCACTCCTATATATGGATTAAAAGATCAGTTAGAGTTAGGATAAATTGCCATTGAGATGGTAAATAGTGCTATAAATCCTAATCTACCTAAAACATTTAGTAAGCAAACAGTAAAAGCAGGTGTACATGTGTTATGATATACCAAGGATGTCATTAAACATAGACAACAAAGAGCCATTAAGGCTATGATTTAGCTCAACCATTAGTTATGATAAAATCTGCATTAAAGTTGCAAGTTAAATAATTTGTTAATTTAAGTTTGGATCAGTCTTGTGATATACCAACCTAACAACAAAATCTTTGATACTTCTTATGACATCACCACGTCTAAATGAACATTGTTGGAGTTAGAAATGTGTAAGTGTAGGCATGATATCTGAAACAATGATAGAGATTAACAATATAAGATATGTACATATATATTTAAACATAGACAAATTACCAGAGTAATTAATTCTAACCTTGTGACCCACTGCAAGAAAACATTGAAAAGTTAGTTATCAGGGACAAATTGTGAGGCTTGGAAAGACAAGTGACACAATGATAGTGTGGAGCTCTGTTGTGTAAATTGTTATTGGAGATGAAGTGACAGTGTGGGGCTCTATTCTGTAAATTGTTATTAGAGATTAAGTGATTTTGTGGGGCTCTATTCTGTAAATTGTTATTGGAGATGAATTGATAATGTGGAGCTCTATACTTTAAATTGTTATCTTACTCAATTTCATAGATTGGGTAGGTGACACTGGTGCTATACAAATCTTTGAGTTGTGTTCAACAAAATACACAATAGAAAGGAATATTTGACAAGGTGGAGCTGACAGCTAGTCAATAGAATCAGGTGTTGTTGTGGCATTTGTATAAAGAAATACTTTAATATTGTAAAGGCCTGTTAGTTTTTTATTGTTACCTGTGATATATCAGTGTTAGTTAAACTTTCCTACCCACCAGACTTTGGAATGTATACCCCATGGTCACTATTACTAGAGGAGATTTTATTATATACAGAAATAAATGTTACGGCTATTCCAACACCATGGTTAACTTTTTCAGCTTTAAAATGTTGTTAATCACCATTTCTCCCATATCTCCAACAGTTATGATGTATAATAAGAAATTCATTTATTACGTATATTAATACTTAAACCTTGTTTACTCCTCTTCAACATAGCAGAGAAGTAATGTGCATTAAATTGCATAGAATATTTCATTGGTAGATCAGACACATGGCACAATAATGGAAGATTTGATTTGTAGATCAGACACATGGCACAATAATAGAAGATTTGATTGGTAAATCAGACACATGGCACAATAATAGAAGATTTCATTGGTAGATCAGACACATAGCACAATAATGGAAGATTTGATTTGAAGATCAGACACATGGCACAATAATAGAAGATTTGATTGGTAAATCAGACACAAGGCAAAATAATAGAAGATTTCATTGGTAAATCAGACACATGGCACAATAATAGATGATTTGATTGGTAAATCAGACACATGGCACAATAATGGAAGATTTGATTGGTAAATCAGACACATGGCACAATAATAGAAGATTTGATTGGTAAATCAGACACATGGCACAATAATAGAAGATTTGATTGGTAGATCAGACACATGGCACAATAATAGAAGATTTGATTGGTAGATCATCAGACACATGGCACAATAATAGAAGATTTGATTGGTAAATCAGACACATGGCACAATAATGGAAGATTTCATCGGTAGATCAGACACATGGCACAATAATGGAAGATTTGATTGGTAAATCAGACACATGGCAAAATAATAGAAGATTTCATTGGTAAATCAGACACATGGCACAATAATGGAAGATTTGATTTGTAGATCAGACACATGGCACAATAATAGAAGATTTGATTGGTAAATCAGACACATGGCACAATAATGGAAGATTTCATCGGTAGATCAGACACATGGCACAATAATGGAAGATTTGATTGGTAAATCAGACACATGGCACAATAATGGAAGATTTGATTGGTAGATCAGACCCATGGCACAACAATAGAAGATTTGATTGGTAAATCAGACACATGGCACAATAATAGAAGATTTCATTGGTAGATCAGACACATGGCACAATAATGGAAGATTTGATTGGTAAATCAGACACATGGCACAATAATGGAAGATTTGATTTGTAGATCAGACACATGGCACAATAATAGAAGATTTGATTGGTAGATCATCAGACACATGGCACAATAATAGAATATTTGATCAGTAGATCAGACATTAGGCACAATAATGGAAGATTTGATCAGTAGATCAGACATTAGGCACAATATTGCCAATGTTACAGGTATCTATTTACTTAGAATTTACTAAAGCACACGTCTGCTATGCGGTGATTGCATTCTTTCTTGAAAAAAAAAATTCTCTTTACTACCTTTTACTATCTAATTCTAAATTGTGAGTCAAAAAAATAAAAACAACTATACCTTCATCTTCATCAGTTTTATGGTGGCATTTCATTTTGCTTAAATCTATAGTAGAGGTTTCAAAAAGTACAGCCATGTTATCGTACAGAAGTTTGTTAATAGTAGAGTACCTGTTCTGTCAGAATCTCTGTTTCAGTTTATCACTAGTAGACTTCATCATCCTGACATCTAATTTTTATTTTACTCAGTTGTGTACTGAAATGATCATTCTTGAAAGAGTCAGACACTTTTGTTATATTTTAGTTACTTTTGAACCAATGACTTTTAACCTTATCAGGTTTTTATTGTAAGGATTTGAAGATTTCTCAGTGGTATTATAATTGGTGAGGTAATGATACAGTTCTGAATTTTTTACCTTTCAAGACAATTATGTATTATACTTTGGCATGGGATGGATACACATTGTTCTGCTGAGCAGTACTCTCATTTCCCTTATATTATAAAGATATAAGAGGATGAGGGTAAATCCACAAAATCTGCATAAAACTGGCTTTCAGCAGACTTAAGGGACATTAATTTCTCTTTCTTTGTCCAGCTTACGACTTTGGTCTCATTTGGATTAATTTCTACAATGTACACATCCTGTATCAATTCGATATCTTTTACTGTCTGGAACATGCTAACAAATTTCTGTAACAACATCACCAATTGGCAGTTTTGAGATGTTCATGAGACCTTAAGTCATCATTATTGGTGTTAATCTGTAGGCTTATGTATACATGTGATTTTCTGTTTTGTTTTAAATGTCTAAGTTTTCTTTTCAATAGTTCTATGGTTGTATTACTGGAAACTGAAATTGGAATATGAAATTGGAATGATAAAATGGTATAAAATTATCTTGTTTGGTGGGATGGAATGTTATCTTTCCTCAAAGCTGTTGTAAAATATTTAAGGTCATTGTGCAGGGACAAGAATGACATCCAAGTATATTTAGCATTGATTGCTTTGATGTTGATGCAATGGTCATACGGAACAATAGGTAAAAGTGAAGACTTGTGGAGCTTAGATGTCAATAAGTATCTCTCTTCTAATCATTAATCTTATCCAATAAATAAAGTGATGGACGCATGTTGGCTTATCTAAATTCTTGACGTAGAAAGATGCACAAACAAGAAGGGATTTTACTCAAACTTTTCAGTTCACAAGTGTACAATCAAAATTTAATTTCTCATAGTAATATCTGAGAAATAGATGTCATTTTGAAATACTGTATCATGCTTGAGACCCAGTAAAGTGATGGATTATCATGCTGGAGACCCTGTAAAGCCATGGATTATCATGTTGGAGACCTGTAGAGCTGTGGATTATCATACTGGAGACCCTGTAAAGCCATGGATTATCATGTTGGAGACCCTGTAAAGCCATGGATTATCATACTGGAGACCCTGTAAAGCCATGGATTATCATACTGGAGACCCTGTAAAGCCATGGATTATCATACTGGAGACCCAATAGAGCCATGGATTATCATACTGGAGACCCAATAGAGCCATGGATTATCATGTTGGAGACCCTGTAAAGCCATGGATTATCATGTTGAAGACCCTGTAAAGCCATGGATTATCATGCTGGAGACTTGTAGAGCCATGGATTATCATACTGGAGACCTGTAGAGCTGTGGATTATCATGCTGGAGACCCTGTAAAGCCATGGATTATCATGTTGGAGACCCTGTAGAGCTGTGGATTATCATGCTGGAGACCCTGTAAAGCCATGGATTATGATGTTGGAGACCCTGTAAAGCCATGGATTATCATGTTGGAGACCCTGTAAAGCCATGGATTATCATACTGGAGACCTGTAGAGCTGTGGATGTAGAGCCGTGGATTATCATGCTGGAGACCTGTAAAGCCATGGATTATCATGTTGGAGACCCTGTAGAGCTGTGGATTATCATGCTGGAGACTCTGTAAAGCCATGGATTATCATGCTGGAGACCCTGTAGAGCTGTGGATTATCATGCTGGAGACCCTGTAAAGCCATGGATTATCATGCTGGAGACCTAGAAGAGCCATGGATTATCATACTGGAGACCCTGTAGAGCTGTGGATAATTATGCTGGAGACCATGTAGAGTCATGGATTGTCATGTTGGAGACCCAGGAAAGTGATGGATTATCATACCGGAGACCCTGAAAAGCCATGGATTATCATGCTGGAGACCTAGAAGAGCCATGGATTATCATGCTGGAGACCCTGTTGAGGCATGGATTATCTTGCTAGAGACTTTATTCATTTAGACTGTACAGCAGGAATGTGTCATTATTGCCTGGTCTATAACTGTTCCTACACACTCTGTCTACCACTCTTGTTGGTACACTGTATTGTAGTTAGATGAGCCTTTTATGATGATTAAAATCTGACTCAGTAGAATGATATGTAAAGCAGTAGCAGGAATCAATTTGCACCGTTATAATGGACTGCAAATAACCTTGTAATTTTAGAAAACTCATTTAGAAATCATTACAAGCCCAAAACTGTTCATGTTTTTTAAATGGATATCTATCATCTGTTTGTGAGGAAGATTATGCTTTATTTTCTACCACATGCAGACATCACTGGACAACTGTTGTGTAGAAGTGATCAGAATTCAGATTGATCATTTTCCTGACATCTTTTTCATATCAGCAATCAGCTGGCACTGAAGCTATGAAATTTGAATAAGAAAAATTGATTACCAATATTGACAGTAGATAAACAATTAGTGGTGACACAGACAGATACCACATGTGCAGGTCCAATCTTGTGATATGTTTAAATGAACAAAACTGTATTATTGGAATATAAAAAAAAATCCTTATTGAATTTTATTTTATTGAATATTGAATGATATATATGGACTTCCTGCTGCCACATTAAATGATATTTGATGTGTTCCCTATATCTAGGTGTTGTTCCATTGATTTAAATCATCTTGTAGTTTAGTGATGTATAAACTGCAAAATGAATATGTATTATTTATCATATGCTATTAGATATGTAGCAATTTTCAGTAAAAGGTATCCTACAATGTCAGTGTGGCTTATTCAGACATTTATAGTGCTATGACTGCCATGGCTATTTGGGTAGCTGATCAATACATTATCATACAAATAGCTGTCAGATTTATTTTTCTTCAACTATCATCGAAAACATACCATTAACCCATTCATGTAAATTCAAAGTGCATTTTTTATTTTAGCTGTGAATTTGTGTTGACCTCTTGAAGTATTGTATTATATTGTATTATGGTTTATGGGGGTGTAAAAGGATGCCAAGGAAAAGCTATAAAGTTTGCTGTATTATATTAACAAAATCATAACACTGAAGTAAAACGTTATAAGTTGTGAAATTTTATGTATAATTACTATAAATATCTGTGAAGATTTAATTTGATTGAACTCATCAAAGTTAGGTAACAATATACTGTAAAATGTTTATGTGTTCTATTCTGTAATCTGATTGTTATGTCATTCATTTATATAGGTCTGGTACAACAACACCCAGGTCCATTTTGTCGGCACGGAAACTGACGGCTTCACTAAAATCTCTCAACACTTACAGACAACCCTCTATAGGTAAATACAGTACAGCCCCTCTCTAAAATCTCTCAACACTTACAGACAACCCTCTATAGGTAAATACAGTACAGCCCCTCACTAAATTTCTCAACACTTACAGACAGCCCTCTATAAGTAAATACAGTACAGCCCCTCACTAAAATCTCTCAACACTTACAGACAACCCTCTATAGGTAAATACAGTACAGCCCCTCACTAAAGTCTCTCAACACTTACAGACAGCCCTCTATAGGTAAATACAGTACAGCCCCTCACTAAAATCTCTCAACACTTACAGACAACTCTCTATAGGTAAATACAGTACAGCCCCTCACTAAAATCTCTCAACACTTACAGACAACCCTCTATAGGTAAATACAGTACAGCCCCTCACTAAAATCTCTCAACACTTACAGACAACCCTAATAACTGGTATCTGTTCCTCGCATGACCTGATTTTGACCCCCTCTTCTTTGTTAATTAACTTCTTCACCCCGATAAATATAAATCAAATCCAGATAGTCAGTATCAATGATTCAGTGATGAACCTTTAGTGCCCGGTAAACAGAAGTAATAAACAGCATCTAGCTGCACATCTACTGCTTGTAGTAATACCCAGCTTAGTGATACATAGAATAGCAGAGAAGTAGAATATAATTGTTTATTGTGATCTTACATGACATCACAATGAAATAAGTTGTGTTTCCCAAACAGATATTTCAGTAGACTATGATGCCGCACGATACAAAGTTCATTGTAATCTTAATACAATGAACACTATTCATTACAATATTCTTTATGAAATTATATACAAAGATACATTGTAATACATAGTTTATTGTTACTATCCTTAATATATAAACTTTATTTATTTTACAACAATTGCGAAACAAGTTATGTCAACTTATACTAATCACTCTTGTTGGCCCGGATGTAAGGGCGCGAGGGGTCTTATTGTGGGAGGAAACCGGAGTACCTGGGGAAAACCCACGTGGTCGGGCAGATGACCCCTTACCTTTTCACGTCCGTTCCGGGAATCAAACCCCGGTCGGCTAGGTGAGAGGCGAGTGCGTTACCACTGCGCCACTCGACCACTATCCTTATAACCAATACAATGTATAATTCCTTTTGTACCTATACATGTATCAGTGTCAGATAACTACATAAATATCTCACTTCTACTGATGAAAGCCACCATGATAAAAGCCATTCTTGACTGTTAAATTGCTATCATTGGGGACAAAACGTTAAGTGGGAACTAAATACAATACTGCTCACACAATTAAAAGTGATTAATGCCTATCAATGTGTTATGACAGTTTGATATTTCAATCTACATATCTTTATTGATATCCCAGGATATTCATGCAGAGCATTTCATAAAAAAAATGTCGTACATTCATTTGTCAGTCACACTACCATTACTTGTTTTTCAGCTGATGACAGCGAGTTAGACGATGATCAGAGTATTAGTACACATCCTACCATCAGTGCCAAGGTCACACGAAGGTCACCACCACAAGATGATCAAGTCATATCTGGATCAGCATCACCTCAGAGGTCAAGAACACATCGCTTAGGCCCTACCTCAATCACAGGAAGTATTGAGGAGGAGCCAAGCGATTTAAGCCAAGGTTGGAGAGGTAGCTCTGTGGGGACCTTTCTCACAGGTGCATCTGACGCACAAGATGTCACGCTTCCATCAGATCTGGAACAGCAAGAGGACAGCTATGTACCGAAGGAGCAAGAAGATGGTTACTCACTGCTGGAACAAGGTGAAGGTCACTCATTGAAGGAGGAAGGTGATGGGCGTGATAAAAATGGTGTTGGGTTAGAACATCTGTCTGAGGGAAGTGATGGTTCTGATATAGAAATGTTGTATACCGCGGGTAATGGTGGTGTGGATGGTAGTGTAGATATTGTGGATGGTGATGGTATTGTATCCACCTCTGTTGTCTCCCCTTCCCCAAACATCCGGCATGGCAAATCCACACAATTTCAGCAGCATGAAAATTCCTCCCCCTCCCCTAATCCTCAACAATCTCTTTCATGTGATCTTCAAGTGGTGGTGGACAAAGCTTCTCCTCTAGAACCTCCTCAACTTTTGGAGGATGACAAACTTTCCTCTTATATGGCAGAACCTGGTGTAGACAGGCTGTCAGTGGCTGATGATGGTGGTGATGTGGAGTCCAGTATCACTGGGGTCAGTGAGGACACCACAGAACCTGTTACCATCAAAGTTGACATTAATCCACTTATTACAGGCCCCATACCAGAGGAGGACCAGGTCACCACACAATTTTCTGGGTCAGAGGTCAAATCCCAAAAAGATATGGATGTTGATTTAGGTAGAGAAAATTCTCATATGGTTAAAATACCAACTGGGACTGAAGCTCAATTAAATGTCTCTGGAGAAAATGATGCTAAATCACTGGATGGATCGAGACATTCTCCTACACCAATCAGAGGTTCAAGTGGAGGTAAAGGCTCACCTAGAATGGTCACCACACCAACCAAAGGAAGTAGTAGGCATTCCTCAGCCAAAAGGGTATCATCTGGAAGGAAATCTCCAAAAAGGGAAGCCACACCTGTTAAACATTCGTCCAGACAGTCGTCAGCTAAAAATAAAGCAGACAGACCACTGTCATCAGATGAAACCGAGGTCAAGGTTACTGAGACTTTGGTTGCTATGGAAACTAAGACAGAAGAAGTAGATTTAGAGGATGTAGCCAGCATAGCTTCCTCAGTCCTCATAGAACAGGACATTGTGTTGCCACCTCCAGGTAGGTTTATTGCCATTTGTAAGTTTTCCCTACCGTAAATCATGGAATACACCCTACAATATATAAATCGGTATACAATGTACTATCAACAGGAATCAATGCTTTTCTTGTCTTCCTACTTTTAATCTGAAGAATAACTGTAACATTATGATTTATTTGCACATATTTTAGATTAATTCATTACATTCTGGCTAATGTATGATCAAATTTAATATTGGTATTTGGTTGATGACTTTTAGAGGTTTGGACTAAAATACTTTCGGTACTGGTACCTGTAGTGGTAATGGTGTTTGCGTTATTTTTTAATTTTAAAAAATTCAGTATGATATGTAAGTTATGATTAAGCCTGTCATTAACAAACATAGTACAGGTGTAGAGGATGTGTATGGAACACTACCTATACTGGGTCGGTATATCAGATGTAGACAAACTATGGCTCACATTCTATACTGGGCTTATATGTATCAGCTGAGATTTTCCATCAAACTTCCCATCTACCTGTAGGTTCTGAATGTGGTAAAAATAATCATTTTATCCTGAATGTAACCCAACAAATTTCCAATTTGCATGAATGTTTCCCTAGCATGATCAATTTCCAGTTCAGCTTGTATTGCATAGTGTTGTGAATTCAAAACTCTCCTGAAGTATTGCACCTTCCAGGCTCTATAGAAAATGGTTTGTTCACGTCAGCTTAACCAAATTGTAGAAAGACATCCAGTCATCCATATATTGTGTTTTGTGTACAAGCTTGAATGCATGAAAATCTGTATATTGCAAGAAATCAAGATTGGTTTATTTTCTATTTGAATTATTCATGGTGTACAGAATGTGTTAAATGATGGATGTCAGAGATTAGCTGTTGACATGTATTTTACAACAGTTTTGTGACAGTTTCTGGTACATTAAGTATTTACTGAATAGAAAGAACAACGATTACCATCACAATTTAAACCCAAGACTGAAATTGATACATGTTGAATTGCCTTTTCTAATTCAATCAGGTGTTTGTAATATCTGAATGTCACGCATATGTACAGAAAGTCGTAAAGTAGTAATTTTGTGGATGTTAAATTACATTAAATTAGAAACAATTATTAGGGTTATTTATATGGGATATGAAGTAGAAATATTCTAAAAGGAAAAAAAAACTTAAATTAGATTCTAAAAGATAGATATCTTAGACTTGGGATTGAAGTTCTGATGTTAGACTGTCCTCTTTTAATAAAAATGACCAAGATAAATTATTGTTGTTTATACTGTCTTCTAATGGTATATTACAAACTTCATGTTCTAATCTTCTTTTGTTTCATTTCTTGATCATCCTAGAGGAGACAGGAGACATAAACAATGTTGGTAAGATAATCATTATCAATTCATTTTAATTACCTAAACACTATACCTGTTAATGCCTAAGTATAATTATGTACTAACTGTTTTATTGTATGTCTGCATTATCTGGTAAACTCTACTTTCTTCACAATTTGAGGTGATATCTTAATGACCTGTGTATGTGTTTGTTACACAAATTTAGGTAATATCTTACTACCCAAGTATATGTTTGTTACACAAATTTGAGATGATTAAGTTTGTTTGTAACCGTTACATACAAATGACTACACATCAGTATAACTTTTGTCTGTTTATCTACAGGTGAGACAACAAGGTAAGTGCTATTTAGCATATTAAATCAAATGTTATTTTAATACAAAAAAATTGGCATCAATCATCCACCTTAGCAGATGAAAATTATCAATACATATGAACAAATCTCTTTCTTATTTTGAACAGACAACAAAATTCATAATTATAAACAAAAACAAGGTTTTTTTTATTTAAATTGCTCACTCAACCATAGATAGAAGTGTCACCATATTTATCAAGTTATTTTTATACTGCTTGACCTGTTGAATCTTCTCTGACATATTTATCTTTAGAAAACTTTGTGTCAAAATAGATTTAAAAAAAAAAATTTTTTTCCTAGCAATGAAAGAGTTATTTCCCTTGAAGTATTCAACACTCAACCTATATGTCCCAGCAGATGTTTTAGTTCTGTAACCCAAGAAATAATTTGTCTAATGTTGGAAAAGTGTTATCTCTCTTGACACATGTACCATAATGCTGTAGGTGTAAGGTTTAAGATGCAGATTGCTATATAAAAAAAGGATTACGTTGATTTGAACCCTTTAATATTAAAAAGCTGAATCTACATAGTAAATTGAATTTTCAATACATCAGCAATTTGTGGTTAAGTTTAAGGATTTCAGTTAACCATGTTAGTCATGTTATCATGATTTCAGTTAACCATGTTAGTCATGCATGTATGATTTCAGTCAATCATGGTAGTTATGCTTTGCTGATTTCAGTTAACCATATTATTCATGCTTTGATGATTTCAATTAACCATGATATTTATGTTATGATGATTTCAGTGTGCCTGTGAATGGTGTAACACAACCACTTCAACCCCAGTACACAGGTGGGTGTGGCTTTTTCTTGTGTTAAATCTGACATCAGTGGTTCATTTAAAAGTTATTTGAATATGTAAGGATGTATACACTTGCAATGATATTTGAGTTTGCCTTAAAAAGCTGTTAACATTTTTAGTAATCATTTAAGTAAAGAAGAAATATGCATTTTCTTAACTTGTTCTACTTTTTATATTGATGTTGACAGGTTCCTTGGCCAGTAAAGAAGGATTTGTGATTCCTGATGGTGTACCCCCTGCCCCAGGTATTTTTTATCTTTTCCTGGATGAGTTAAATTTCCCTTTATATACGTTGGCTTCACAATATGTACTATTTTAGAAACACGCCCCTCTCTACTTGTATATGACTAATATTGACAGTAAATAGGATATAGATGGGAGGTCTCACGGACAGATGTTTTCAGAGGCGGTTTATCAGTAGACTAGACATGTCCATGTAGATAAGGATTTTTTTCAATAAGACTGAAGAAGAGAAGTTATTTCATATCAGGTACAAGAAATGTAGGCCTCTAATCACTCTACACTTGAACATTGGCATGTAGACCACTCATGACTAAATTTACCAGGGAAATCACTCAAGACATGATATCTAAGAGAGATTGTCGCTAGAGTTCACATAAAGTTTGTTTGATTAGAGAGGTCACTCTAGACAGGATTTACATGCGAGATCACTCTTAAACAGAATTTACAAGGGAGATCACTCTTGACAGAATTTAAAAGGAAAACCATTCCAGACATAATTAACAGGGGTGAGGGAGGATCACTGTAGATTGAACTTACAAGGGAATGGGGAAGGGCAGAGAGTGGGGTTGTGTGGAGGTTGTCACTTCAGACATAATTTACAAGGGAGATCACTCTAGACAGAATTTACAGGGTATTTTGAAAATTTTCTTCGGGTTGGTAATAATAACAGAATAAAAGTTCTCATAACACAATCAGTAGAATATTTCATTGTGACATTTTGATGACTACACTGTCACCTTCATCAGACAAATGACCAGACTCTAGTCTATAAATTTTACAGGAAGTTCACTTACCTAGATAGGATTTACAATGAGACCCACCAAGACAGATCTGACAGGGGAGGTCACTCAAGAAAATCTTTACTGGGAGTTCACTTTAGACAGAATTAGCATTGGTGGTTAGATCAGCAGGTTTTACATATTACAGACAAAAAGCTTAAACAGAGACTTTCTTCTAAATGGGTTTGATGGAGATGTTAACACTTGCACTGACAAGAAAATTTAATGAAAACTGATTATGCAGAGATATTTGATGTTTTTCGCTGTTTGCTGAAAATCCTTTTTTTATAGTGAAAACAATTCTTTATTATTTTGTAGTAGCTACGCCCCGCTCATCCCGACCTGTCTCTAGAACCAGTTCAAGGTCAACGTCTTACAAACTAGAACAACCACCTCTAGGTATGTAGGCCTGCTTTATACCTATATACATATCCTCCTGTACATGTGTTGACTTCATTGATTTTGTTGTCTATGTCATATCAAATTTTATATCAGCTTTCATTTCACTAATGTTTTTTTAGACTTCAGAATATGAATTATTAAAAAAATGTATGTTGCACTTCTGTACCTTTTTCCAAAATCAAAGAAACATTACTTAACAGATTTAATTAGAACTTTGATATACGTACTTTGAGAGAAAAACTCATTAAGTGAAATTTATTACTATGTAGTTTTTCAATGGTTTCTTAAAAGATGAGGTTTTTTTTTGGATTTACATCATTGACTCAATCTCATTTCAAAACTTAGTTTAGATTGAGATTTCATTTAAGGACATCATGTTTCACATTTATAGAATGAATGGATATTTCAAGCATACTGTTTTAGGCATGAAATGTCCAATATACTTAAGATTATTATCAAATAAATTGTACTTCGCTGTATTAATTCTTGCAGTAGAAGAACCCTCTATAGTGTCACCAAAAACTGCTAGATCACAGGAACAGAAGGTAGAACAAAGTGTGACACTGAACCAGGACAAAAAAGTAGAACCAAGTGTGACACTAAAACAGGACAAAAAAGTAGAAGAAAAAGAGCAGAAAACAGATGTGGAGCACAAGGCACTTGACACTGCTGAGTTAGCTGTGGGGAAAAAGGAAGAGACTAAACCAAAACCTAATGAAGGGACCAAGAAAGGGGTAAGTTTGATACCTAATGAGGGGACCAAGAAGGGAACCAAGAAGGGGGCAAGTTATGATACCTAATGAGGGGACCAAGAAGGGGGCAAGTTATGATACCTAAAGAGGGGACCAAGAAGGGGGCAAGTTATGATACCTAATGAGAGGACCAAGAAGGAGGTATGTTATGATACCTAATGAGTGGACCAAGAAGGGGGTAAGTTATGATACCTAATGAGGAGACCAAGAAGGGGGTAAGTTATGATACTTAATGAGGGATACCAAGAAGGGGGTAAGTTTGATACCTAATGAGGGGACCAAGAAGGGGGTAAGTTATGATGCCTAATGAGGGGACCAAGAAGGGGGTATGTTATGATACCTAATGAGGTTGTCTATAAAGATTGTGTTGGAACATTGTTAATTTACCTCTATAAAGTTAACTTTGATCAATAAGATATTTTGATTTCAGAAAAATTTGTGTGTTTTCTTATAGCAACAGCGCCGAGGTCACCTGCCACGAGGTAAAAAGGCTAAGAAAGATGTGACAAAGGCAATAGATATCTCCTCTGTACAGCCTGACGAAGAGGAAAAACCAAAGGTACATTTCATGCCAAACTTAATTACTGATACATCTTTAAAATCAGATAATAGCTCATTTTAAAAGATTGATTTTAATTTGATTGCATACGGTTAGTGCAAACATTTTGTGCATTCAGATTCTGGCTTAACATAAAAACATAGCAGATCAGTCTGTTGGTGTAACCCACAATACCTCCCTCTAAGAGTTGAAATCAAGATGTGACTTATTTTCTTTAACAGTAAGCAGAGGCAGACTTATTTATGTAAGAAACTACAGGCTAATATTCAGGATAGGATTATGTGGGAGGTCACCTTATTTTTGAGGTTATTAGGTCATGCCACTTTCAATTATGAAACATATATGATTCAGAGCAATGTGTTAAGCATCAAACACAAGCGCCAATGTACAACATATTGTCAAAATATGTATACTTTGTATGTATGTTGGTAATACAGTGAAACCTGCTTAATATTCATGTTGCATTAAGAACAATGATACTAAGCAGAGCGTGATATGAACAGTTGACACATTTTTCTGGACCTCAAAACCTGGAAGTTAATTTTCTGAGTCACCAAACTGAATTGTTTTTAACAGATATTGATTAAAGACAAGACGTTTGTAATTTCATTTGTTTTTCCCATAAGAACAGTGATTTTCCTTAGCTTTTGTTTGTTTATTCTTTGAAATATCTAAACTGCTATCACAAATTATCATAAACGATCATGACATGATTCATGTCATATTCCCTTTGTGAATTATTTTGTTTTATAGATATTTACATATTGCAGCATATAACATAAGTTTGAATTGCCTATCGCTATGAGATATGCAATATCTCTCTTCTTGTTTTATAAGGAACATGAGATAACTGTGTACAAGACTGTCAAGATTGAGGCTCCAAAGGAAGAGACTATCATCCCAGACTTTATAACTGAGGAGGCAACTCGACGTGAGGAAGATTCTAAGGAGGCACTTGAGCAACAGATGGTGGAGAGTAAGTCATGTTGTAGTTCAGTACAGCCCTTTCATATGTCTCACAGTATAACCCTGTTATGTATGTCTCAGTACAATTCTTTTATGTGTCTCACAGTACAACCCTATTATGTATGTCTCAGTATAACCCTGTTATGGGTGTCTCAGTACAACCCTGTTGTGGGTGTCTCAGTACAACCATGTTATGTACACCGGTATGTCTCAGTACAACCCTGTTGTGTATGTCTAAGTACAACCCAGTTGTAGGTGTCTCAGTACAACCCTGTTGTGTGTGTCTCAATACAACCCTGTCGTGTGTGTCTCAGTACAACCCTGTTGTAGGTGTCTCAATACAATCCTGTTGTGTGTGTCTCAATACAATCCTGTTGTGTGTGTCTCAGTACAACCCTGTTGTGTGTCTCTCAGTACAATCCTGTGTTTCAGTACAACCCTGTTGTTTGTGTTTCAGTACAACCCTGTTATGTATGTATCAGTACAACCCTATTGTGTGTCTCTCAGTACAACATACCTTGTTTTGTGGGTATGATAGTATGTTTTGATGGTATACATGTCATCTGTAGATACATTTTAAAGCATCACATGTTTAGCTGCCTTTTATTGTTAAGATTTACGTGTCAGTCACTATGAAGATTTGTCTTATATTGTATACATGTTTCTGCTGTGTGTGTGTGAAGGTATAGTTGCAAGATATTTTGAAAGTATTCTTCAGATGTTATAAATGAAAAGTAAAGATAAAATTTATCCAACATTTCAACAGATTTATCTGATAAGGAACGATTAGTTTAATTGTAAAATCCATTCCACATGAAGAACATTGAATGTGAAAGATTTACATGACATTCTTTATAATGATTACATTTCCTTGATGCTTTCATACAATTGTTTGTTAACCCTACCACTGGCCTGTCGTTTTAGTGTCCCAGATTGTGGACAACGCTATGGCAGGGACCGTTTTGGAAGAGGATCAGAGTGGACTCACAGATCAAGAGTTAGAACTGGCACAAAAAAAAGTTCTGGTAAATAACAGCTTCTAAACAATGATGTACATTATCAAGGCTGTCTCTGTGTGAATTCAAGGTCAAGAATATTGATTTGACTGCAGCCTTTATCTCCTACTATAAAAATCTTTGTTTTTATGTGTCAGTATTATCTTATCATTATCAAACTGATTGGTATGACAGTGCTTGTCATCTTTTTAGGTCACCTGAGACAAAGTCCCCTTTTGATCCGGCTCTGCATCTTAATCTTTTAACATCTACTATTGTTTCTGTAAAACTTGTGAACTGATATCAATGAAATTTGAAAAACCTTCCATGGCTAATTGTGCACCAAAAGTGTAAATCATATGGAACCAACCCCCAGGGTCCTGAGGGGCGGGGACCAGAAAGAGTCAAATTGATTGAAACTTCAGAAATCTACTTCTCAAATCCCAGGTATGATAGAATCAAGTACTGTTCATGGATGGAAAGGCCTTCAGATGCTTTACTAAAATAGTAAATTTCATGACCCCAGGGTCTCATATTTCCCCTGGGGAGGGGAGTAAAATTTACTCTAGCTTATAGAGTAAATTCACATTTTGAACATTGTTTGTTTATTTTCTATTGGAAATAGTTCAAACCTGGTCATAATTATTAGTTTTAGATGACATTTTAATGAGATTTGAATGAATATTGACCTCAGTTGACCCCAGGGTCTGATGGGTGGGACCAAAAATGGGTCAAATTGATGGAAATTTTAAAAATCTTCTTCTCAATACCTTGATAATGTAGAACTAAATACGAATCATAGATAGAAGTGTCTTACGGTGCTTTATGGAAATTGTAAATTTCATGACTTCAGGGTCTCACATTTCCTATTGGGGAGGGGTAAGATTTAATTACATTTTTGAGCATAATTTGTTTATTTTCTTTCAGGAATACCTGGTTGGAAGATTTTATATAGGAAAATTCATATCTTCCTTGTAATTTCCTTTAATTCAAACTTGGTTACAAGCCTTAGCATATGACTGCAGTTAATGTATACACAATTTACATTTGCATTATGTGTAGAATATAGTTATATTATTTGTTGAAAAAAGCATTGTGACTCAGGTGACCATTAAGGCCCTTCCTTGGGCCTCTTGTTTTAAGTATGATTTTATAATTTTAGTTCATAAAGAATCATGATCAAAGTTTTTTTTCTATCACATATTTTGTTTTTACCTTGGGTGTGTTAATTAATCAATTTGACAATCCATCCAAATTAAAAATAGTACTGTCCATCCACGGATGTGTCCTGGTCATATTTTGATACAAAATGCATTGAAACTTGACTGAAAGTCATGTTGTTATCATCAAATGTTAACTGCATTGACACCTGTGAGTAATTTAGGTCCTAGCCAAGCCTAACATCTCTTTACATCTCAACAGCACACCCACTGCTTTCTTATACATGACAGCTCTCATAATGATAACTAATCTCCTGTTAATTTGTAGAACAAATCAAAACATTAACTATAGATATAGTACTAAAAGAAGCTTTTGATCTGAAAATGCATCTAAGATTAAGTTCAGTTGGGTTACAGAGCATTAAAGTTTGCTTAAGATGTTACATTTTCCGATGAAACTATGAAATAAATCATTGAAATTAATTCCATATTAACACTACTAGTGTGGCATTACCTTGTCATAGACCACATTCTGTCACTAGGGTGGCATTACCTTGTCATAGACCACATTCTGTCACTAGTATGACGTTACCTTGTCATAGATCACATTCTGTCACTAGTATGACGTTACCTTGTCATAGATCACATTCTGTCACTAGTATGACGTTACCTTGTCATAGACCACATTCTGTCACTAGTATGGCGTTACCTTGTCATAGACCACATTCTGTCACTAGTATGGCGTTACCTTGTCATAGACCACATTCTGTCACTAGTATGGCGTTACCTTGTCATAGACCACACACTGTCACTTGTATGACGTTATCTTGTCATAGATCACATTCTGTCACTAGTATGGCGTTACCTTGTCATAGACCACATTCTGTCACTAGTATGACGTTATCTTGTCATAGATCACATTCTGTCACTAAATGATGCCTGCTTTTGTTTGTCTAAATCTCCTTTGGTTTTGACTTGGATCAGGAGAGAATAGCAGAAGCCAAGGAAAAGATGGAAATGGTAGAAAAACCACAGCCACCCAAAGAGGAAAAACCTGTCAAAGCCACAACGGGAAAGAAAGGGGCAAAGAAAAGCACTGAGAAAAAAGTAGTGGACCCAGAAAAAGAAAAGCTGAAAGAAATTAGAAGGCTTGAGAAAGAGGTAACTGGTTCTTTTATATTATTGATAAGGTCATAGATAGAGCAGTCATGTGAACATAAGTGAGGACTTTGTATGAGAACTGTGACAAATGGAAACCAGATTTTTTTAAACAAATTCACTGTGATAAAACTGTAACTTAAGATAACTGTTAAAAGTAAATATATATTGCTAGTAATTATCCATCTTATTTTACCGGCATCACAGTCCTGTGTTTGGGTTTAGAAATATTGTATCTGAACTGAAATATTTCACAATTATACTCCCTCTGGTATCTAATGAACCTTTCCGTAGTATCATACCAAGAGGTTCGACTTGAATTACAGGTTTTAGTGGTCATCAATCAATGTTAAAGATAGATGGTAGTTCTCGGCAAGTTTGAAATTAAAATTTGTACACAAGATATCTTATTAACCCCTCAACAGATTTAGTAAACAATAAAAAGATCAGGGGTGTTGTGTATGGCTCGCTTTTAGCCCATGATTTAATTCTGCTCCCCTCACTGCCACATCTCTACCCCACTTTTTAAAGCTGGTGTCTAAGGATGCATGCCTTAATATACTTTACACAGTGTATCTAGTTAGAAAGTAAGATCTGTGGACCTCCATTTTTGTTTCTGACAGTACCCAACAAGTATCTACCTGCTTCAATAGTTAGATGTACTTTATTTGTCATCAACATAATTTACTGAAGCAAACAAAATGAAATCAAACTGTATCTGTAATAATATCATGTTTTCCTCAATAGAAACGGCTGGAAGAGGCTAAGGCATTGCAAGCAAAGATAGATAAACAACAAGCACTGAGAAAAGCCAAGGAGAAAGAGGCTCGTGACAAAGGAAAGGTAAGTAGTCATAGCTTACAGTAGGTACTCCTAACACAGGTCTTTACTGTCAATAGAGGTATATGATAGGGGAATGCTGGATAGTGTTTACTGTCAATAGAGGTCTGTGATAGGGGAATGCTAGATAGTGTTTACTGTCAATAGAGGTCTGTCATAGGGGAATGCTTGATAGTGTTTACTGTCAATAGAGGTCTGTCATAGGGGAATGCTTGATAGTGTTTACTGTCAATAGAGGTCTGTCATAGGGGAATGCTAGATAGTGTTTACTGTCAATAGAGGTCTGTCATAGGGGAATGCTTGATAGTGTTTACTGTCAATAGAGGTCTGTCATAGGGGAATGCTGGGTAGTCTTTACTGTCAATAGAGGTCTGTCATAGGGGAATGGTGGATAGTGTTTACTGTCAATAGAGGTCTGTCATAGGGGAATGCTGGATAGTGTTTATTGTCAATAGAGGTCTGTCATAGGGGAATTCTCGATAGTGTTTACTGTCAATAGGGATCTGTCATAGGGAATGGTGGGTAGTCTTTACTGTAAATAGGGGTCTGTCATAGGGGAATGGTGGGTAGTCTTTACTGTCAATAGGGGTCTGTCATTGGGGAATGCTGGGTAGTCTTTACTGTAAATAGGGGTCTGTCATAGGGGAATGCTGGGTAGTCTTTACTGTCAATAGGGGTCTGTCATTGGGGAATGCCGGGTAGTCTTTACTGTCAACAGATGTCTGTCTTGGGGGAATGGTGGGTAGGTTTTACTGTCAACAGAGGTCTGTCAATAAAGAGGTCTGTCAACAGATGTCTGTCATGGGGGAATGGTGGGTAGTCTTAACTGTCAACAGATGTCTCTCATTGGGGAATGGTGGGTAGTCTTTACTGTCAACAGATGTCTCTCATTGGGGAATGGTGGGTAGTTTTTACTGTCAACAGATGTCTGTCATTGGGGAATGGCGGGTAGTCTTTACTGTCAACAGATGTCTGTCATTGGAGAATGCTGGGTAGGTTTTACTGTCAACAGAGGTCTGTCAATAAAGAGGTCTGTCAACAGATGTCTGTCATTGGCGAATGGTGGGGAGTCTTCACTGTCAACAGATGTCTGTCATTGGGGAATGGTGAGTAGTCTTTACTGTCAACAGAGGTCTGTCATTGGAGAATGCTGGGTAGCCTTAATTGTCAATAGAGGTCTGTCAACAGATGTCTTGTTATTGGTGAATGCTGGAAAGTATCTACTGTCAATATATAGATGTCTGTCAATATAGAGGTCTGTCAACAGATGTCTGTCATTGGGGAATGGTGGGGAGTCTTTACTGTCAACAGATGTCTGTCATTGGGGAATGGTGGGTAGTCTTTACTGTCAACAGAGGTCTGTCATTGAGGAATGGTGGGTAGTCTTTACTGTCAACAGATGTCTGTCATTGGGGAATGGTGGGTAGTCTTTACTGTCAACAGATGTCTGTCATTGGGGAATGGTGGGTAGTCTTTACTGTCAACAGATGTCTGTCATTGGGGAATGGTGGGTAGTCTTTACTGTCAACAGATGTCTGTCATTGGGGAATGGTGGGTAGTTTTTACCGTCAACAGAGATCTGTCATTGGGGAATGGTGGGTAGTTTTTACTGCCAATAGAGATCTGTCAATAAAGAGGTCTGTCAACAGATGTCTGTCATTGGGGAATGGTGGGTAGTCTTTACTGTCAACAGATGTCTGTCATTGGGGAATGGTGGGTAGTTTTTACCGTCAACAGAGATCTGTCAATAAAGAGGTCTATCAACAGATGTCTGTCATTGGGGAATGATGGGTTATCTTTACTGTCAACAGATGTCTGTCATTGGGGAATGGTGGGTAGTCTTTACTGTCAACAGATGTCTGTCATTGGGGAATTGTGGGTAGTCTTTACTGTCAACAGATGTCTGTCATTGGGGAATGGTAGGTAGTCTTTACTGTCAATAGAGATCTGTCATTGGGGAATGGTTGGTAGTCTTTACTGTCAACAGATAGATGTCTGTCATTTAGGAATGGTGGATAGTCTTTACTGTCAACAGAGGTCTGCCATAAGGGAATGCTGGGTAGTGTTTACTGTCAATAGAGGTCTATCAAAGGTGAATGTTGGGTAGTTTTAGGAATAAAGACATTCTACCAAGCATGGTTTACTGTATGAATTCTTAACTTGAAATATCAGTGAAGATTTAGTCGGAGACATCATAGTTTTGATCTATATAAGGCTGGTTAAGTAATTATCTGAACGTAAAGAATTTGTATTTATACTTAAATTGTTGTTGTTTTATCTGTTTCTTTAATTAGTTAATTTGATAAGTCAACTTACATGTTTTCATAAAATACTGGTTGTAAACAGGGTACCTTCAAAGGTATGTAGTATGTGCATGACGGTCTGAAGATTTTGCTTTATCAATGAAATTTCATTGATACTCTATTGACTAATTTGTATCAATTAATTAAAAACAAAACCAAAATATTTTTGTGCATTTTGTTGAAAATTATGTGTGGTTTGTCAAGCTTTTTGAAGTTACTTATTAATTAATTCAGCAAATAACCAGAAGTGGAAACTGCTTTGAATTATTCCATGCTACAACCATCACTTATCAGAAGGTATCATTTGATGGAAGGTGATCTCAACAGTCTGTAAATAACTGCAAACTTATTTCATTATCAATGTCTGCCTTTCCTCTTATTATGATAATACTGACTGATATCAAACCCATAGAGGATTTTATTTTGTTCAGAACACATCAGCTTAGGTCATCGAAACAGAAAAATACTGAATACTCTAATAGTAAAATCTTATTTTCTGTGAAATATGATCTATAAATGAAATAATACAAATATCATTTTCAGTAAATATTCAATAACATATTGCTTTTCAACAGGAAAATTTATTTTTGATACACAATAAAAAATTGACAGAACATCACATTTTATCAGAAAAATATTGTTTTAGTATATACATTACAATAGTTCACTACAAGGACCCCAGCAAACACCGAGATCTCACAAGGAATATCGTTACACTGCACTTATTACCATAGTTCACCAAAAGGACCCCAGCAAATGCCAAGGTCTCACAAGGAATATTGTTATACTGTACTTTATACCATAGTTCACTTAAAGGACTCCAGCAAACACCAAGATCTCACAAAGAATATCGTTACACTGTACTTAATACCATAGTTCACTAAAAGAATTCAAGGACAAATACTAAGGTCATATGAGGAATATCATTTAAAATCTTTTTTCTTTTTGGATCATTTTTTTTTCCTCAAAGTGAAAGTCATTGTTTCAATCAGAAGGCTGTATTTACTGATGTTCTCGTGAAGAATTAAGATGATGATTGTAGTTGGTTTAAAATTGATTATAATATTTCATTTGTGTGAATCAGCTGAATACTGATAATGTGGTATGTATATATGTGTGTTATTGTGATGTGTAAAGCTAATTAATGTTTGATTTTTTGTGATCAATTAACACTATTATACAAAATATTTACATTGATTCACTCATTGATTTATGCATGTGTTCACTTTGGTTGTCTTGATGTATTGGTGCATGGCATCACTACCAGGCCTATTAGAATTATGGATTAATAATTACATAGCACTTTTATCACAAGAAAACATGCATGTAAATGAATTAGGATGTATCCAATTTAGCAAATATAGTTTGTGGTATGAGCTTCAGTTAACAGTTATATTTTAGACACATCTCCTAAAAATTATATCACAATCAGCTGGAATGAAACACTGAAGATAAACTGGCATTGTTCAACATCATCAAACGTTTCTAAAAAAGATATTAGTTTTATGAGGTGACATAAAAGTGATGATGTTTGTAATTATACTTCCGACTTGATGAAGTCAGGAGACATTAGTTGTTAATGTGCTAAGTCAAATTTTTCTAACATGCACTGCATAAATGCAGATAAATTTATCTTGGTTTTTCAAAAAAGGTACTTTAAGCAACAAACATCTTCAAAAAAGGGTTATTAATATATTGATGTAAAGACAAAGATTGTAATTAAGTGGTAGAAAATCAGATTTTATGTGATATATGAATTTGAGATTGTATGTTAAAAATACACCTTTTTCACATATGCGTAGTATATGTACAGGCATGTTTTAGCTCACCTGGTTCCACCCCAAGACAAATTATATCTTTGAAGCCAATGAGATTATCGTCCCATAACTTCATAGATTTGCTGGACATCAAGAGAAATTTCCAAAACCTTCTCATGATTCAGATATATTAGAATTAAATACCTTTCTTTGATAGAAAGGTTGCAAGGTGTTTATCAAAACTTTGAATTTCCTGATTCTTGGGTCTCACATTTCCCCGTGGGGAAGGGGGAAAGATAAGTATAGTATAGAAAATTATATTTGAAAACATAATTTATCTAACTTAGATGAGAAATAATTCAAACTTGGTTTAATTTATGTCATGGCAGTTGAAATTCTGTACAATTTATATTGCATTACACGTGCAATGTGTTCAAGTTATCATACTTTGGTTAACATCAGATTACCGTTAAGGCGTTTGGGTGTCTTATTTAGGTTAAAATTCCACCACGTTATTAGTTTCACTTCAGTAGTAAACCCTTAAAATCCTAATGAATTTGTTTACATGAGATATGGTCATTAGGGATTTTTGAAACTGTAGTTACTATAACTATGTATGATATTACCAACAGGATAAACTCTTAAATGGAAAAATCATATTGGTAAGAGAAGGGTATTATTAATCTTGTTTATATTAAGGATTGAAATCTAAGGAACAAAACGAGTTGGTGCAACCATCTGATATTACTGGATATCATTTTAAACAATATTAATTTGTTTAATCTAATAGTCTTTGAAAATAAATTCACTACTACATAAACCCATAGGTACTTTTATTAGTGAACTCCTAGAAATTCTTAATAAAGCATGTACTTACAAACCAAAATTTAATCAAAAAGTATCAAATTGATAGGAACTTGAGCTTGAGATGGAAAGACTGGAAAGGGAAGCTGAGGAGATACAACAAGCTGAGGATGAAGTGCGACAAGCACTCTCTGAAGCGAGGAAGAAACAGAGAGAAGAGCGAGAAAGTCGCAGGAAGGCTGATCTGGAGCGGAAAAAACAGTTGGCATTAGAACGGCGTGAAAAAGAGAAAAAATTGATGGAGGATGCAAAAAACAAAGAGCTAGAGATGTTAGAGAAGATTGAAGATGCCAATGTAAGGAAACGTCAGCGAGAAGCAGAGGAACTCAAACAGGAGGAAGAAGAGAGACTGGCTCAGGAGCGACTAGAGGTGAGAAATTTAATAGATATACTCTCAAGTATGGTTTGATAAAAAAAATGTGTCCAGTTTCCTGCATATATGTAGCAAGTGTATGTCTTGTAGTAAATCTTCAACATTCTGTATGAAAAACATTCCTTTGTCTGCCCAAGACGAGTTTATCATTATCTTCCACTATCTGTAGTTGTCTATTTGTTGTTATGTTGTGTTTGTGGTGGCACTAGAGACTCTGTATTGATATTTTAAGTGACAAATGAGGGTTGCAGTGTTGTTGTAATTAAATAGGATGTTTGTGATCACAGCTCCGGATGTTATGTCCATCATTCTACACTGAAATGTGTTTCTGTGGCTTTGATCCTGGTCTGTAACGACTATTAAGTTAATGCTGTTGTGGTCACACATACTAAAACATGATAATTAACAAATTTTCAACACAAACCATTTTTATGTTGATAATAGATTGTGTGCTTCATCTAATGAATTAAAAAGTATTAAACTGTGTCATTGTGATGAATTTTTTAAAATGATGCCCCACTCCCCAAAACTCTTCTCATTGCAGTAATGCAACATCTTAAATGAATTATGGTTTGGTGAATTATTAAGGCAAAGGTTTGTGATCAATATCAATGAATTCTCTGTTTAAAACAAGTAAATATGATCTTCAGACAAATCGTAGCATTTCTGGTTCTATATAAGTTACATTAAAAGTTTACATCACAGTTTGGATTTATTTTCGAAAGCAATTTCAGTTTAGTCTGACCTCTTCAATGTTATTTGTAACATTGTCCCAAATTGCATTATATGGTTTAGATAATGAATTGTTCTTTTGTAGAAATTAAAGTTGAGAGGATTTATGGACAGAGACTTGTGTGTGATCTCGGACAAGTTGATGGCCAATTTTCTGTCTCCTATAACTTAGTCATTATCTTCATAACACATTGAAGCATCTTTTTCAGGTTATAGACAACAGATAATTATTGAGAAATTGATTTTTTCATCTTCTTTCATGTATACAAATGCAATTATACCTGCTTCCCCTATCATCCACCTTGGGTTATACTTGGATCTAACAGTAGAAGATGGCATTCCAAAGTGGATATGGTCACCAAGGTTTTGAATATTGATTTGTACAATATTTAATTACAGGAGGATATGAAAGAGGCTGAGAGACTTGCAGAAGAGGAGGAAGAAAAACTACGTGAGCTAGAGAGACAGGTATGTATCGTACAGGACTGTTTTACATTAAATTCCTTTATACATGATATTTTTTCAAAAATACCCAAATTTATTATCCTCTGATTATCAAGTTTCTTACAAAAACTATAATTACAATGGGGACAGTTTTGATTTTGTTCAGACTTGTATCGCAGAAAGAATGACAAAAGAGTAATTTTAGTGATGGAGAATGGAAAATAAAAAGGATATATTTCAGTTCCACAGAGCCATATAACAAAGAATCCTGTAAATGAAAACTATTTAAAACTTTGTCATTAAAATTCCTCTTGTACCACTGACAGGCAGAGGAGGAAGCCATGCAGCGACTAATTGATGAGAGAGAAGAGGCCACACGAAAGAAAAGACAAATAGAGGAGCAGAAACGGTTAATTGAGGAAGAAGAGGAAAGAAAAAGGTACTGCACTGTTTAGTAATTTTGAGTTAAATGAAATATTAGACCAAAGATTCTGAAGGTCAGAAATTGGAAAGTTTGTGACACTTATTTCTTATTAAGGCATTAGGTTTAGATGAGAGTTGAGAATCGGTCAATTACTGTCACATTATGTAATACAATGTTTAATTCCCTTCATGATATATATATCTATATACAGATATTTAAGTCAGTGCATATTTGATGTCTCATCATGATCATCATCCAAATTATTATGTTTGTGTCATTTTAGGCAAGTTATTATTGAGGAAGAAAAGCGATTGGAAGCAGAAAGGTTAAAAAGAGCAGAGGAAGAGGATAGGAAACTGCAAGAAGAGAGGAAAAGACTTGCAGAGGTAAGACATTTTATTTATACTTGCAAATTTTTATCCCTATACAACAGTACCAGATTAAATGTATGCCATAATAGCATTGAAACATTGACCTTTGAACTTGCACATGAAAACGTCACAGGAACTACTTCTGTCAAACACATGGATATATAATAACATTTTATTATTTTTTTTTTACGTTTCTCAAATACAACACAAATCAGTATGATAATCTGTTTTTTATGTTACTATTACTCTAAAAAATGCAAATTTTGATTGGCGCAAAAGAAAATTTTCACTTTGTTGTGAAGAGTCAACAGTGGCTGTTCTCATCATTAAACACCCTCCCACCAATGACCAACTTTTCTTAAATGTTTATGCCAAATGCTAACAAGGATTGCTCTACAGTAAATCTCAATGAGTAGACACTGACATGTAAATATAGGGATTGGACTTACTTCAATGTTAACCATGCTTTTATGGTTCCTCTAAGAATATATTTCATATATATGTTAGCAACCCATTTAGAATACATTCTCGGAGAAATTGCCCCATAAAAGCATAGCTAACATAAATGTAAAATCAAAGTCCTATATAAAATGGCAAAAGTATTGTTAGTATTGTGTTTGTGATGTCACCTCAGTCAACACATTTTAAACTTACAAAAATATTCTTCATAAATAAATAGCGGTGACAATAGTACAAATGCATTTCCTGTTCTACATCAGGGGGAAATAAAGTGATAACAATATAACAGATTTATACATAGTGTTAACTGCTGCACATGGTGTACACTGGGTATGAACTGCAGTACATGGTGCATACCTACTGTAAATTACAATACATGGGGAATGCCTTCTGTGAATTACAATACATGGGGAATACCTTCTGTTAATTACAATACATGGGGAATACCTTCTGTAAATTACAGTACATGGTGTATACCTACTGTAAACTACAGCACAAGGTGTATGTCTACTGTAAATTACAGTACATGGTGTATACCTACTGTAAACTACAGTACAAGGTGTATGTCTACTGTAAACTACAACACTAGGTGTATACCTACTGTAAACTACAGTACATGGTGTATGTCTACTGTAAACTACAGCACAAGGTGTATGTCTACTGTAAACTACAGCACAAGGTGTATGTCTACTGTAAACTACAGTACAAAGTGTATGTCTACTGTAAACTACAGCACAAGGTGTATGTCTACTGTAAACTACAGCACAAGGTGTATGTCTACTGTAAACTACAGCACAAGGTGTATGTCTACTGTAAACTACAACACAAGGTGTATACCTACTGTAAACTACAACACAAGGTGTATGTCTGCTGTAAACTACAGCACAAGGTGTATGTCTACTGTAAACTACAGCACAAGGTGTATACCTACTGTAAACTACAGTACATGGTGTATGTCTACTGTAAACTACAACACAAGGTGTATGTCTACTGTAAACTACAGTACAAGGTGTATGTCTGCTGTAAACTACAGCACAAGGTGTATGTCTGCTGTAAACTACAGCACAAGGTGTATGTCTACTGTAAACTACAGTACAAGGTGTATGTCTACTGTAAACTACAACACAAGCTGTATACCTACTGTAAACTACAACACAAGGTGTATGTCTACTGTAAACTACAGCACAAGGTGTATGTCTACTGTAAACTACAGTACATGGTGTATACCTTCTGTAAACTACAGTACATGGTGTATGTCTACTGTAAACTACAGCACAAGGTGTATGTCTGCTGTAAACTACAACACAAGGTGTATGTCTACTGTAAACTACAGTACATGGTGTATGTCTGCTGTAAACTACAGCACAAGGTGTATGTCTACTGTAAACTACAGGACAAGGTGTATGTCTGCTGTAAACTACAACACAAGGTGTATGTCTACTGTAAACTACAGCACAAGGTGTATGTCTACTGTAAACTACAACACAAGGTGTATACCTACTGTAAACTACAACACAAGGTGTATGTCTGCTGTAAATTACAGCACAAGGTGTATGTCTACTGTAAACTACAGCACAAGGTGTATACCTACTGTAAACTACAGTACATGGTGTATGTCTACTGTAAACTACAACACAAGGTGTATGTCTACTGTAAACTACAGTACAAGGTGTATGTCTACTGTAAACTACAGCACAAGGTGTATGTCTGCTGTAAACTACAGCACAAGGTGTATGTCTTGCTCACCGTCTGTAAACTACAACACAAGGGAGATGGCTTTGGCAAGACGGGAGCGAAATCTTGAGGCTCGTTCCAACATGACTCGACTCAAACATGGCCAAGGGATCACACAACCATGGGTCTGGTCCTACTTCATACAGTGGCCCTTGGAAACATATAACATGTATGTATTTGTGAAGGTTTTAACATATAGGGATCAGAGGTCAAGCTTGTAACCATCAGAGATAGGGAGCTACATTTGTAGAGGCCAGAGACTAGGAGACAAGTTATGTAGAGGTTGGAAATCAAGAGATATGATGTGCAACAATCAGAATTTTCCAATCAATAATATCCCTGGTAGGTTTAATCGTTAGAGGTGAACAGATCACATTTAAAGAGAGAAACTGCAGTATTAGAAATCATTGGAAATAGATGTCAGAAAACAAAATTGTAAGTTCCTAGGTCAAGACAGAATAAAACTGTAGGGGTCACATGACAGGAGAGATATTTTAGAAACCAGGTAGTTAAACTGTAGGGGTCATAGGTCAAATTAGATACTGTAGAAATCAGATCTCATTAAATAAAATGTAGAATTCAAAAGGTCAACAGTCTGTTATTTGATTGGTGTCACATCACCCCACAGATATCTCATGTAGTTTTTAGTGACTATCAATATTTCTAGGTATTGTTTTGTAGGTACCTATAGGAATGACTGAAATCAAGTCTTGTCTCACTTTACAATTAAAAAAGATCAATGGTTTATTTCAAACTAAATTTGATCTGAAGGTGACTTTGATTCCACCTAGACATTTTAATGGTTTCCAATTTTATTTATATATATTTCACAAATATAGCAGAATATCTATATTATTGAAAAATGGTGAAAAATAGTGATATATTCTGTCATATAAGTCAAATATATATATTGAACTAGAAACCATTAATGCTTCTCTTAATTACTTTTTCAAAGGAAAAAAAATGAAAAAACAGCTGATATAAACTCAGAGTAATGAAGGACACTTGTTGACATCAGATAGTTTGACATCGACACTTGATAACAAGACGACACTTTTTTAATAGGCCAGCTGTTTTACATTGTATTGTACGGCTTTATGCTGTTATCTTGTAAGAATGACATACAAAACTTTTTTTATGCCAAATTTGAGAAAATATGGAAATAACTTGATGAAAATCAACTTCATTAGCGTCTGTAAGGAAAATTGGTAAATTTCAATCCATGCTTTGACTAGAAAGCACCACTCTGTTTTGCCAAAAGAATGAAAGTTAATCATCATTGAAGAGATAATACAAGTTTTTATCAAATGACAAATTCTGGTATTTCACTGACAAAATGTAATAAAAAGTGTATTTCCTCAGCACAATCAGGAAATGTTCCCTTATACTCCTCTCAATAAAATCAGGGAATGTTTCCCTCATATTCCTCTCAATGAAATCAGGGAATGTTTCCCTCATATTCCTCTCAATAAAATCAGGAAATATTTCCATCATATTCCTCTCAATAAAATCAGGGAATGTTTCCCTCGCAGTCATTATTCTATGTAAAAATGTATATTTTACAGACCCATAGGAGGGGAGCCTGATGATAAGAAGAAGAAACGCCCCAAGTCTAAGGCCAAGAGATGAGGAGCTTTCTGATTGACCAGCTCTGGACGTAGTGCCTTCTTCATTCTAATGTGTTTACTGGTTTATAAGTACAGTAGGGAAACTTCAGTAATTATCACTGTGCTTACAGGAAAACAACAAATAGAAAAAAGATAAAAAAAAAACACTGTGATTATAAAATTACCATTTCTCAGGTCTTTCTTAGTAAAGCTCAGAAAGGAAAATTTCATCAAATTTTCTTAAGGCTGTCAAAAGCAAATGAAGGAGATGTAGAAAAGTAGCAAGGCATTTGGGTTTTTTATTTCTTGTTTTTCTTTATTGTTTATTTTTATTTTATTTTAGTTTAATCTATAACACCCAGATTTTGTTTACATGAAACATACAACTCAAATGAACTGTTTTAGTTGATGAGTCACCTTGGATTAAACATACTAGATAAGTACATCCATGATGTGTAAGAGTTTCATATTGTCTAGCTGGATTATCATAATTAACAATATGGATATCAAATATAATTCTGATATTTTCCTGGTAAATGTATTGTCATTAGAACTGTCAATAACAGAGAGGCCATGTTTTAATTTCACATGATCAAGGTCACAGGGACTTGGCACATTTTCTCAACCCACAATGTATTATAGTGTATGTGGATCATGGATTGGGAAATTGTGCAGTGTCCCTGTGTTTATGATAAGGAGGTCCTGTCTCTGGTTTTACATCAACATGGTGTCCCTATGTCAAAGGTTTTTTAAATAGTGTTGTTTATGATAAGGAGGTCCTGTCTCTGCTTTTACATAAACATGGTGGTCCAATGACTAAGGTTTTATAAATAGTATTGTTATATGAAGGTCCTCTATCGAGTTCAACATGACTCAGGGAGTGTTCCACATGCATTTCGTTTTGCCTTATTGTTGCATGTTTTAAGTGTTAACATTATCAGAGGACGAACAGATGTAACCACTTATCTGATCTCTACCATGTTCAGTATCAGGAATAAACAAGTTTACCTAGTTTCTGTGGAACCACAATGACAAATTTGCATATCGTGTTTGGTCAGATTAGACAGGATACAACATGTTTCCTCAGGTGGGATGATAAATGATAGATACAGGACTTATACTATACAAGACTTAGTTTATACTCATTTGTTTTCATTTTATCTTTATTTAGCCTGTTTTAGTTTGTCCTTAAAAGAAACATAGTCATCCAACTTGCATAACTCATAAAATTGTTATATTTCTAATTTATTTTTATACATATTTATCTAATTGATAGAAAGTTGTTTCATTCTATGCCTGTTTTGATTCTTTTCTACAAAAAAATCCTCTGTACTACTGTAGCAGCTGGTTTATGATGGAAATACAATCACTAGACTTCATCACCAGGACAGATGTCCGAGACAGAACACCATTACATAATGTTAACAGTTACAGAAGGGCCATCTGTCCATACATATATTGCACAAACCACCTGGAGATAACTGACACTGGACTACACACAGAAAATTCATCCATCTGATTTTACATTTGGACCTAAATCCTGAACAAATAGTTGTACACAGAAAATTCATCTAATCTTTATATTGAGACATTAGCTATGAACATGACTAGTTCTGCACATTCTGTTTCCGATTTTGAATCGAGGGAAAAAAGTCCAGTAATGCACAGAAAAATTCATCATTCCAATTTTACATTCATACATACGAAGTTATGTCCTTGACATAAGCAATTACACACCAAAAGTCCAAAGTCCAACAATGGCAGTGAGGGAAAGTCTTTCAACTTTGTGACATGAACAGTGTCATGTTTTACTGTGTTGTAAATGCTTTATTACTTCAGCCAATATATAATACACAGGTCCTAAGATAAAATCTTTTATTACATTTTTAGCAAAGAAATATAGGGATATCTCAAACTGATAAAAGTAATATTTTTCACTCGTGTGGCTAATATTTTTGATATCATTCACTCGTGCTTCACACTCGTGAAAGATACCAAAATATTAGCCACACTAGTGAAATATACTTATTACTGAAGACACTATTAAATATCCTATATCTATTCATATTTTTAGAAAATCAATTTTACTCTTTTTTTATAGTTCATTAATGAACAAATATGAATGCATGAAGTACCTGATAAACATCATTCATGTCAATGCTTTGCTTTCATGATTTCTCTATATGTTCATAAAATTTTAGGTTGACAGTAAACGTAATTGTACTTATATTGTTACCTGTAAGAATTCAAAACCACAGATATATTAATGAAATAAACTTTATAGAAGCTTGGAGAAACAATTTCACTCTCTATATATTTTCTTGTTTTTATATACCTTGTGTTTAGTTATCAAACTGACTCCATATTCTTTAAAATGCTTATATTTAATCATTTTTATATAACTTTGATATCTAGCAAATATTTTATTACTTTTTACCTTGTATCTATAACACTTTGAAATTCCTAAATTTTTTAACATCTTTCATAGAGCACACCTTTACATGTACATTGCTGTAATGATAGATTTGTATCGTTCATGAATTAACCATTGTGCAATAGTGAATTTAACACCACTTAATTAATCTACCTTATATGTAGTTATATAGGTGTGCAATCTTTGGAGCTTTGTAAGGTTTGCTGTTTAGGTCATCATGTCAGGTGTGTAATTTTGGGATTAGGTAATGTAATCGTTACTGGTAAAATCTGCAACCAAATAAGAGATTCTATAAATTTCTCTTATGGTTTGTCTAGTTGCAATCAAGATAAACATGCTTTTTCTACATAATATCAGGTACAGTTCTATTTGAGTTGTGCCAGTATTATGTGTCCTTGCCTTGTGTCACCACACCTCTGTACAGTGTGGTACCATTCCGTCCATATCAACGCTCACAATCTTCTTGCTATATCCATAGCTCTGTATTGTTATGTTATTCAAATTTTATTATCTAGGTCAAGTTCATTTTAGATAAAATTATACTGTAAATAAAGGAAAATAAAAACAGAATTGGCTTTGTTTTGTTTATTTTGATTTTTTCAAGTTACTAATGTATTGAAATATTTATTAAAATCTGGGATCAGTTCAGGAATTTTTTTTCATCTCTGAATAATTTCTGCCAACTTGTGAATTAGAAAATAAAATGAATCACAGAATTGTGAACATAACAGCATTAAATTGATCTATGTCCCACAAAAGTTTCTTTTGATAGATTTGTGTATATGTTCATGTAGCAACACTCTCTTAACCAGAGAAGCCACATTATGCGTTTGATAGAGAAACTCCTTATTCATTTGACTTTTTAATGGTTTACACCAAACATGTTAAATTCTGATTCACATTTTGTCATAGCGGTTTGATAACAGAATGTGTAAATACTTCTGTGAAAAACCAATCCATAATGACATGCTATACTTAATGATCAGCCTTACATTTAGGTGTCAAATATCATAACATCTCCATAGATATCAACAAAACTTTCAGAAAAGAAATGGACATGATGTGTTTCCTCAAGGACAAGATATGTATATATTTGGGTAGACTAATTTAGTTAAGGCTTCAACCCTCTGCCCTTAGAGGTCACATCAGGTCACAGAAGCCTCTATCTGAACAGGCTTCGTGATTTATCCCATGCATTTACCGTTCATACATTCCAAGTTATCCTTGACACAAAGGAGAGAATAAATACATCGCTGCTTTATATATATAACAACATCTATCAAAGTGACCACATTTTAATAGAGAAATGAAGCTGTAGAAGCCATGTCATAAAGGAATGTTTAAAACTATACACAGATCACAAACATACACTGTTTTACCATCACGGCACAAATATCTATATACACAGCTCATGAACATAAAATGTATGTAAGATAAAGACACAACATAAACATGTAGTAAAACAAGCATTTTATACAATCATATACACCACATTCATTACATCAGAAATGAAATGTCAACTTTGTATTAATTGATCTTATAGGTTATGCGCATGAAAAAGTATGATGTTGACCATATAACGCCCCCCTGTTTAAAGCAATCAATTTCTACTGGTTCTCTGGGTGGTTGTCATAGACAGGTTTGACTGTTTGTGAAATACAACAAAAACATCAAGTAAAAAAGGAACAAGTCGCTTTAGTTTCACCATTCTCAACAGAAACTAAAAGTTTTCCCATAGCAGATCAAAAACCTTTAAATATGATATATAATGTAGGGGGAATCACAGTATTTTCACAAAGGAATGTATCTGAATATGTGATATCATCTGGACCCAGAGACGTATATGCGTCTCTGTCTGGACGGAATGGAAAAATTGGATCCAAGCTTTTTTTGTTTTAAAATCAATACAAATCAATAACGTACATCAAATTGCAATTAGCAGTACAGTAGATACAGTGAAAAGCAGACAAAATGTTATGAGTGGAATAAAATATATTTTCACAAAAGTATCACAGTCTTGTCACACAAGTTTGAAGACAATGTGTTAAGTAGATGATTCAACAACTTATCTAAGTAATAAGACACAGAATCTTAATCAGCAAGATAAATAAACATTTTGAAAGCACATCTTTGAAACATTTCAAATCTTCTCTCTTTAACACAGTCTACAGTAATCTACAACAATGACATGGTCTGGTACATACATGTAGAAAGTACAATAACTTTGGCATACTGTAAACTTATTTTTTTTTTTTTTTTTTTTTTGCATGTTTTATTTATATGAATTTCAATTGAAATACATTTGTAACAAAAAATATCAAGAATGAAGACAACAATAACGACTATAGTCTGTTTCGGGAATGTTAAAAGGTGTAGTATACCAGGTATTAAATATAGTCTCTTTGGAATGTTTAGAGGTGTGGTTTAATAAATATAGTCTGTTTTGGGAATGTTAAAAGGTGTGGTATAATTAATATTATCTGTAATTGTTGAGAACATGGTTTGATGATAAAATCTGGGAAAGTTAGAAACTGGAAGTTGATCCAACTTTATTACAGCATTAAATCCTCCCTAGATGTTTAAGTAATGTGTTATAATCCTAGCACAATCTGTTTCCTGAAATGTTACGGCATTTATAAAAATATGTAATTATGATAAATGTTGAAGTGTACTTGTCAAAAACTCTCAATAAGTAAGAGTCAATATTAATACTGATGCCATTTCTAAATTACCAATACATCTAGATCTACAGAACAGTTACTCAGAAAGTACACTGAAGATCAATGAATTCCATTTCATGTGTCTAAAAAACTCATATTAGAGAAACAATGTTTAATGAAATGATTTATAAAACACTGTACTTCAGCACCAGTAGAACAAATCCTGGAAAGTACATGTAAGGAGGTCAAAATTCTTATACGATACAAAACGCTTGCCAGGTATGCTACTTGATAAAAATTATATTCTTGATAACAAAATATCTGGTATTTGTTCAGTTATCAATATAGCTACTGGATGTTTTCAAAGTCTGACTACAGAAATTGGACATTCCATGTTTTAAATATTGCTACTCCTTAATAAATATCTACTGTATAACAAGTATCTATTAATGGTGAACACTGTTTATATACTCCATGTGTTGCGGAGGATGTTAGCGAAGTCATCGTCACTATCCACAGCTATACTAAGGCCTTCGTAGTAATCCTCAAACTCCTCATATGTCACCTCCTCCTGGCTTGGGCTCTCCTGGACACTGTCAATGAATGCATGAAGTGCACTTCCAGATGAATCAGTTGAGACTGAAAATACACAAACAGTTATTATTATATTATCACTGTTAGATGTACTGGTATAGAAGCTTACATGAGTTTCCATTTGATTCGTGAATTTATGAAAAATTTGTGACTGGTTTCATAAATCACATGTCAAATGGAATTGAATCTAAGATCCCTTTTTTCACATGATCAATAATCCAAACACATATTGTAGAAAACGAACATTTCCATGTAAAATATGACTTCTTTTCGGCTCTATGTCTGTAGTCCCCATTTATTTTACAATACAATCTGTGAGGTTGTGACATCATTTCATAATGTGAAGTGATGTTACAATAAGCTATCTATAATGCACATGAGTAATATGCAAAAATATTACAAGGCATTCTTGTGATAAATTGTAACAATTGCAAGTGTCTTTCATTATCAGCTGTATTTTGGCGATGGTGAAGAATACAAAAGTTTCAGTCACTTTTGTCTTTCTGTCCCTAGCCAAAATACAGCTTTTATTTAAGACACTGATTGAAAATCAGATCATCAAAACCTAATGTTGACATTATGCTGAATTTTGCCTGATGAAGTACACCAAAATAATTGCTCAGTGCGGAAATATAGTTCCAAACTTGCAACAACTATTATATTAAAGTAAATTCAGAAAATATTTTTGTCAAATCAATGCAAATGAACTAATTATGGAAATAACATAGCTGTTTTTGGTTACTGCTGAATACAGCAAAAACATATGTGGCAGGTGTATTTTGATAATGGCAGTGCCAGTTCCAGGATAATGTAACATTGAAAATGCCTCTAAAACAAGAAATGTAACAATGTGAAGGACACCTCTTGATTATTACATAAAGTCTGACCAAATTTCATGAAAGAATGAATTTGCTAAGTGTTTAAATTTCTCAATATATTATATATATATAATATTTATATCTGAATGCTTGTAGAGACTCTACCAGGGGTAGTACTTACTTGCTGGGTGTAGATGTGGCCGGAAACTTGAGTTGAAGAATTTCTTTATCTCATTAAGTGTAATTCTTCCTCTTTTACTTGCATCAATTTTTCTAAATGCCTGAAAAGTTAAAAATTTTCCAAAATATTGTATACAAAGTCATATCAGAACATAGTGTTTTGCATGTAGATTTTAAATTGAATCGGAAGAAGATTTAGTGCTGCATCAACCTGAAATGGTCATAAATTACATGCTATAGGCCTGAAATTATCATAAATCATATGGTATAAGCCTGAAATTATCATAAATTAAATGATATAAGTCAATGATCATTTAACTTCCTCCACAAATGAGAATAGGATGAAAGAAACAAGACAGTAATTTGAAACAGATCTCTTCTTGTTAATTGTGTTGGAGGGTTCCTTACAAAAGTCAACCACGTACCTTCCTGACGAGGGCCTTGCGGTACTCATTCATAGTACCAATTATACCATGGACATACACTGTATAGTCCAGTTCCCCTCGATCTTCTGGATCCAAAATCTCAAATACACTGTCAAGTTGCTGCAAATGGAAAGGAATATTGAAATAAATAACTTAATAATCTAATCATACTTTTCTTGTTTTAACTCAATGTGAAGCTTAAGGAAGTTTAAAGAAACCAAGGCAGCTACTAGATGCTACATTTCAAGAGTTTTACAAATGCTATCTTAAACCATATTATATAACAGCAAGGAGATAGTTATACATCACAATACAAACTTGTATTTCTTTAAGAGAATTCTGTCAGATGTACACAATACCACTTTGATACTTACATGTGATATAAGGCCTGTAGAGAACTTGTATTTCTATGAAAAATGATGTCTGACATATGACATACCGCTTTGATATTTGCAAGCAATGTAAGGTCTGTAGAGAACTTGTATTTCTATGAAAAATGATGTCTGACATATGTCATACCACTGATATTTGCAAGCAATGTGAGGTCTGTAGAGAACTTGTATTGCTACGTAATGATGTCTGACATATGTCATACCGCTTTGATATTTGCAAGCAATGTAAGGTCTGTACAGAACTTGTATTTCTATGAAAAATGATGTCTGACATATGTCATACCGCTGATATTTGCAAGCAATGTGAGGTCTGTAGAGAACTTGTATTGCTACGTAATGATGTCTGACATATGTCATACCGCTTTGATATTTGCAAGCAATGTAAGGTCTGTAGAGAACTTGTATTTCTATGGAAAATGATGTCTGACATATGTCATACCGCTGATATTTGCAAGCAATGTGAGGTCTGTAGAGAACTTGTATTGCTACGTAATGATGTCTGACATATGTCATACCGCTTTGATATTTGCAAGCAATGTAAGGTCTGTACAGAACTTGTATTTCTTCAAGGGAATTCTAACAATTAGACATATACTATATATCTATAAAACTTACATCTGGTGTGAGATCGATATGAAACTTAATAATGCCAGCTTCCAGTTCATATTTGTACAGTACCCCTGTCCTCTTCTTGTCTGCTTTTCGGTAATAACGCCCCAGGCCAGTCATCGTCCTCACACCTCTCTTTTTCAGTTTTTTCCTCACCTCAGCTATAATTCAATGTTTCATGTTAGCAATGAATTAATAGGCTGGATCAAAGCTTGAAACCCTGACTGATGATATATCTTCTCAACACTCATTTCACAGACTCTTATGTGCTTGTATTTATATTTTTTTCATGCATTTTCAAATGTTGAAATTGAAAAAAAAAACCTCTATGTAAGTTTATTTCACATTAAAAAATTAGACTGTGTTATAACCAATGACTTCTCACCTTGTAGACTTGACAAGAAGACACGATCCTGGTATTCATGTTTGTTCTGTATATGAAGTTTAGCATAAGTTTCCATTCTTGCTGATGGTCGTACATCACTCAAACTGAAAACAAAATCAATCTTTATCCTGAATCTACCAAAAAAGGTAAAATAGTATATTATAAAATATACCGCATTTCAATGCCATAAACTCAATTAAGTGTGAAATCTAAGACAGTGAACATGTAGCAGTCCGTTGCCCAACCCATATCACCCGCGGCCATGAGTTATTTTGGATATATGTTCTATTCAAATAGAACCTTGATGCTAAATCTGAACATGTTTGTACAGATATTCAGTAATAAACAAGCCAAGGAAACTTTAACATTGGATATAGTCATACAAACAAAACAAAGGCCAATATGAATAAGTCAACACATTACACATATAAGGTAATATATACACCATACAATTTACTCATGACCCAAACATTATACATACAGGACATTTTGTTTTTCCTCCTCCTCCACATCTGTCAGAGTGAAGTAAATCAGGTCCTGTTTCTTCAGTGTGTCTGGCAAGGAGTGTTGGCCTTCTGACGGTATAATGAGAGTCATCCCCTGGCAGGCATAAAATCAAGGATAGTTACACAGATCAGGGATGCTAGTGAGATATCATAATAGTCTAAATAACTACTCCATGAACAGGTAAAACTTTTACTGACAAAAAACTGGTCATTTTGACACCTCAGGTTAAACATTCTAAACATGTTCAACAATAAGAAAATATTTGTGAAACATGCATATGCCCCCACCTGATACTTGGTAAGAAACATTTATTGTGAAATATTGGTCACAGTGACCTACAAATTTTCATTTCATTTCGACAAATTTTAATGACAGATGGCATAATCAAATGGATTCAATAACAGGCAAAGCCTATATAAATTCTCTCCATGGATGGCTAATGGAGTAGAACAATACTCATCTATAGAACTAGAGGCTTAAGTAAAACATTTGATGAAAAAAAAATACATTTATAAGTACACAACACAATCAAGGGATGTAGCTCACAACTTACAACTTTTAACAAATAAACACACACCCTCATTCACACCCTTACACACAGATACAGGTATGGACTATACACTATCATCAATGATAACATTTATAATACTGTAGATGGAATAGGAACAGTTAATGGTTGATTGACCAACATTCAACCTACAAATAACAGCTGTGAAGGTGCTGCTCAAGGTGAATGCTTGGTAATGGACAGTTCCAGAGTAACAGTCAAAAAACTAAGCTTAAGTCCAATGCTAAGTTTAATCAAAGTGAAAGCTAACTCCAATAAAGTAAAAAATGTAGGTCACAATCACCTACAAATAAGACACTAATTTATTATTGCTTTAAAAGAATACACAAGTGAAGTGTAAATACTGGGTAATGTAACAGACAAAACCAAAGCAAACACTTAGTCATAGTCAGTAAAATAACAATAGGTAGCAGTGACCTACAAATAACACAGCAGTGATTCCCCAAAATGTAAGCAAGTCTTAACAATACATAGTTTCAGAGAAGAATTAACTAAATAATCATGATGGGGCATAAAAATATCTTCTTTCAGGGATGGGCTGTAAATTCACACAGTAACAAGACAGGATTTAGCAATCTAATCATGTTAAATATGTTGTCTATGAGACATAATCATCATAAAATACAACAAACAATATTTATTATCTTTCTAAGATTTGTTTAAAATTCAATGAACAAGTAAATATTTACCTGTGCAATGTCTGCTAGGGTATACGGCTCATCCTTCCTTGGTCCGTGTACGTGGCAGTATTTACCTCGAGTAATGAATGGCAAGGCCTTGGCACTGAAAGTTCATTAGGTGAGATACTTAAATGTTTTAACTGAATTTCAGGAAATTGCTTTCTCTGCATGATCTCATAAATATTCAACTATAAATGTCCTTTGAAAAATGAATACCTTGTAAAATGTAATGATCCAATGCATTAAATAATTTATTCAAGTCATTAAAGTATTCATATATTGCTATCATTACTATTATCACTGGTGTAAAAATAAAAATTCGAGTACCTTTTACCAAATTGTCTGAACTCGTATATGGTTAATGTGTTGTCCGAGTTGAAGAAAAACCCTGTAAGTTCTCTCATTGCATCATGGCCATTTCTAAAACAAGAATTCACAGTCAAGTAATACATATCTCGGTTTCAAATGTCAAAATGTACTTGCTCCTCAATATGTACTTAGACATGAATAAGACTTGGAATTCTTTCTTAGATAACGAATTGAAGGGAAGCAACATTCAAATTTCAGATTTCTGTTTAGTTTTCAATATCTATGACACTAAAAATGCAATTTGAAGTATGCTAAATCAGAAAAGAAAAGTCAATACTTAGGGCAAGAAATTTTCAAAACACTTACCCCCTTAGCACCTCTGTTATAGCTTACCTGGTTACCACCCTAGCACCTCTGTTATAGCTTACCTGGTTGCCACCCTAGCACCTCTGTTATAGCTTACCTGGTTACCACCCTAGCACCTCTGTTAGAGTCTACTTAGTTACCATCCTAACACCTCTATTATAGCTTACTTGGTTACCACTGTAACACCTCTGTTATAGCTTACCTGGTTACCACCCTAGCACCTCTGTTAGAGTCTACTTAGTTACCATCCTAGCACCTACTTGGTTAACATCTTAACAGTTCTGTTACAGTCTGGTTACCATCATAACACCTCCATTTCAGTCTACTTGGTAACCATTCCAGCATCTCTGTTAAAGCTTACCTGACCACTACCCTAGCACCTCCGTTATAGCTTACCACCCTAGCACCTTTGTTATAGCTTACCTGGTTACCACCCTAGCACCAAAACGAATCCTCTTTGACAAAAGATTTTCTGTAGCTGTATTCTTCGTTCTCACTCTGAAACAAAGATTCATACACTTTAGGAATATATGCGAAATGTAATAAGTTACTTAAGTGTAATAGAGAGATATCAATTGATACTTTGGGGAGTTTGTCCTTTAAAATTCGAAATGATTATGACAAATATTCTGTAAAGATATATATCAATCTAAAGAAAGAATTTGTTGGAAATTGAAATGAAAGCTTAGGACTGGAGCTGGTGTGTCGCTCTGTCAACAAACATTATCCATCTTTATACGTTGTACACAAAGTTATATCTGCTTTCACACAAACTGAAAAGTATCTACAGAAGCTGAAAAGTGAGGCAACTTACTTAGAGTCATGTAGTGATCTGTTAGACCCTCGGGCTCGGCGGGTGTCAGTCATCCTGCTGGAACTTCTTGTGTTCTGCTCTGGGTCACTTATCACAGCTCTGTGGATGGAAAAACATTAATATCAAGTCTTTAAAATTCCTATGCATGAATGAAATTGTCAGTTGAGCTACTTCTGAGTGAAAATCTGCTGATATGTTATGGAATTATTTGATAGTGGCATTTCTAAATTCATTGAATAAATATACAAAATATATGTACATTTCTTTACAAAGAGAGCCAACAATACAATTAACATATCCTCCACACATGTGACCTTTCCAGCCAATTGTCTTTCGAGACAGAGGGCCTCTGTAGACAAATGGCCCCATAAGACTAAAGGTCTCTCTAGACAAAAAGTCTCTCCAGACAGGTAACATCTCTAACCAATTGGTCTCTTTAGACAAGGGGCCTCTCCAGAAGGGAACCCTCTCTATATAAATGGTTCCTCCTGACAAGGGACCTCTCTAGACAAAAGGTCTCTCTAGAGAGCCTCTTTAGTGAATGGCTTCTCCAGACATTGTGTTTCTCTAAACAAATGGCTTCTCCAAATAGGGTACTTCTCTAAATAGCTGGTCTCTCTACACAGGTGGTCTCTCTTGCCATATGGTCTCTCAAGACAACTAGACAGATAGTTCCTATAGATAGTAAGCCTCACTAGACAAGTAGGACTTTGTCAGATAGTCCCTCTTAGAGAAACTCTTGCATAAAAATTTCTTTTAAATGATGGGCACATTGACAATGACATATTAGTGGAATCAGTTCCCTTATTAGTCTCCATATAGACTTGACAGTAAGTACCTTGACAACTGATCTATCATGACTGTCTCAATCAATTTCTGTTTTTTGTTGTAATCAAGCATCTCCTCCTGAAAAACAAAACAAAATAGTAATATCTGAAATTTCTTCATCACTCCATACAGTAATACAATGTATGTCAGTTTTCTTGATCAATTTCCTGAAACTGTTTAGTTTCTTTCTCCCTTGTCTCAGTTACACATGTTTACAGCTGTACATGTACAATAATAGGTGTGTGGCAATTCAGTTTTTAACACATTAAACTGAAAAAAGTCTGGAATGATTCAGAGAATACCTAAATCAATAGGTCATTAAAGAAACACCAGAGAGTAGATAACCAGGATTTATATCATAGTTGTCACTTACTGCATCCATTTTCTTCAAGAGTTGTTTCGTAGAATAAGATTTCTGAGTCGCCCACTGATAATCAATGACATCATCTTCATCTGCACTATCACCCAAATCCTCTCGATCAACCTCATTTCGTACATCACCATAAGTAACTGGACGGCCATGTTTCATCACAGCAACCTCTCGGTCAATATCCTCCTGGAATACAAGAAAGAATAGCTAGACAGTGTGTCAACAGTTCAGTTTCCTATGGGGGTGTGGCAACAGAAGACCTAACATAAGTTACAAAGTGACTATTCTTTCCATTATTATGATAGAAACTGTATTTGCTCCTAAAGTGATAAATATCACAACATGATCATGCTTTTGTGAATGCCTTGTTGCATTACATTGACTGACAAAATTATATAACAAGTAATTCTCCAGTGTTAAGGCTTCCTTATATAGAATGATGAGCTCCTTCATGGTATTCAATATCTCACCTCTTCCTGGCACACATGGTTCTACATACTTCTGTCTATTATTTAAAAAAAATACACAATGCATGTGCATAGTTTTACAATGCACCATCCATTGATGTAAAAACAATCTAATACTGTGGAAAAAAAGGGTTTTAAAAAATGCTGTAATCTTAAAATCTTAAATGGTTTGTATCACACTCACTGAAAATAACTGAAATTTCCTTTTCTTTGATTGTCCTTGATTGGCATTAAAAATTCCTAATATTGTTTTAAAATTCATTTCTTTTACATATACTATTTTGATAGATATCACATGACAAGGAAGGTTCTACAATAGTATTACAATGTTCACAGACCTCTGTCACCTGGCCTTTAGTTCTGTAGGAGTGTTTCATCTCATTCTCATACTGTTTATACATCTGTTGGTGCTTGGCTGAGGGAGGAGGCAATTCATCTGGCAGGGGAACCTTGTCCCATGCAGACGGCTGAAAGAAGCAAGGACATACAATGAAATAAAGAACTAAAAGTTGCAATTATTTTCACTGAAATTCAAAGTACTGTCTTTCATGAATGTAAAATTGATTACATACTGTATCCTGGTATGACACATGAAAAAAACAAGAAAAATAAGAACACCTTAGAATTGGAAAAATACCAAATGAATACATCATAAGTGTAATTGTATCTTCTATATCACTGGTGTAGAATACCATGTAGGATTATCATAGCTACAAATATGTTCATAACAATAGATCCAATTTTGATATAGGATCTGATCTCAAATCACCCACATCTGATGCCATCCTCTCCATCAGCATTAGTACATAATTCATATGGTTACCTCTTTAGGTGTCTTAGGTTTAGGTGTCTTGACCTTTGACCCTCCTTGTAAATCTCCACCCAGTTTAAGTTCTGGAACATCCTTGGGGCGGGTACTCCTCCCACTGCCCTGACCCCTAGATGCAGGTTCACCCTGCCCCAGGGACTGCAGGTAAGGAAGGCAAGTTAGAATATTAGTATGGAAGACATGTTATCTGTCCAATTCCCTATGAGTGAAGGAAACTCTTTTTCCCCTGTATTATCATTTGGTTAGGGATTCCATGAGCAGCCAAATGTATTAGGTTTTGGTGAGATGTTGCTCAATCAGACTTAACATTTTTGTGAGGTTTTATGGCAATGAAAATTAGATATGATATGAATTATTAATGATGTTTACAACATTTGCTATCAGTATTGTGATCAGAACAAATATTTACAAAACCTACACAGACTGGAGGACATTAGTAACATTAAACCTACACAGACTTGAGGACATTAGTAACCATAAAACCTACACAGACTTGAGGACATTAGTAACATTAAACCTACACAGACTTGAGGACATTAGTAACATTAAACACACTGATATTTGTAATTAATTGCTAGAATGCAGTTCTTTAATACATACATCATACTGATTCTGTTTCACACCTCGTGCCGAACAGAGCTGGCTTCTATCTGTTCCACAAGGAGTGCCCCAACTGTACAGCAAATTACAAAATATGTATACTGTGTATCAAAGTTAACAGCATCTAATCAATAAAGCCCTACTTGGTTGTCCTTACATCCATCCACAGTTCTAGAATTTATTTCAGTGTTATACACCATTTCATTGATCTAGTAATGAAATCAGAAATCACTCATCAGTTAACCTTTACTGTATACACCAACAAGTCAATCATTTCAATATTTCATGTGCAAATTCATTAAACAATCTGTCACATTCTCTTTTCTGGGGAAAGATACTAACTGATACTTGGATTCTATTGTGAAAGGAAGAATTAAACTATATCATGTTTGATAAAAGGAACAGGAAACATTATTGGCAAGCAGTCTCTAACATTTTGCTAATACTACATGTATCTTAATTGTAACAATATCATGGCCAGTTCTTCATAATTATCTGTTATATACTGAAATAGGTTCACAAAGCCCCTACAATCACAGTATTGATATTTCACTCACATAAACTATAACATACCAGGAGTGTTTCATTGCATCATAAAACCAATATAATTAATTTTTTTACATGATATCATATAATATTTTGAATTGCAAAGAAATAGAAAACCATATGTAAATAAATCATTTGAAAGTACCTCACAGCAGTGGAAGCTGACCCTGGAGTATCTAAGGCATAGTCATCCACACGGATTGGACGAGTCACCTCTGCATCTCTTGTGAAGCAATTCAAATTCAATGCTGGAACGCTGAAACAATATTAATTTCAAAATATAAATCTTCAATCCGAAAGATATCATATGCTATATTAATCATAATATTAAAAAGAGATTTCCGAGTCTTTAATGGCTCAATATTGAAGATCCTCTCTCTACTCTTTCCTTCTTTCTCTTTGTCCTCATCATCCTTTGATAATTAGGGAATCTTTCATATGAAATCTAAGAATGATCTTAAAAGTCATTTCTGAGAAATAGCAATAACAAATTTCAACTGTCAAAATCCAAGTTGATCTCTTGTCAGCCATTTTGTTTTCTTAAGCAAACACAAAATAAAATGTGATCAACATGGTACCAATGAGAACTTACACATCAAAATTGAAAAATATCTTTTCAAGACACTATGCTCAAAAATCCAAAATGGCTGCCATCTGCCAAGAATTATTTAAGGCCAGATCATGGACAAAATGGTGGACTAAAAATATCATTCTGATTTTGTCAAATGTTTTGCTATTTTAATAGAGTGGCTGTTCACACTGAAGAGAGCTAGTACTAATTGATATTTACATACATGGTTTACTTATCAAAAACAGTCCAGCTAACATGGAAAGATAATGTGATAGAAAGATTTCCCCTTATCCAAACAGATTCAGTCTGTGTTGATACATTTTAAGATTAGTTTCAATAACAATGCTACAAACCCTTGTGGACGACTTTCTGGTCTGGAAACTTGTCTTGATGGTGGCCTATTGTCGTGTACTTCTCCCTGACAAAAATGTTAGAAAGTAAAATATTTCATCAAGACATTCTTCTAATGTCAAAACAGCAATGTCTAAATTCAATAAAATCTCAATGACATGGGGAATATCCTTGACATGCAATTTTAGTAAATGTATCTGAATTCAATAATGCTCCATCTATCATCTCACAGTAAGAGATTATATCAGAATTACTCAAATTAAACAAATATTCAAATCTCTTCAAAAAAAATAAAAAACAAAAAGTGAAGGCTAAGGCTTAGCTTTATTGATCAAGATCATCAGTACAGATACTATATACATTTTATAATGGTTTGTACAATGAATATATGAAGTACCAGGATAGCAATATTATCATGGCAAATCATGTACCATGGGTTACAATCACTTTTGCTCTCTGCATCCCCTCGAACATTTCATGGCAAAATGGAAGGTTCCACATACAACACCATGTGGATAAGACGAGAAGGTATAGTTTGATTCTTTGACGTACATCAAACAAATCTCAAAGTCGTATAACAGTATGTTGTACTGACTTTGATGACGGGTGTCACTCCTTTGTGATCTGCAATGAGGTGTATTATTGTGTGATCTGTCAGTTATTTTCTCCTGAAACCTATTCTAGACCAATAAAATTACTCCAAGGGTGCAGAAAGCAACAGCGAGCATAACCCTGGGAATATCAATGATGCATACATGATAGGATTATAGAATTTCTTCGGTTTTTTATTTACCGTGATTGGGTTGCGGGTGGTGTTGGGTTTGGCACTAAGCGGTCTACCACTAGATGGTCTTCGTGCGCTCCCTGGAATATTTCGTTCATAGGTGACAGGTGCAGGCGACCCACCCAAAATAGAATTCATGACTCCAGTTGTAAAACTGTTGCTTTACTCCATCTCAATACCCAGTTTGTTTAACCTGAAATATCAATATCATTTCCAGAATTTTATGTCTCTTCTGTTTATAGCAACAAAAATGATACATTATTTATACATATATATATATTATATATTAATTACTACAAGTTACAATGGTCAAAGTTTCAAGTATTCCATGCAATGTACCCTCCTTATTTCACAACAGCTTTTATGAATACAAATTTATTGCTTTAGGTTTTCATTATTTTCAAAACCTCACAGTTTACTGCTAAAACTAACAGACTTCAAGATAGAATGTTGATGTCTGCTATAAGTCTATTACTTGTCAATTTTTGTGGACAACAGAAGCTATGCTAATATATAATTTTTTCCTTTAATTAGCAATCAATGTGGTGGGGGGGGGGGGGGAATTCAGCTGCCTAAGTTTGGAAAATAGCCATCTTCTTTCAATCTGGAGCAGAATTAGATCATCCATATTCATCCACATGTACATGACTTTTCTATATATGACTTAATTACCTATTGACTATGATTTGGGATGGGTCTTCGTTGCGATAAAATCGCGAACATATAAGCAAAACTCCTTTACTGATACTTTCTTGTTATATGGTTGTTTATATTTTATAGTCAGCTGTAAAAGTCAACCAAAGGCTTGTGTTTCTGATTTTAAGCATCCATCGACTTCATGTGATCTTATCACATATCATGTTACAAGGTAATTGCTAATTAACTAACATTAATCAACCGGTCAGTTTCTGCCAACCGCCTTGAGAATACCATGAAAGCTACTAACTGAATCTTGTTATGCGAAATCTAAAGAACGCAAATCCAAAAGAAAAATACGAATTCATTTGAATATATGAAACATACCGAATCTTTTATGTTGAGAAACTATGAAATCTCCAAGCAGTCGGCGTTGTCAACTTTTTTCCGCAGTCCATTACCGGAAGTAAACAACGGTATGCAAAACAGGCTCACGGTTAATTTAATATAACGAATATATAACCTACACACATTACAACATAAAATTGCAAAACTAAAAATGAGAAAATATTTTTTTTGCAAAATAATTTGAAACAATCACTACAATAGTTAAGTCAATGCATGATATTTGTGCAGACTGTGCGGAAATAAAATACTCTACCTAACGATAAAGGTAATGACGGAAATAGATACATCGCTAAAACTCGTTGAAAAGGGTACCTTTGTTTAAAATCTTACAAATGAAAAGTAGAATTTAAAAAATCTTGGTGATTCATTAAGAATTATCACTTCGGATTTTATTATCGACATTATCTCACGAAAACAATTCCCTCTCTTTTCTTAGTCTGAATTTCCAGTGTCTAGTAAAATGTCTGTGTATTTTTTATCTAACTTCGTAAATACTAGCTGCAATATATCGATCCTACGAACAGAATTATTGGGTGAACATCAGGCTCGTCACGGGTTCGAATGCTAGCTGAAGCATTGAACTAAATAATTACCTCTGTCAGAGCCGTATATAACGCATGTGTTACATATACGCCTCTGCCTCTGTAAAACCTAAATTCCGGTACAAGTGATGTACAGAAATCCATTAGCTGTCACCATTGATGCACGCACGTCCCTTGACTGGCACTAGTGACATAAGTTTGTTAAATGGGTAAGCTCTAAATACATCGATACATAGATTTATTCTGACATTAACAAGGTACAGAAAGTATTACAGGATTAACAATTCTTTGATAGTCAGTTCTTTATACAATCAGGGACGTATATAACATGTGTTATATACGTCTCTGATACAATTTTTACTAAAATTAAGTTCACCACTTAATGTTTTCTCTAAAACAATACTACTGTGACTGGGTTTTCCAATGTTTATCTAGATTATATTGAAATTGTTTAACTGTCGTTGCATTTACAACACGAAATGGAAGACTGTTCCAAACATGTACGGTCCTCTGCGTGAACGAATATTTCCTCAAGTTCAATTTTGAATATTCTTGCTATCTTTTGTCGTTATGTCCACGTGTTTACGACCCTTCCGGCACAGAAAACAAGTCCGTTACTTTCAGTAAAAGTGTAGGCTTAGTATGTGTTCATTAAATAATTACCGTTAGGTGTTTTTGAAAGTATTTTATATTGTAAGGGACGTATAATCTGTTGTATACGTCCCCGATATTGTTGAACGGGTTATTAGTCCATCAGTGTTCCAAGATATATACGTTTTATTGCGAGTCCGGAATATGTGACACATGACGTGAAGCCCTTGGTTCAAAATTCCAAAACCGATCCATTGTGTTTCTATTGGCTAGAAAAAAAAATGTTTTTGATAAATACTATTCATAAGCTTGTAAATTCTGAAGCATACATTCTTGAGAATCCGGAATTCGTTACCTGCTAACGGATCGTTGCTTATATTCACATCTCGCGAGAACAACAAAGCTTCCGCCATTTCTCCCGGCTTCGCTTCTATAACGTTTTGTATATTGTTTTATTGTTAAGCACACACTACCAGTCATGGCTTACAAAGGCGGACCTAAAGTACAGAAAGTGATGGTGCAACCCATTGTATCCTTTCAAATGATTCATAATGAATATGCAGCAGTTGTGACAAAATTGTAGAATTTTCATTGCTTGAATTTTACTCACGTGTTCTACATGCAAACCCCCCCCCCCCCCCCCTCTCCCCTCTCCCCTCTTTTAGCCTTCTTCCAGTCTTTACGCCTACCCAAACCGCTAACTACTCCTGATTCACCCATATCATCTGAAATGTGTTCGGTTTTGTTTCTTTAATGCATAACGTACTCTAGTAGTCCTTGGAACAGATTGGGCAAAACCCCTCATACTGGTCCTGCATGTAAGAGATAGTCCATGGATAATCCATAAGTTACTCGAATGTAGCTAGGATAATTTGAAATAAGATTGCATCAACTTGTCTTACACATTTAAAACAAAAAGGGCACTGTGTGTCTTAACTATCCTTCAAATGCAGGACTATTACCCAATAGGTGTGGTCAATCGCTTTAAGGGCCTGTCTTTATTGTGGTTGATTAATAGAATGTTCCTTCTTTTTTAGTATGATAAGATGTGTTTGTTACGTTTTCTGATGGAAGAGCATAGAATTGGAACTTTGTCTATTTGTTTTCTTATAATTTTGTCCGGAGCATAACACAAAATCAAAAAGTATCAACATAAAGCTTGAAAAGGTAGATAGTATTATGGTGTGACTGCATTTTGTTCATTGTAAACTTTTCATTGTTCTATCTACCAGTTTTCAACCTAGCAGTATCACTAAAAATATTGGTAGGCTTATATGTTTTGTAGCAGAAAAGGGAAAGCAAACTCCTGCATGCATGTTGAGCTCTCCTTCTGGAGTTGAACCCAGGCCTTTGGATTGATTATCTGCTTTACCAACTGAGCCAAAGGAACATGCTCAGCTGGCTGAGTAACAGAGAGTGTTTAGCTTGCGTACAAGTGACACCGACAGTGTGCACAAACCTTTTTAAAGACTCACCGGACCAAAGAAAGAGAAATGTTCATATTTTTCCATTTTTGCTTTACCAAAATAGCAGATTGAACAATTTTTTGCCAGACATATCAAGTGGTCAGACAGCTTGGCACCCCAAATATTTTACACTACTCTGTTTTTCAGTGAAAGTTGTTTTCCTGAACAATGGTTTGATTTGTTTTTATATTTCGCTTTTATGGTACGGTAGTTAAATGAAGTTCTTAAGAATGAAGCTAATTAATTTTATAATGGAAGTTTGTATTGTGTTATTTTTCCTTGATTCAGAACAGAACTTGATTTTCAGATATTTGCAAAATGTAAGTATGAATGTCATTGATACAATTATATGCATAATATTATGTAGTGTCATGCCGATGGTATATGTATAATGTAAATCAGATTAGAAATTTACAGCTTCTCTCTGCCATCAAGAAGGTACAGTTTGATGTACCAGTAGTTATTACATTACAAAAATTTGTCATGCATTTGGATTATTCTGTTCATAAAAAGTAACTATCACAATCATGATAAAAATGCAATACAACTTCAGAGATTTTTGATATCCATTTTTTGAAGGAGAGTGTGTTATAATTTAAAAGAAAATACTTTCAAATGTTAAAAACATGCTAAACAAAATGTGGTAGGATTCCCTACCTAAGATATTATAAATGACTGTTGGCCTGACTCAAGTCGACCAGGTTTTTCTTTCCGGTAGATTTTGGGTTTGTGATTTTTTTTACATGAAATATTCCAATACAGTGTATGCAGGTGTATGTCATTCACTTTTTTTTTATATATAAAATTACAGAGGTCACGGATTCAAGTTTGGCTTTATGAACAGACAAATCTTAGAATAGAGGGATGCATTGTTGTAAGTATTTGATTTAATTGACAAGTTAATAAATAATTGAAAACTTATTGATTGCAACCTATTTGTCCAGTTGATGCAATATTGCTAATGTCTTTTATGAAGAATCTTCATTTTCCATTGACATAATTTTCTGTTGCTGGTCATGGAAACAAATTGCTAAAGTAATGATTGTTTTCAAACAAATCTCAAAAACTGTGCATGGAAACTTCATAAATGTATTATACATATAATTCATTTCTCCAGTATGCTGACATTATAATTGGTTACTTTTTCAATGGAGTAACATGTTCTTCATCAAGATACTGAATTAACCTATTTCAGCAATAATATGTTTCTCCTTATTCCATGTAAGTAGCCTGTGTTCCACTTACACTGTTTATCAAATGCTTGAAAAACTGAAAAAGTACATACAATGCAAGTAAATTGGAATTCTGTATTATAAAACAGGGGTTTGATGAATACATGAATTTAGTGTTGGATGAAGCTGAAGAAGTTCACATGAAAACAAAGACAAGAAAAACATTAGGTAAGAATTTTGATTGTCATTGTTGATAGGTATCTGAAAATCTTGGATTTAAAAATTTCAGAAGAATTACTATAATAGAAGCCAACAAATTTTAATCCTGAGTGATTTTTTTATTTTATTTTTTTCTTGTGTTAAATTGTAAAGCCAAGTTAATTGTTACCATCCGAAGTGATAAAATTCATGTTAAAGTTTGAAGATAAAAGATGAAAGGAAATTGGCTTACAGTTGTAGCCATATTAGTTTTGTTATCAACCAGACTAGTTCACTATTAAGACATTATAAAAATCATACCTTTATTTACCATACCCAAATTATCAAAATATTGATTATGATATGAATATGGCCATTTCCTCTATTCTGATCAAGTGGCCGAATGGTTCAGGCATCTGTCCAGCTTAATCACTATAGCCCCATCCTCTGGGCCATCGGCTCAAGGCCTACCTGGGGCCTTGTCAGATACCGACTACAAGTTGGTAGTTTTTCTGCGGGAACTACAGCTTTCTTCTACCACCCAAATCTTTAAATGACCTTAGCTGTTAGCAGAACTGTGAAGCAGCAATTTAATTTGATAACTCAGCAATGGTTTTATTGAACAAATATGGCAAACATTAAGGGTCAAGTCTTTATGTGGTCGGTTCCATGACTTTTTTTTTAAACAAATTACATTATCTTATTTCAACAGAAATTGGCAAGATTGATGTCATTTAATGCATTGTGGTGTTCAGGTGGCATTAGTTTCCTAGACATTTTTCAAGACTTGCATGTGAAACTGGTTCATACATAGTGAAGTAACAAACACTTCTCAAATTCTGGTCAGAAGACAATACATGTATCTGTTGATTTTATTTATATAATTGCACAGATTGATTGATAATGTTGGTAGATGTTGATACAGATTGGTAGATGTTGGTACAGATTGGTTGATAATGTTGATACTGATTGATTGATACTGATTGATTGGTAGATGTTGGTACAGATTGGGTGATAATGTTGGTACAGATTGGGTGATAATGTTAGCAGATGTTGATACAAATTTCAGTTATAAATATCACAACTAGAGTCATTTACCCCTTACATTTAGATATGAATTGTTTTAACACCATGTTTTGATCTGTATTGTGACCATGCTGTAACATATAAGTACACAACTGTTGTCAAATGTCAAAAATATATACTTTCAGGGCGAATTCTTCTGAAGGGAGACAACATCACATTGATACAACAAGTACAGTGAAACAACCATCATGAAGACTTGTACAAACATTTATTAAGAACACAACACCTGGAAGTCTGGAAGATGAATCTGAGAATGGAAGTGATGAGAGGGATATGAACGTTTACATTACATTTGTAGACATTTCCTGAAAATGTGTCCACATTCTGTACCTGGTGACTGGAGGAAGTTTCGTCCAGAAAAACTATCAGGACTTGCATCATCAACATCATCATCACAAAGCAGCAAATCATCATCTTAATATTACATTATCATATTTCATATTTCTCAGAAATCATAGGAATGACCATTATTCCTGTGACATTGTCATGGATACAGTGTTATTATCAAACTTACCAGACTTTATTGATATACTGTATTCAACAACAACCAAGCTTTTCCTTGGTCAGTTTTCACTTTAATGTATATACCAGAATGTCGAGAAGGTGCATCTCATATACAGAATGTATCCACAAAAATGATACGACTAAATAATTCTTGGTTTACATTATTTCCAGTGCTTGATTTCACTGTTATTAAAAAAACATTGAACTATGTTTAACTAGTAAGTTAGGAAATATTGAAACTGTAAAGCTGACTAACTGCCATTTCAGATTGTACATTATGATTACTGGTAGAAACAGAATTATTGTTTTTTATATTTTTTGTGGTTTTTAATGTAAACAGTGTTTTGAGGATATGAGGGAATGATGTGATTATTTTCTGTTGTCATGTGAAGTAAGTAAATGAAGAGAGAGTATAATATTTTCTTGTTTTTTGTATTTCACAATTTGATTAGAATAGTGTTGGCTACCAGTGTATATGTGTATTTAAAGTTCCTGTCACTGTTGATAAATAGGAACCTAAAAGGATGTTACTGACTTTCAGACTTTAAAGTCTTAGCCTACAGACAATGTGTACTGTAGTCATCATGATTATTTGATCAGGAAATTCTAGAAATTATGTACATGTACCAAATCCAAAGGTCCCCATGACAACCTAGTAACATGTCATAGAATTATACACTGTGCCATCTCAGATGTTGCCTTATTGACCTAGAAACAATGTCACTGATGATCCTGATAATGTAAACAAAACAATAGATTGGTACAATGTTGAAAATAATATCACCACACAATCCTAGAGATGGTGTCAGTCTTCTCAGTAAGGAGGTTACTATATGACATCCTAAAGACATCATTTGATGATGAAAATGTTTATCTTGTGACCTTTTTTTGTCGTTGCCCTTGACTCGGGATCGTGACATCATGGTAGACAGGGTCATTCATGCTCATTTCCAAACCCTTTGGAGAATTGATTTTCATCTGTCTTCTCTTTTGCTGATTAGTCTTTTCCTCATGGCCTCCTCTCTGTTGGTGATTTGTTTTCTGTTGCGGCTGTTTAGGTTTTGGATGGTCACTGGATGGTACCTGCTTTATTTTCCCTCTGTTTGCAAAATTCTCTGCCTTTGCCAGATCAGACCTGAAGAGATCAGAAAATTTTGTTTGTGAAATGTTATTTACAATGTGCACTCATAATATCACTATGTAATGCACAGCGTAACACCTTTTACACTGTTTCATTAAGTTAACATTAGTTAAAAACTACCATTACTAGTAAGTTACCTATCCACAACGCTTCCAAGAAATTAAACACATACAGTTGCCATCATCTGGCTTATCTCCCCTTGTTCAATTTTGTATTCCCAAGTCGGTGCTTGTTTCCTCTGTAGAAAGTATTCACAATTTAGCAGATTTGACATTTTCTGTTACTCTGTTATTGTATTATAGTTCTCTACTATCCTTTAATGATCTGTACGTAAAATTTCCGTGAACATGTGTATTGATTATAGCCTTATTTGTCGATGTGTTTAAATGCAGCCTTAAGCCTTATGAGGTGATTACAGCTTTACACTGTGCAATATTAGTAGATACCTGTTTTTGCACACCATAATGACAATGACTAGAAGAATAAGGACGGCCCCGCTAACAGTTCCTGCTATAATAGCGGTGAGGCTGGCATCTGAAAAATAGCAATCTTTTTAAAGATATGGAAGAGAAATTGTTTGCCTACTTGAGTACGTGGTTTAGTAAATCCTTGGCGCTATTTATCATTAATTTGTGCGTCCACCTATTTTTACATGGGTGTTCTTAACTGAACAGTTGCAAAATAACGTGCATATCACACTCTACTATGTGCAACGGCCAATGCTTGGCTCTTGCGTGTTGCTGAAATCCTTTCTGTATGGAATATTGTCTTGTAGGTGGTGCGGATAAACGAGCCGGGTCCTGAATCGTTACACATACTAAAACTATTTGATCGACATCAACACACAAGTACAGATCTTATACTCAAACTTACGATTATCTTCATATTTACTCGAAACTGGGTTTCGTCCAAAACGGAATAGTGACATTGCCGAAAGTTTAAATGTGTGCAATGTAGGGGAGATATTTAATGAAACTTGAGGTTGCATACTAGAGTAAGTTAATGGGTGTAGTGTTAATTTTAACTATTTAATGTCTATATTTTATGTGATTATTTGTGCTAAGATAAAGTCACATGTTAACTGAAGGGACATACATCGTTGATAGTTTGAATTTCCGTTGAAAAGGCTCCTCCGTTTAGAAACACGCTTTCAGTTTTTAATCTTGCTATATTAACAATGAATATAAGATGCTCTCAAATCTTAAATATTGTTAGTCTGCAACTAACTACAGAAAATAGCACAAGTCGAGGCTTGAGACCATGACTGCCGATACCAAGTACAGTATGCTTCATCGCTGTCTTGAAATGGCCCTTCTCTACCATGTACACGACTTTGCTTTGTTTAGTTTGCAACAAGCCATATGACCACTTGGTTAGAATTATATATATCTTTTTAGCAACAAATAAACTCACTCTTTGGGTCCAAAATCGGGCTGTCATACTTAGATTGCAAGTGCCAAACGTCAATGCAAACTGACAAAAACGATTGTTATATGAGGGTCTTTCCCGAAGCAAATTCATTTTGCTCTAAACAATACATTCGTTTCGGCGATGTATTTTGTCTCCAAACTTTTAAAAAGTATAAAACTATGTTTTACATTGTAATTATTTTCGCTGTTGGACTGAATATACAATTGAGTGACACGTTACCTTCCTCATCCGATGTTGTGGTGTTCACTGTGGATCTTGTCGAAATTTCCGGTTTGTTACAGCGGACGGTTATCATGGCAGTAGGTTCTCTGCCTGTGAAATTAGTTCAATAAATCATCAATGTCATATGAGCAAGGAGCGGAACATTAAAACAAATAAGTATTGCAGACTCTTCAAACGTTCTATAAAGTTTGTTTTGTTTCGTGTTATATATATACGTAAGTAACCCATCATCTTAAATGCATTATTATTGGATAAATATTTTGTTGACCAAGACATTTACGGATCAACAGTACCTTTATATAGCCTTGACAGGAGGTACAATATAAACACAAACTGTTCAAAGAAATCATTCCAAAGTCCCGTTCATATACATCTGTTAAGTAAAATAAAATATCGCACTATCATGGCCCAATATTTTCCTGGAACCATGTTTCTGTAGTCATAGGGCGAAACTTAATAGGAACATAATCTTAGTTGTTCTCTTACAAACAGTTACGTCTGTAAAGAAGCCACCTACAAACTAAGAATACCTAGGGTAGACTTACCTTGAACACTGAACCAAACCATTTGTGGACGAGTCCCATTATCACGCCGAAAAGTGATCGTCAAACTGGAACCCTGTGTGCTAAAGACCACGTTGTTTTGACCAAGAACTTTGTCAGTTTCACTGACCAACGTTTTCTTTTGTTCCCTATCCGTGAATGTTAACGAATGGTTGGCGCTACATGTGATGTTTTCATATGCAGCATAACATTCAAGACGCATGTCCAGCGCAATGATGTCCAGTTTTGGCTGATTGCTCGTGACTGTACATTCACAGAGCTCGCGTGCATCCTCCCCTTCTATGACTGGGTACATTGCAGAGACAAAGTGGCCCGAAAGCGAAGCAGCAGTCGCCATGTTTATTATGGAAGAGTCTGTGATTAACGAGATATCAACTTTGAGTAAAAACAATGCGAGTTTTTCACTATAAAAATTTGTCACGTGTGGCCTACCGAATGAGTTGAAAATAAATTAAATTTGTTGGTTTATTCATGCAAGATGTCTTGTATGTGTTACCTTTGACCCTATATAACTGACTGATGATCACAAAAATCGAATGAATTATAAAACTTAATGGTATGATACTTTGATGCAAATACGGGTTCGTGAAATCGGGAATAATAATAACATGCATGACAAAAAGATGCAAGATAATTAAATGTATAACGGACATTTGTTCGTGGGCAACAATCTTCCACAAACACAATTGTTTATTTTAAGTCTTGGTGCATTTTCGTATCATACATCGAAATTAAAATATTCATATATCATGGTTAAATTGTTCGCCTACCTGCAATACACTGGTATTCCATAGAAAGATAATTTGAGAACGTTCTACCGACGGTGCAGTTATCACCGTTTACGATCCGCCGCCACACTGCTTGGGGTTGGGTAAGTGGTTGTGTTAAGCCGGAGAAAGCAGCGTAATATTGAAGTATTTCCGTGTATTTTGTGATCGGAACCAAACAGTCACCCGATTGGTAGGAACAGCACGAACCATTTTGATCCGCCCCTGCTGTGGCTGTCTCGAGAGGACAAACCACTGATGGAGTTTTCACGCCGTATTCCAATCCGAGGATAGCCATCTTTCTGTCATCAGTACACTTCGGGAAAAACGTCTTGGCGTAACATGCATACACATGTTTGGTGTCTTGATCTGCAATGGTAGAATGTAACATTGCCAAAGGAAACCATTAGCATGAAAACACTTGATCAGTAACTAATTTTTTTTACTGATGAGATTAAATGTATTTTAATAAAAACTGCGAAATATAAATCCACAGGTGATGTTCACATTCGTTATTAATTAATCATATCCTTTGAATATCAGCAATCCTGTTAGAATGCAATAGAGATCATTTAGTTCGAATAGAAGTGTTGCCCGATAGAAGCTGTTAAGAAAGGTTTTCGGTTCTTTGGTTGCACCAACCCCACGTTCCGTACTTAAAGAATGAAGTGTCTTGTCATGATTATTCTGGTTTCAGTTCAAAATATGCTTAAATCTTTTGACTTTTTTTTTGTCATGATTTTATAAATGACAGACACATGAGGGAAAAACAAAGAACAAACTGGGGATTTAGCAAAGATCTTTATGTTATTACCTAAAGAATTACACGTCTTGATTCCAGTTTTCGAGGATGGAACCGAAGAGAGAAGTATCATATCCATATGTAGCAGGTTTTTTAAAATTTTTATTATTGGTGGACGATGAGCCTTAAGGTGCGTAGCTGCCTTGACGCATATACGTTGCTGCATGAATATCATTTTCATAATAAAATTATTTGCCAAATCATCCCAATTTCTTTTCAGAGAAATCCTGGATCCGGCACGTCTTGAAAACTAAATTAAATTATTCATTATCGATCGACAGAGTTATAGATCAAATGGAACAAGCGCTGTGATTTAATGATGGTCATGCATTGAATTTTATCAATTATGTCTTAAAATGCACTTTCTTCTCATTAGTTGAGACAGTGATGTCATGTAAATATATGTTTCTAATATGTCAAACCCGATTGTTGCTTACCAATGAAAACGACCAAGTTGACTTTTATGTTAGTCAATGTTTTCATCATTCATGGACATTCCATGAATGTGACACGTGTGATGGTGCCCTTATCTTGGATCGTATAGGTGACTCAAGGTCTGTAGCTTCAGTGTTCGGGTAACCGTCTAATTAGAGCCAAACAGTGGTAAATGTTTTGTCTTATCGGGAACTGAAAGTAGCATGAAATGTGTCTGTATCCTGGACAAGTAATGCTATAGTGTTTTATCACAAATGTTGTATTCCGTGTTTTTATCACGGACTGTGATACAAGTAGGAAGTGGTAGGTGGATGATCGTTGACTAATAGTGTTATTTAAGGTGTCCTTTATCACTGACTAGTAGCGGTAGATGATTAAGTAATAGAACTCCACACCCAGAGAAAGATTCTTTAGTTGTCAAAGGTTAGGTTTCTATTTCCCACCTGGCTTCCCTATGTAGTGTTGTCGCTATCTCGACGACAGGCAGTTTTGGGTCGTATTGGAGTTATTGATATGCGATGACAATCATGAGTCTTTGCTGAGTATTTAGTTGGAAATAAAAAATAATATTACGTCGAGGATTGAGATTCCTTATCTTGTACAATCATTGCATTAGGATTCCCACTCTCTATCCGACGGGGAGATAGAGATATATTGATCTATTGGATATATTTGACAGTCTAAACAGAGGTTAGGCAGCCAAGTATCTCCTCCGATTGTAGATTTTTTATGTGTACTTTACTAAAAATAGTGTATGATCCTTTATCTTTCCCGTTACTCTAGATAAATCAAACATTGAGACACAGGGGACCCAATGACGGTTTTATGTCATGATTGGCGAGTAAATCTTTATATGCTATATATATAGGCTATCAAAATAATAAAAGATAATAAATTGTCAACCCCCCCCCCTCCCCCCCCCCCCCCTCTCTCTCTCTCTCTCTCTCTCTCTCTCTCTCTCTCTCTCTCTACGAAAACAATGAGGAAGTATGTGTTATTTGCTTCGTAAATAACTTGACAGCGTAACCCAGGTATGTGGTCGGTTGTTCCACGGGTTTTGCCCGTCTAACCGCGATTTTTATGCTCCCTATGCATAGTGTCGCCGCTTTGTCCGTCCGTTTGTCCTGCCGTCCGTCCTTGTGTGTCCGGAGTATGACTTTGCAAACATTTAAGCAAGGATCATGAAATTTGGTGTATACGTTGGTCATACTAAGGTGATGCCCATTCATCCAAATTTATGGCCCTTGGCCCATAAATTAAAGAGTTATTGTCCCTTGTTAAAAATTCTGCGTCTAGAGCTTCAAATTCAAGTTGCTTGCATTTAAACTAGGATAATGAAACTTGGTGCATGCATTAATCATACTAAGACAATGCGCTGTGCACCAAATTCAGGGCCCGCAACCCCTTAATTACATAGTTATTGTCCTTTGTTAAAATATCTTGTCCTTGTTACAACTTTGCTTGCGTTTAAGCCAGGAGCATGTTAGCATTCTAAGATAATGCGCAGTATACCCAATTCGGGGCCTGAAACCCATTAACTACAGAATTCTTGTCCTTTGTAAAAATATTGTGTCCTATAAAATCGTTTGTGAGGAGCTTTCACTTAATACGTTTCACTGATACGTTTGTTGTTCTATTTGTTTCGGAGTTGATGAAAAAAAAAACCACAAAAACAAAAAGTCGGAGATTAATCAATAAGAATCTTCCGGACTTTGCCATCGTTCCCTGACTTTACATTACACACGTGTGTATTGTGTGATAGGGCTACTATGTAATCGTACCGAAATTAATTGACTATTGCTAGTACGTGAAATGTCAACAGCCGTAAAATGTTACAAGAAATATAAACATATTGAGGTTACCTTGCCTTCTAACGGGATAAAAATTGAAAAAGTGATAAATATATATATAAGCATTGAACTTCTTTTAGTTGGCATCTCTGGGCATCATGAACGATAACTTGACAAAAGTGAATTCAACATGAAGTGGATATAGCTGGTATATGCTCATGGATGTCATCTGTAAGTATTCCAATGCTGAAATAGATATTTTTTCATTGAATCTGTAACTGAATGGATTTTCATATCTGCTATTATGATCTTGCAGTTTCATTTTATTGACGACAAAATTTTGCGTTTATTAATTCGACTTCCTAAATCCAGAATACCAGACTATCTACCCCTAAATGAGTGGGGGAAGGGGGGATCCTAATGGCAGGCAGACACAGATTCAACTTAGACAATTATACAAATTTGGGTACGAAACTTTTTATCCTATTACAGCCAGCACACGAACGATTTATCATAATTACATGGTTAAACAAAATAATTGTTCGGTATTGTATCAAAATAACTCTCTGGTCACCGAGAGAACATACATGTATTCGGAATAAAGAGCCGAATACTACAACTCTAAATATAGGCATCCAAACCAGATACGTCCTGGCTAAAAATTCATCCAAACCAGATACGTCCTGGCTAAAAATTCATCCAAACCAGATACGTCCTGGCTAAAAATTCATCCAAACCAGATACGTCCTGGCTAAAAATTCATCCAAACCAGATACGTCCTGGCTAAAAATTCATCCAAACCAGATACGTCCTGGCTAAAAATTCATTGTAAGACACGAAAAAGATATCGATGCAATGAAAACTGAACAAGGGTACTGCAAATGGGTTTTGAAGTGGAAGCAGTTTACTTCTATCTCACACAAACTTGTTTTCGAAAGGTGACTAGAATTTGAAGAAAAGATATCACTTTGACATCTTGATTTCTTAATGTTGCACTTTGGTGCCTTTTTGTGACGCCATGAAATTTTGAAATCATATTGGCTTCTCTCTGTGGAAAAGATAACAGGATAATGTCCGTGTTTGATGTAAGTAAGACTGGTTATGAAAACTAATCCATGATATGCAGTTAATCCCAATAATACGTATGTATTTGACAACTTTGCTCGAAGCATGGAGTAACACTAGTATACTTACAACAAAAGGTACTTACCAGCGTAAACAGCACGGACAGCGAAACACCACAGGAAAAGCAACACACGAAATATGTTTCCGCAATCCACCATTGTCGCTAATCATCTGTCTGCTTATCAGCCGACATGTACCCGGGTGCCCTTGTGGTGTTCAAGATTATCACCAGGCAGCAGATATCAAGCACTGATTTTATCGAGATAAAAACGGTGGTGTATTGACGACATCCTTCCCTCCATCCATCCATCTATCCATCTATTTTAAATGTACATTCCTTGTCTATAAATGCATCACTCTTGTGTAGTGTTGTCTTACGAACCAAAAATTATTCATAGAAAATTGAGGTAAAAATGCTGACTAGCACGATAACTATTTCACCGCATAGCAATGCCACTCACGATGACTAGATCAAAAGACTTCAAGTCAATATAACTCTAAAAAGTAGCAAGATAAATATTGTGACAAAGAGGTACATCGTTCTGAACTCACTAGTGTATCGTTATTATCAACATCTTTAAATCGACACCGAGATACAATTAAATATGAATGTATAAAGAAACACAGGGATAACCCTTCAAATTACCAGACGTGTTCAATTTAAACTGCAACCTGAATATTGATAAAGGACTATACGAAAACCCGGACTCCTTAATTCACGGCACACAACAATTAGCCCAAAGGTATGGAAATGTGAAAACTCACGGTAGTATTCCCAATTTGTTTCAGATAGTTTTCATTTTTTATGATCTAACATGTTTTTTGTATTTATCTTGATACATGTTATCGAGAACCACAGCGGCTGACTTGATCAATACACCGGTCACACTGTAAACATAAAATAGAATCACAAATGCTTCAATCAAACCGAACTTTAAAGCAACCAGCTTATTTTTCAAGTTAACATAAACAGTATTGAAGATAAAAGGTTATCAGAATAACAATAAATAAACACTGCATAGCTAGCAGTATACCTCTGACCTTGTTACCAAGGTTTAGTAAGTATTTTAGTTACGTACCTAGTGATGGTGTAGTCTCTTGATGAAGCATGTATCCACTGTCGATGTAGCCATAAGACTTAGATACGTATCTAAGCAGGGATGTTCTCATGTAACTTTGTGATTCTCGACTGATGTAGTAAAATGATTAGATATATACCTAACGGTGACGTAGTCATGTGACTAAATGATGTATTCACCGCTTATGTAGTCACATGATTATGTACCTTTTATAGCAGTGACGTAGTCATGTGACTAAATGATGTATTCACCGCTTATCTAGTCACATGATTATGTACCTTTTATGAAAGTGATGTAGTCATGTGACTAAATAATGTATTCACCGCTTATCTAGTCACATGATTATGTACCTTTTGCAGCAATGATGTAGTCATGTGACTAAATAATGTATTCACCGCTTATGTAGTCACATGATTATGTACCTTTTATGAAAGTGATGTAGTCATGTGACTAAATAATGTATTCACCGCTTATGTAGTCACATGATTATATACCTTTTTATAAAAGTGATGTAGTCATGTGATTGATTAGTGAAGGATTCAACACTGATATCACACGATTCAGTTAACAAACTGTGTCCTTCTCTAAAATGGTCACAAAGTTCCTGTCTAGTCCTTCAATTTCATTTTCAAATGTATTATACATGGCGATGTCTTGTTTTAAATCAGAAGAAATTTAATGACTATTGACTATATAGTATTTCCATCTGAATTGGAAATTAAAGATACGACTGATTCTTTTCCTACAGCAATATCAAAGGACATAGATTTTTACCTGCATAAGAATGATGATTTCAATTTCGTTGTGTAAATTTTCAATTGAAGGAAAGCCAAGTCCATGTATTTCCAAACTTAAGTGTTTGAATTAGACGCTGTTGATTCGATATTCAAGGGTTTATTTTCAATATAACTAACACCGTCATAACAAAAGGTTTCGAGAGATTAAAGTTGATGGAGGAAGCTTAACAGGCGTCAATTTCCTTATTCAATATAAGTTGGACGTGTTTGATGCATCTTGGTATACCTGTTGGTGCCGTTGTTCTTATTTGTGAACATGACATTTCTTACTTGAATTGACCAAGATTTGCATAGAGAGTGTTGTCGACGAAGCATAAGAAGATTACGGAACGCATGATCTTATTGTATGTCTCTGTATCTTTTCAGTTAACACGCAGATTCTTATTAACTAACGGGCCGCAATTTTATTTTGTATTAGTTGTGTAGTCTGAAATTTTTAAAAAAGTAGTCTCGCGACTTGATTCACATAGCCAGCAAAGTCATTACATTGTAATTCTCATGACATACACATTTCTGGATGCTATTGTACTATACATTGTAATTCTCACCACTTACACATTTCTGGATGCTATTATACTATACATTGTAATTCTCATGACATACACATTCCTGGATGCTATTGTACAATACATTGTAATTCTCACCACTTACACATTCCTGGATGTTATTGTACAATACATTGTAATTCTCACCACTTACACATTCCTGGATGTTATTGTACAATACATTGTAATTCTCACGACTTACACATTCCTGGATGTCATTGTACTATACATTTCAATTCTCATGACATTTCTGGATGCTATTGTACTATACATTGTAATTCTCACGACTTACACATTTCTGGATGTTATTGTACTATACATTGTAATTCTCACGACTTACTAGGTTTGGATGCTACTATACTACATATGTTGTAATTGTTTTGACTGTTACTGTACTAGTCCTTTTAATTTTCATTACTTATGTGTTTTGAAAGCTTTGTACTATACATTACAATTTTCATGACTTATGTGTTTTGACTTTTAATGTACTTTACATTGCCATTTTCACGACTTACTTGTTTTAGGTCCTTCTGTACCATACATTATAATTATGACATAACACTATAGTGGACTTTGCAATGATTGGTGTAAGGAGACGACACTGACAACCTTAACTCAACAGATATAACATAACTCTTTCAAAATCTTTCATTTTATTTTTTTTACACCCATTATGGTACAAATAATCCCTATTACAAGTCAGTCATCATAAAAATTGTCTGCATAATAGCTAGTCTGAAGAGTTCTGACTATTTATCTGTGGTTTTGTTTTTGCCCCAATCACAGTCTAAAACAAAAATAAAACTGTAGATAGATAATCAGAACCCTTTGGACTACACAATAACAGGTTATATATCAAAAACCTTCCACTTTCACCAATATAGCCTTTCAATACAAATATACACAGGAAGTAGTAAATTTGACTCCTACAATAACATCTGGTCATATGAATCATTGGGAAAATATATATAGTTTAATAATCAGCATTGAAAATTATTTCAGATTCTTATAGTTAACAAATTAAGACACAGAATATGTGTGCATTTGATGAAAATGTACTGTAATACTGGTCATGATTGTCAAATTTTGATTTTGTGACTTGGAGGACATACAGTCTCAAAGATTGTAAATGATGAGGCAAACTTTAAAATTCTTTTCTATCTCCACATCTCATTCATTGTGTTATCATAATCTCAATTAAATTGATAAAATCTCTTTTTCAAATTCTGACAAATATAACTCATAGGAACATCTCTAATCATTATTACAGGTACAGGGTTCAATAAAATTACAGGTACGTTGTTCAATAAAACTCAGGAAGCAGGAAACATTTAACTTACTTTTCCTGAAATTATTGGTCATGTTTGGGATATACAGGTTTGGTAGTTTGGTTATGAGAAATACATCCTTACATGTATAAATATTTATAAATTGCATAACAATTTTATTAATAGTAGAGAGATAAGAATTGTGTAAATCAAAAATTTCCTCCGATTTCTGACATGTGATTGCCATGGTAACTACCTCAAAAATGCTAAAAATGCAAAAATACTGCTAATTCCAACCTAACACCACTACAACTTTCTAGAAAAAAAATTATTTCTTAACACCTGTCTTAACACTGTCATGGTGATAAACTGCTTACATTTCAGCAACATGACAACATGACCATGAGTAAACACTACGAAAATTTCATTTCCTGTTTAGGTGTGTAGATTTAAGATTGCCCAAATAGTAATCTCCAACACAAAGCTAAAATATCATTCTGAAAAAAATGAAACCCCACATTGACCACTTCAACATGACAAGACCAATTTTAGCATGGATTTGTTTTATAAATTTTAATCAAAATCTATATAATAGGGTAATCTAATGAACAAAAATGTCATCCATGGCCACAATGAGAAACTGTGTACTGCTACCTACGTATATGAATGCTGCCGCAAATATGAGAGTGTTCTGGAGACATTAATTTACATAAACAAATATTTTATATATACTTTACATATCAGAGGATGTTCCTTCATTAACTAAAACTCTGATTATATGTACATAATACCATCACATTTAATATATCACAGATAGGAGAAATTTGATATGGTAAATATTATATATTTCAGTGGCATTATAAAAAACAGTTTGTAGTATAACCCTAGGTAGCAGGGTGACCTAAGGAATAGATCTTCAAGGCAATGATTGTGACTCTTCCTCTAGTATCAAGGAAGAATCAGATTAATTGCTTTTAAAAAACAATAAGTTCTCATTGCCATTTAAATTCTCATTAGAATGTCAATCAAGTCCTGATTTATTACATTTTTCTTCTCAATATATGTGCTCAAGGACTTAACAAAACTTTGATCATACTATCTGACATGATTTGTTGATGTTTGTCATTCTTATTAGACAACAGAGATTTTAACACAAATGAATCTGGATCATAAAAGTGTTTGTTCTGGGAACCTTATTGGCTAACAATCTTAACACAATCAGCAGCATCAGTCTGTTGTCATTTTTTATGTGCCTGTACACAGAATTTTCAAATACAACAGTTGAAAAAAACGTATTTGCACTGAAGCAAAGAGCTAAGAGCATAGAGCGATAGCAATTGGTAATTATAAATACTGTGAAGAATGAAACATAACTGACAAGCTTTTTCATAAAATAATTGCAATGGATTTAATAGTGTAAGGAAGTCATACAAACAGGGGAGGCTATCCTTAAAATCAAATAGCTACATCCTATATTTTAAATTCTTAGTCACTAACCATTTACCAATAATGAATTCTACTAGCAAAATCTGGTCTAATCCACTTCTGAACACCAATTTGTGACAAATTTACATACCAGTTGGTCAAATGAAAAGTTAAAACAAAAAAACAATAATGTTCCAATATACAGCCATGTATTGTTTACATCCTCTCCACACACATGGCTATACCCATACCCCCACCCACACACAGAGCAGCCACACCCTTTTTACCCCCTGTTCGATGGAGGGTGTGGAGGAGAGTGACAAGCACTCGAGATCCAGAAGCTCCAATAGGGTGACCTAAAGCTATAGCTCCACCATTGATGTTTACCTGAAACAAACAGAAGAATGGGTCTGTATATATAGAAATCTGATGTCTGTACAGATAGAAATCTGATCTCTGTACAGTTAGAAATCTGATGTCTGTACAGACAAAAATTTGATGTGTGTACAGTTAGAAATCTGATGTCTGTACAGTTAGAAATCTGATGTCTGTACAGATAAAAATCTGATGTGTGTACAGATAAAAATCTGATGTCTGTACAGATAAAAATCTGATATGTGTACAGATAAAAATTTGATGTCTGTACAGTTAGAAATCTTATGTCTGTACAGATAGAAATCTGATGTCTACAGTTAAAGGTGTGATATTTGTACAGTTAGAAATCTAATGTCTGTACAGTTAGAAATCTGATGTCTCTAGAGTTAAAAAAAAAATTATGTCTGACAGAAAGAAAGGAAGATGAATAATCATTCCCACCCCAACCTCTTTCTCCACTCTGTAGCTAATTCTACCTACCTTACCGGGATCACAGCCTAGTTCCTTAACCACTGCAGCTGACTGGGCAGCGAATGCTTCATTCAGTTCAAATAAGTCCACATCATCAATACTCCAACCTGCCTTCTCCAACTACAGATTTTAGCATTAAGAAATATTTTATACATAGCAGACTGTAAATTATCTCCCCCTTCAGTTTGTGTAGTATACCTTTTTATTCTGAAATATATCTGATAAGATACAATTACATTTTGAATAACAACAAGATAATGCAAAGCGTTACATTATCCCCTGTGCCCCGATGTTTAAAAGAAAGACACATAATCATATATATATGTTAATATCTAATTTCTATTTGTTATTTTTTAATGGTTCCATACAAAGTATAGAAATGAAAAACTTCTACTAGAGTACTAGCTTGATGCCTTTACAAAGTTTTTGAGTTTTTGAGGAAGAGAAGGTAATTTCCTTGAACGGTTTAAGAAAACTGATCAGAAAAATCTTAACTTTGTGATTTGGCCTATCTATTTCCATGGTAACAGAAAAAGAATTTAAATGGATAACTTCTCCATAGCAATAGATACTACATGCTTAGTAAGCGTCAAAGTTTTGGCCAATTATCTTAAATGTTTTCAGAGCACTGGTCCAGAAAACCTGAAATCTGTGATGAATGTGATCTGTTTCCATGGTAACAGAAAAAAAATTTAACCAGGGCACTAACCTTATATATACACAGAAAGTTTTATGGAGATGAAAGAAATGGTTTCGAAGTTGTAGCCCAGAAAGGAAAGTTAACACAAATTTTGTGTTTTTTTTTCCCCTATGTTTCTAGTATGGTAACAGAAAAAATATAAAACAAGAGATCCCAGAGGGATCTTGGCAACCAACATTGTGTGATCTTTATTTGCTCTTCTCTTTTGTGTTTTAGCTCTTAATGATAAGAAATTTGAACATTCCATTGCAGAAATAGCAATGATAATCTTTACCTGCCTAATCCAAGATGCTCACCTATAAGCCATTTTTTCATATTAGTTCCAAAATCAAACAGGCAAAAGTAGAGATGAAATGGAACATAATTATGAAATTTGAGAGAGATCCATCCAGTACTTCTTAAGAAATAAGGGTAACAAACTTTACTCATTGAAATCCAAGATGGCAGCCTGTTGGCCAGTTTCTTTTTCTGATCAGTTCAAAACTCAAACAGGCACAACTAGGGACAAAGAGGAGTCTATACATGAAATTTGAGAAAGACTTATGCAGTATTTCTCAAGAAATAGCAATAACAAACTTTTGAACTCAAAATCTAAGATAGCCTCCTTTTAGCCATTTCATTTTCTGATCAGTACCAATCTCAAATAGGCACAATAATTGACAAAGAGGAACATAAGCATGAATTTCAGAAAGATCTGTGCAGTTTCTCAAGAAAAAGCGATAAACTTTTGAGGTTAACATCCAAGATGGCCTCCTCTTGGCCATATTCTTTTTCTGATCAGTACCAAACTCATATAGGCACAACTAGGGATCAAGGGAAACATTCACACGAAATTTGATGAAGATCCATGCTGTTGTTCTCAAGAAATAGCAATAGCAAACTTTCAAAGTCAAAATCCAAGATGGCCGCCTGTCGGACATTTTGTTTTTCTGATCAGACCCAATCAAATGAGCACAACTAGGGACCAAGGGAAACCTTCATATGAAATTTGAGAAAGATCCATCCAGTGCTTCTCAAGAAATGGTGGATGTTCATCTGTTGTAATTAACATCTTCCAATATTGTACATCCAAAATTTTATCTAAGATAATATAGGTGTGATAACTAACCGCCTTTCTCGTAGCAGGTATTGGTCCTGTCCCCATAACAGTGGGATCAACTCCAGCCTGTCCCCAGGAAACCACGCGAGCCATTGGGGTAAGACCTCGCTTTTCTGCCACAACTCCATCCATTAATACTACACAGGCAGCACCATCATTTAGTCCTGTGTAAAATGAAGCAATAAACTTGCAGGTTATTATCAAAAGAGAAATTATTGAAACACATAACATATTTAGGGAAATTTAGCTGGTAGAAATGTTTGCGATGATAAAAGTATATTATATTAGGTATATACCAGTTAAGTTGTTAAAGAACCTGTAAAAGAAAACATATTGTGTATATCAAAACAAACTAATTTGAAAGTAACTTCAATTTACTTCAATGTCTTGAAACAGACTGGAATTGATTACTGTGCATATGATCTATGATTTTTACATGGTGTACAGTAATGCTAGAACTTTCCACACACTTATTTCCATTGAAGGCATTGAACTTTACAGACAAGAATGAAAACTGGATCTATAGCTTTACAGTTTCATCATCATTTAAAAGAATTGGTAAAATCTCTGATACAATGCCCGGTAAATAACTAGTAATACATATTAGTTTTACATAACTGTATACATTCTTTATCATACACATTTAATATATATTGTATAAAGATTACTTGCTAACAATAGATGGGAGACATATTACCTGACAAAAGAGAAAGACAAATTTAATCATTACCAGAGGCATTGCCTGGTGTGACTGTACCAGTACCATCTGTTATAAATGCTGCACGTAACTTCTTGAGTCCCTCCAGAGTACAGCCCGCCCTTGGAAACTCATCTTTGTCAACCACAGTCAGACCTATTAATGAAATCTGCCTGTAACATTGTATCATAGACTTCCTCATAGCTTTAACTATCAACATCCTAATATGAAGCCTTGTCAGTGTGAGTCATGTTTTCTTCTGTTCACAGTCTGTACCGATTATTCAAGTATCGATATGATATCATATCTCATTTAAGGATGTACTACAATAAACATTCTCACCTGCTCTACTTTTGACTGTCACTGGAACAATTTCATTGTTGAAATGGCCAGCTTTCTGAGCAGCTTCACATTTGTGTTGAGAGTTGAGGGCAAATTCATCCTGGTCTTCTCTGGTAACTGCCCATTGTTTAGCCACATTCTCAGCTGTAAGAGAATGAAAATGACATTAGTATTTATCTAATAATTCAAATGATCTTAGTAACTAAACAACTGATCTGAGGTTATGTATATCTCAAATGAACAAGGTGATCTGACAACATGGGGACGTTGTTCAAGATTTACTTGTCCATAGATACTTGTTGGATGATATGTATAAGTCTAATCCAAGTCATTTTCTTTCTCCCTCCACCATATTGGCAAGCAGGGCATTTGAAAGAGTCAGTATTGCAAATCTTCTAAATGATCAACGCTCGACTTAATAATTCTCTAAGAGTGAATTTAATACTACTCAATCACTACAATTTGTAAAAAGACAAACTGATTTTTTTAACTTGCCATAAAATTTCTTTTTTGATACAAAAACACAATTTTAGGAAGATAACATTCTACATATGTAGTTCCAAAATCATGGCTTTCAGTTAAGGCCATAGGTATTCATAATGTAGCAAGATGGTGGTGCATATATGGAATAATGAATTGGCAATTCCGAGAACTGGAGAGTGACCAGTTACAACTGGACAGTTGGAAGCTTAGCTGGGACATTGTTTTATAAGTTTATTTTTTCTCTTTATTTTCCCCTTATACTTTTTCATTTGAAACTGATGAACATAACAATCATGTACCAAAAATCCAAACACACACTTTTGAACAAAATTTATTGGCACTTCATAGACATGGCAGCATTTCAAATACAGTAATACAAGATTTGATGGGAGGTTTTCTTCATGTATTGTTTTACTAAAATGAAATCCACAATCACTAAAGCATTTGTGACTAAGTTCAAGAGCTTTTTCAACTGTTCATAATACTAATTTGGTTTGATCTTATCACCTTACCTGTGATTCCCATATGATATTTATTGAAGGCATCAACCAGCCCATCTGACAGCATGGTGTCAGTCATAGACACATCACCAAACTTTGTCCCAGAGCGCATATGTACACAATGTGGGGCCTAGAAAATGTAGTACATTGTGAATTGTATCAATTTGAAAGTCTTTCGCTATTCCTCATATAAATGAAACCAGTAAGATTTCAATATGAGACATAAGAATACTTCTGATGACGAAGCATCCTAGCATAGATTGAAAATCATTGATCTAGAAACCTAAAATCAATATCTATGCTTCTGACTGACCATATAACACCAAAAGTAATGCAGTTTAGCCAAAAATAAAACCCTTAATTGTCCATCATTTACGTTGTCTAGTATATATCATGGCAAATCTGTCTTTGTAATAGGCTTTTATTCAAAAGAGAAAATGTTACAGCTCATACCTTACTCATACTCTCTTGTCCTCCAGCAACCACCACCTGGGCATCCCCCGACTTTATAGCCTGTACTCCCATTACTGTGGCCCGAAGTCCGGACCCACACAGCATGTTGACTCCACAGGCAGGCACAGACACTGGAATATCTGCCTTAACACTGGCCTGTCTGGCTGGGTTTTGTCCCTGTCCTTTGACCACCAAAATTTGTCAAAAAAATTACCTTACCCCAGAACAGTTTTCAAGTATACAACTGAAGCAAATTACATCTGGTAATATTCACTTCAAACAGGAATAAGTAATTTTTCTTCATCTAAGTGGAGGATTACATAAAAGTCTTGAATTCTTCACTTGAAGTTTTATGCATTTTTAAGAATTGTTCCCATGTAAAATTAAAATGTAAATAAGAGCAAACTTTTACAATCATTCACATTGCAAGTGAAATAATTTTGTATGAAAAATATTTAACACCATAAACACGATTAAAATTTAGTCCTTTTTCCTGTTCTTTGCTGGGCCTGACCTTGTTTATAGATTAACTGATCTCAGTGGAAACTGCCAAAATATATACCACAACATTACAATATTGTGAGATTAAGCAAATCTTACAATTTAAATCCAAATAAAGACCTGTATACATTACAATTCCTGATACCAACCAGCTGAGAGTGCTTGTCCCAAAATAACTTCTGAAACATCATCTCCTTTTAGGTTAACTCGTTGGAGAGCCTCTTTGATGCATACTGATCCCAATTCATGGGCAGCTAAGGTGGAAAGACAGCCATTAAAGGAACCTAAAATTAAAGTTTAACACTTAAGTATGTAAATGTTAAGCTTAAGTATATAAACATTGTATTCCTCAAGTTATAATTTCCCTTTGTCCCAGACTATGTTACCATTTCACTGTCCAACTATCCCAATAATCTTTTTGTGTTGATGGAACTCCATATTATATATATATAGATTCAAGAATTTAAATTGAGACAATTAATGCCTAAACTCTCTAAGTACACATAGTCATCATTAAGATTTAAACATAAATAGAGACAAAATTGAATATTTCTTCTGGCCCTAATTTGAGGGGGGAACAAGCATCAAGAAATAATGCTTCTGAAATGAGAGATCCCAACTGGCAGATCATAAATAAGCTGACCAGCAACCTCTTATGTTGTAGGGGTAGTATAAAGGCAGCTGTGCCCGACAGTTAAGGAATGTAAAACAATGAAGATCCCATCAAGAAATAGCAAGACCATGGTATGAATAATAAAACATAATTTTAGTCTCAGTAAAATGTTTCGCTTTAATTCATTAGAAGTATGTTAGGGTTGGGAAAAGTGACATGATCAATATCTCCAGGTGCTGTTTTGTTATTTAACAGTGTTAAAAATTGAATTCAACAAAATCATACTTTGCCATGATGCAGGTCAAAAAATGCTTCTGACCATCTATCCATGAACTATAAATATATTGAATGTATTTAACAAAGAAGAAAAAATTGGAGCCTCCTTCAGATCAGCACAGAACATAAAGTAATAAAGTAACAGAACCACTAGTTCTTGCCTCATCTGTCAACAGAGTAAACCATTCGAGATATTGCCTTCATCTTTTTCCCTTTATTTGGTATATGATTCACTAAATATGATGACCTAAAACTGTCGTCCGACTTCAACAAACATCTTTAAATTGTCAGATATCAGTGAGGCATACACTCATCTGGCAGTGAAATCAGACACTGAAATCTTATAAATCAGCTTCAAAACACCTTTATATGACATGCACGTAATGCAACTTAAATGCTGTGTTATAACCGATCATTTACTGACTTACTTTATTTCAATTCCCTACATTATTCTGTCAAACATCACAGCTCAGATCTAAAAGTCTTATTGTAATGACGATATTCAACCAACTCACCGGAAATGGTGTCTTATGACAAAACACATTTGTTTTATCAACTTGCTGGATTTGTCGTCCATTTTTTCTATATGTATGCCTGATGGGTGTATTCAGTAATGACAGACAGGTCGTGGAGCACCAGCAAATTTGGCTGTATAGGCAGATTTAGCTGCATAGCCAAACCTGACTATGTATATAGGGAAAATGTAAACAACTGAGCTGTACCTGGTCGAGATTGTGGTGCACACAACGAGAAAAAATAGATGAGAAATCTAGGGAGTTGGTAAGACAAAGGTTTTTTTTGTTATAAAACATTAGCAGTGAGTAAGTCACATGTCCCAGTACACCTCCAACATGTGTGCTCCGGCCACACACAAACGATACATGTGTGTCAAGAGAGGGCAGTAACCAGGCGGAACTCCTGTTAATTCCCAACCGTGATTGTATAGCTATTCATCAGGAGTCACCGGCCGTCACAACAGTTCCCTCTGGACCTCCTGTTCAATGTTACAGGCCTTTTAAATCCAGGTTCGACCACTAGGATGTAGCGGAAGCACAGATGTATCCAATAACTAAACAAGGTGTTCCAATATATACAAACAACTATTTATTGATAGATCATAATAAATATACAAGTAGACAATGTAGGATCATAACATTAGTGCCAACTATTGACAGATAACGCTAAGTAACCCAACTAGTACAGTATCCCAACGTAAATGTATATAACCTAATGCTTCCTAACATTAGTACCAGCAGACCATGTGCTCCTAGTTTCAGAAATGTCTACAACTAACCAGTATATACAGGTTTCGTATGGATGCATAAGTAATAACAAGAAGTAAAGAACATGTTCTCTCACACTAATAATATGTAACAATGAAATTCCAAAAGTAGTCAAATAGCCAAAAACATTCATATCACTAACTTACGTGATTCATCATTCGTTTTTTAACAGCGTGAAAGAAATGTGACCTGACCTCACCTGGATGTTTTACATTTGCCATATTTATGTATAGTCAGATTAGGCTACATATCCAACTCTGCCTACGTTTTGTACATAGCCAGATTTGCTCCTGTGGAATCATGCATTCTCTTCTAATAGACATTTTGCCTATCTACTACAAACCATGCTTAATGTCGAGTATTATCTATAAAACAAGAATTCTGAACAACTTCCATACTACAAACATGAAAATAAATACACTACACTAGCCACCTTTGCAAACTAATATACAGCAATAATCCGATTAAGCACCACGTGGTACTCCATAGGCAATTAACTGTCATTAAATGCTTAAACATTGCCTACATGTTTTCCTCCAAATGAAGAAGTGAATATGTAAACGTACCAATCGGTGTCCTGACTGCTGAAACGATAACAACATCTACATGTGTCATCTCTGTTTTCGATTTCCCAGCTTCCTGTCTAGTCGGCGTCATTGACATGCTTCGAAATTGCCATTGACGTGAGTTTGCTTACAAACGTCTGAGAGGCAAGATTAGGTGACCTGCGCAAATCCACTTCCTTTTTCTAACCGACCTGCAAAATGGTGAGAAAATTCATAACGATGTCACCGTTCTATCTCAAAGCATCGACTGTTACTAGCCATCTTGCTCTTAGTGAATATTATGAAATTAAAGATACAAGCTTTTTACATTCCATTTTACGTTTAGTTTTGATCTATATTCATGATTGATAATGTTTTTGTACTTATTTGTAACGTGATGTACACATGTAAACAGTCGCTTAGAATGTATTATCAGGTATTGGCCCAAATCAGGGACGTATAACAGACTACTTCGATGTTTATGTTTCATAATATGGGACAGGTCATGATTGAATGGAGCGCAGCATTTGAATAGATACATGTCGTTTTTTTGTCATCCAGCCTGCTGTGTCATGTTCATGTATTTTTGAATACGTGAACTATTTTTCACGTAGTTCTAGAATAAATACAGTGCAGCCTGTAGGTACCAACTCGTGACCGGTTTACAAAGACGGGTATTTGGATGTATATAGTAGATGGAAATCTTGCTCCTTCAAAATCCTCAGATGACATTCAAATCTTCTCAAAACAAAACTTTGATATTCTTACAATTTGCCACACTTCAAAGACCACTTGATCAATAAAACCTGTACTAATGCATGTCACATATAGTGTAAGATTGAAATGTCAACCTTCGCCAGATACCACCAATCGATGTAGCCTCCGTGAGACAAGTATATGGTTCAGTTCAGTTAAAGATATATTCCTCTGTTAGCTATAATCGAAAATCCAGAGTCCTACTTTTTGGTGACCCAATCTGCAAGATCCTTCAAAATCTGTTGTACTTAAGTCTTGCAGAGGCTGGATCTTGTATGTGATATGGTTTACCTTTTCTGTATGATGTACAGTGCATTCACTGTAAATTTTTACTTTGAATTTTTTACATTTCCGAATTGTAGGGCACCTATAACCAGATCACCTGATCTGAAAGAACAACAAATCTCGCAGCATTATGTGGATGGTTTTAAATAATTCTTTAAACCTTTGATAGAAAATGTATTTTTAGTCTTATGCACAATGCTTTGCTGGTTAGTGGTATATTACCATCTTTAGAATGTAAATTAGATAATTCTTGGCATCAAAAACACAGAATAGACTGTCACATACAAGTACTTTTACATTAGATAACCTAAAATCCTATGTTCACTGCATTCAATCGAGTGATCAATCACACCATTTTTATGACATCTTATGCAAAGAATATTCATCTAAAGATTGGAAACTTACTACAATCTGATCTTAAGAAGATGACAAGTTATGCTTGTGTGTTTTTTTACAATTGACATAACTTACAGTAGTCATGCACTGAAAAATTAAAACCGGCTTGGAGTTTTTTGTAGTTTCTTAAAAAGTATAGCAAGGCTAAATATATAGTATTGTAAAAAGGGGACTACAGTAACTACTTTCATGGCACTTAGAATCCTAGTGTATCAATGTTACCATGACCACAGTTGTTTGTACATGTTACTGGTAAAGGGCTTTGCTCTTTTGCCATTGGTTGCTATATTTTTGTCATTGTTGTAGTGGCTATCAACTAGATAATTGGGACTTCAGACTGTAAATGTACCTGTCTCAATGTCTTTACAATCTTTAATTAAGATGTGAGTGGAATTTAATGGTGATGAACTTTTGATCAATATCACATTTCTTATGTTTCAGGTTAACATTCCGAAATCACGGAAAACCTTTTGCAAGGGTAAAAAATGCAAGAGGCATACCCTTCATAAAGTTACCCAGTACAAGACAGGAAGAGCTTCCCTGTACGCCCAAGGTAAATGCTTTTAAATAATCTAATGATTGGGCTACCAGAAGAAGTGTACCCTTAAATATAATAGGAAAAAACTTGGATTTCTCTGAAGAGTCGTAGTAAATTTATCAATGTATTCTCAATGCTCAAAGTTTTACACCTGAAAAGCTTGCAGTTTGGTTTCAGTTGTATATGAAAATGCATTTTTGTAGGCCCCTTCTCAATTGTCCTACAGTCTCATCCATGGACAAAGTTATCCAGGCCACCATTGTACTGGATTTGGCTTTAGCTTTATTTTCATACATTTTGAAGTAAGATGGTAATTCTATTGAAAAAAAGTGATTGATACATGCTAAGAACAATACTTTTTTCTGAATATTGAAATATGAGAGGATGTATTTGTGTCTTCACATCATACCACTTCCTGTGACTTCTTTTCTTGTTCGTTTCACACTTTTAAAACCATGTTCATAAGGCAGACCATTAGGCTGAGAAATTGATAGTGTTTTTAACAACCTTTTTGGTTAACCAAGTTACGAGCTGCATTCATCATATTACAAAAAAAAATGAGCCAATGTAGATTTATGAACCATTTTGTTCAGTATTGGAAAAACATTATAGTGTGTAGTGTATACTTCAAGCTTTCCTAAAATTGTGGACCATATAAAACAAATATTTGAATACTTAATTGAACAAATATTCTAATAGTAGTTTCTGTTGAATTGGTGCACTGATAAAATTTTTTTTAAATGCAACCATATTACTTATCAGTTTAGTGTAATAACAAGGCAATGAATTAAACATTAATTAAGCAAACCCACCTCTAAGAATATAGATGTACTTACTTGGAGATGGCATTAATTTGGTTGAAAACGGTATTCTTGATAGAAATCAAATGATTCTTTTCTCTTTAACTTCCTGCACAAATGGACAATACTGTAGACCATGTCATTGGTGGAAGCACCGAAGCTGAGGACTGGTCAATGACAGTAAGGGTCGTGCAAAGGAAGGATATAAACAGCAATCCATGGAGTATAGGCTCCTGTTGAACCTCTTTCTTAATGTTCAGTGACTGAGCCTTTCTGTTGGTGCTACATTGTCAAACAACAAACAACTTATGACTATTTCGTCTTGCGTTACTTGCTTTGAAACAAAGGTGTCAAAAAAAGCAAAATTGTGACTTCAAATTTGAATATGAAGTCATGATTCAAAAATTGTACAAGATATTATATATATGACCACATCATTTTTATTCCATTACAAAAATCTTACAGTAGACATTTTTGTCACAGGAAAAAGAAGATACGACAGAAAGCAGAGTGGATACGGAGGTCAGACCAAGCCTATTTTTAGAAAGAAGGTGATTATAATAACAAGAGCTGTGATCAATTAACTTAAAAACATTGGATTGGAGTATGGAACAGAATTTGGATTGACAACCAGCTTTTAAAAACACATACATTCAAATAATTGCCCATGCTATGAGAATCAGCCATAACATTTTTGTACTTGCTTTTAGGCCCCAAACAAGTTTTTTTGTTGTTATTGTTTCTACCCTTTAATTGGTTTTTCATAAACCTCCAATAATGGCAGTTACCCCTCTCTTTTTTTCTCCACAGACACAGCACTTACCTTAATTATGTAACCGAAATATTGTCCAATTGATCCTAGATACTAACAGATCAATGCTTTAGTGCTATCCTATAATAGTTTCTCTCTAAGTATGGGTTATGGTTATGTTTGCAGTCATGTCCTCTCTGGCTATCTGTACTCGCAGACTGTTCTATATTTTTTATTTGTTTCTGCTGTAGAGGAAAGCATTGATGGTCACATTATTTACATGGTAATGTTAACATTCAGCAAACATTTACACCTGCTATATGATAAAGCAACAAATTAAATGGATATTATACTTACCTTTTACAGTAATATGTCCTGTTTGTAATCCACACTGATTAGACTACAATATTGTAAAAATGCTGTTTTGACATTTGAATTTTTTCATTTTTAATAATTGCCCTTCCTTGCTTTTTTTTGTCTGCCTGTTTCCAATAACCACCACTCTCCTTCTTTTTAAGATTTGATCTGATTTAATAATTGTCTGGGCAATTATTCTCTTCATTTTTAAATGCTTTATACTTTTTAGATGTCCGATTATGATTTGCTGTGTACATGCAAATGGATACTATTAATATTGATAATGGGAGGTCAATTCTCTCCATTAAGATAATATTTTACTACTCGTTTGCATATTTAGAGAAAATGAGAAAAATCTTGTCAATTGCATTTAAAGAGGATGCATGTCATAGTCACTTTATACTTCACTTTTTTGTTCCTAATGCTATATGTGCTGTTGTACAATGAAACTTGCACTGTTTTGAACAGAAAGTAATGTTAAACTAATAATTACTTCAGATTTGTGAAACATTGACACTATTGTTTTTTATTTGAGGCCTTTCAATGGTAAACATGCTATCTCTATCTGAACTGAATATTAGTATGAATTAGTTATATAATTTTTATTTTAGATTTAATAGCAGCATTGACATATTTTGTTTCTGACTTCAGGCAAAGACCACAAAGAAAATCACACTACGAATGGAATGTATCACATGCAAGTACAGGAAACAGTTGTCACTTAAACGCTGTAAACACTTTGAGTTGGGAGGTGACAAGAAGAGGAAGGTATGATCCTTAAAATATTACTCATATTCAAATAAAAAAGAGATTGTTATAGTCAGAGATATGTTAATTACTCATAAATACATTTAGTTGCTTTCTCTGTTTTTGATCAACCTCATGTAACAAAGTTGAGTAAAGAGAATTTGGAAGCTTAGTATAACTGCTATATGCATATGTTTTACAGTGTGAATGTTGACTGGGAATGGTGAATTTGACCTTCAGTGATTTAGTTTAAAATCTTGTTTAAAAAAGAAATGCTAAATATTTTATGTTAACACTAGCTTAATTCATAGTGTAATCATCTTGTCACATAATTCTGATACCATATTGCTCAGTATATTTGTAAATTACCACAGTGTATTGCATTGTTATTTATTGTATTTGAAAACCAGATATCTGCTTGGAATACAATGTGACTTTCGTTTTCTTTTTGAATGATACAGTCTGTATACTTTTCAAATTCCATGCATTTATTACATTAGGGCTTTAAATGTTGAAGATGTAGTTAAAAGAAAACTAAAAGCATTGAAGGAAGACATAATCTAGCTGGTTATATTTATTCTAATTGTCTTGGACTACAGTTTCGAAATTCACACATTATTTATACACATTTACTGTCTTCTTGCTGCTTTTTAAAACTGATGAGAGTAATACTTGGGTTTCAAAGTGATGTTAGGAGTATAAGTTCAAAATTGGTCAGTCATCTTAGCAAATCATTTGTGCAAGTTTTCAGTTTTCATTTCATTTACTATCAAACTGTACTGGATCACTCAACCAAAAGGTAGTTTAATGCACAGAGTTCCATTACTGACAGCACATTCCTATTAAAACATTGAGGTTGGTATGTCCTTTCTGCACAAATGGACAATTCTGTAGATCATGTCGTTGGTGGAAGCACCGAAGCTGAGGACTGGTCAATGACAGTAAGGGTCGTGCAAAGGAAGGATATAAACAGCAATCCATGGAGTATAGGCTCTTGTTGAACCTCTTTCTTAATGTTCGGTGACCAAGCCTTTCTGTTGATGCTACATTGTCAAACGGCAAACATTTTAAAATGTATTGTTCATTTTCATATTGTATCTGCAAAGAAAATGTCAGCCAAATGTTTACATATTCTATAGACCTGACTTATGTTGTTGAAGAAAGATTACCAGTGATTTTCAACAATATTTCAGTTGATATGTCTCTTGCACCAATTCTATACCACCTATGTTATAATTCAGAATTCCAGATCTTTGTCAAGACTTTGGTAAATACATGCATTTCTAAAGCACACTGTATTTTGTATCTTTACAGGGCCAGATGATCATGTTCTAGAAGAGCAGTTCATGGAGCCAGCACTGTTTCTTGTAAATAAATTATCGGGTAGAACACCAAAATAAGACTCTGTTGTTTATCATTCATTAGGCAAGAGAAAACTTGAAAATCTGGCAGCATTTCTGTGAAACTTAATTTAGAAGGTTAAGACTATGTTAGTGTTTTCAAGAAGTAATTTATTAAATGCACAAACAAAATAAGATAAACCTTGTGCTTTCTGTTAAATAATGCTGATATGAGGTGTGAAATGATTAATCTATTTATAAGGTGATGTGCTGATACCTTGTAATATTTTTAATGTTTCTGGTCATATGGCCCAATAATCTTCCATTATGAGTCCAGATCCACATTCCCTTTGTTAATTCTTTGCTCTTTGAGAGTGCTGGAATTGTTTTTTATTGATTGATGCTGCATCCAGTAATTTTAAGAAAAAGCTATTACAAACTGTTAAAATCCAATGTGGCCATCAGTTGCCTTTTTTTTTTTTTTTTTGCCTTAAATCGAATATATTCACGAGAAACCAAACAGTGTGGATCAGTAATTAAAACTAGGAAAATGTAGTATGGCAATTAAAACCAATAACATATTGAAGCATGACACAAAGAAGTGTTACATGAATAATGGTCCTTCTTTCAATATCCTTGGGCAAAAGTGGAAAATTAAAATTATGGCTTTGGAGGAATAACAGAAAAGCAGCCAACATTTCTGTGAATATCACAGGGTGGAAACTACCGTCCAGGTATTAAATACTATTCCATTAGAAGAAGCATAAAAAAAATATCTATTGCACTACTTGTCCCTGGAACATAAATTAGGGAATAGATTTACCTTGGTGAGGCAATGTCATGAATCAAAAGTAGGTCAATTTGAGCTTCATTTTGACCTTTGACATGCATAAAAGAACAAGCTTTTCAAGACTAGTCACTGGAAGTGTGTCGTGTATCAAGGTGGTCACTTAGAGCAATGAAAAAGTTTTCCATACCCTCTATTCTACAGTCACAACTGGAACTTCATGCCTGAGGTTTGGATTCATCTTGGTGAGGTGGTGTATACTACTGCCTGGGGGAGTGAATATGGTGTATTGTCATGCTTTGCAATTAACATGTACATCAACCAGCTAAACATAACACAAAAACAGTTAAAAATTCAACATTTTATTTGTAATTATCAAAATCTGAGTGCATTTCATGCGTTGTAATATGATGATTCCTGACATAAGAAAAATGGTCTATTTTTAAAGCTCCCAGAACAGATAATGAAAAGGAGCAAATGGAATTCATTGCATCTTCGTGACTAAAATGGCTAAAATATGTCCCTTGTTAGACATGCATACCCTTAACGATCTAGAACAATGGGAGTCTGAATGTGACAAAAATAAATCATTTTACTTGTGTGTACTTTCTGCAATCCATTCAAAGACGAACATATTTTACATCCGACTCTGGTCTATTACACCCAGTACAACAACAAAATATCAAAAATATTCAAGGAACCAAGTATATATAACGCAGGTTTTCACTGAATTTTAGGAAAATGCACAGTGGTATACTGAAGCGCCTTAATATGAGTCGATAAAATAAAAAAAAATCCTGAATTCAGGTTTCTATACAGTATATTTTCCTTCAGTCTAATTGGTTGCAGACATGTTTTAGCCAGCTAAGCATGCTGTAATTGGGACACGATCTTCCATGTATACAGTATAGTTAGGACTTAATAACTGCTTAGATATTGTGTGATAAAGAAAAAAAATGACAACTCAACACAAGCACAGAAAGACATCAATTTTGTACATTTTTTACATAAAATACCAGTACACATCACAACAGGTGCAAATAAACATTAAGTGATATTATACAACCTGCTCTGGTTTAACAAAATCAAAATACCCCATGTATAAAAAGTCAAAAAAAAAATCTTACAATATATAACAAGATACATAAACAGAAATATATTAAAATTTTGGTATCTTTAAATCTTGATCATTAAAAGTGAATATCAAATGTTTGCTTATTTAATACACACAGGGAATCCAACATCTAGTCCAGAAATAACTGCATGAAAAAATGAAATGCAGTAATATCTAAAACTTAGTCAATATTACTAAGATGCATGTGAAGTACTTACAGTAGTTAACTTATTTCCTAAACAAATGAAGATAAATTGTACTTTTATATCATGCAGTTAACAATTAACTATATCACAGTTTGATTTATTTATGTATGTATGAGTGAAGAAACCACAGACAGTTGCATTATCTATAAATATGAAGAATTATTCAAGATCATTAAAAAAGAAGTCGACTAATTAGAAATAGTTCACAGGTCCAGATTTAAATATTCACAATAGTCTGTAAACAAATCCAATTTTTAAACAGTCTTACTTCTCATATAATAAAGCAATATCTTCCATGCGTACGAAGGCGATGTACAAAAATATGACAAATTGGGCTAAGAAATAGGGCACAATAAAAGTGACAATATGCAGGAAGTCAGTAGAGCTGTTTATGCTGCCTTATCTGCCATGTTTCCTGCAGAGTTAAGGTAAACAGTTTGGAATGTTACTTCTTCATAACCTTGCTGGCACTCTTGAGTTCATACAGCATTTGAGCAGCCTCATCGGATGTTTCAGTTGTCCTAGATACCTTCAACATCTAACAAACAAGAAAAAGTTTTCATAAGAACATATCAATAGACAAGGACAGATTTACTGTTCATTAATTTTGTAAATAACTATTTATATGTAAGATGGATTTCCAAATGAGTTTACAACTGTTATGAGGAGTCATGTTGGGTTTATCATCTGATGAACAGTCAAGGTCATTTTGAAATGGTGTCTCTTTGTTTTAGCTGGTGGCTACCCCTCTGAACAACCCAATAAACAAATCTCTACCACAGGTAACATAACTCTCCAACTTTCTAAATGTTCATGTTTATTTTGTATTTCTTAAAGACTAAAATATGGAATGTGTTATAGGAAGATAATGGTTACCTTTTTGTTTTTTTTCTTCCTTCCAAAAAGGGATCCACTCTTCTCTGTAGGTGCGGGTACAGAGTACCCTGGGGCTAGATATTCAACTTTGCTTTCATAATCATCTTCTTCATCATCACTATAAGTTCTCCCTTTAGAAGCTGTCTCCCTCTGGATAAAGTACACTTTGCTATTAACAACCCTTTTGTAACAACACAAAATGATATTGTGACCTCACCAAAGAAAGAGATATAGAGCGAGAATATTGCCAAATTAGATTCTGTTAGTCTAATGACATTTTTACAAATGCTTGTAAAGTCTCCTAACTTAGAGGTTAGACAGAATCTCACAGTTTAACTTGTGTAAGACTTGATATACTAATAAGATTATGCTAACACATCTCTTTGTTTACAACAATATACTAAAATTTCATTCACTGTTGCACCAGTCCTGTTGTTTTGCATAAATGTAATGTGTAAGATTCTTATGTGCATATAGTTTACCTTCTGTGCCATGTTGAGGTAGTTCTCCACTGATCTGACCTTCCCAAACACTGCTTCATAGGTTTCGTGGGCTGCCTTTCTCTCAGACTTGCTCTCATGGGTGTCACTCCTGCAAGCAACATCAACAGACTTTAGTATTAACAAGTAAGAATGATAAACCAGTACTTCATATTTCAATTTTTAACAGTTGTGTTAATGTGACAACCACATGTACTATGGTAGTGGTCTATGCAATATAGTCAAGATGAACATGTGATGACCTTGTGCATTGGTTTTTATAGATATGATGACCCTATGTACTTGTTTTTATAGAGATGATGACCCTGTATATTGGTCTTTGTACAGATGATGACCCTGTGTACTGGTCTTTGTACAGATGATGACCCTGTGTACTGGTCTTTGTACAGATGATGACCCTGTGTACTGGTCTTTGTACAGATGATGACCCTGTGTACTGGCCTTTGTAGAGATGATGACCCTGTGTACTGGTCTTTATATAGATGATGACCCTGTGTACTGGTCTTTGTACAGATGATGACCCTGTGTACTGGCCTTTGTAGAGATGATGACCCTATGTACTTGTTTTTATAGAGATGATGACCCTGTATATTGGTCTTTGTACAGATGATGACCCTGTGTATAGGTGATGACCCTGTGTACTGGTTTTTATAGAGATGATGACCCTGTGTACTTGTTTTTATTGGTCTTTATTGTCTTTGTACAGATGATGACCCTGTGTACTTGTCTTTGTACATATGATGACCCTGTGTAATGGTCTTTGTACATATGATGACCCTGTGTATTGGTCTTTGTACAGATGATGACCCTGTGTATAGGTGATGACCCTGTGTACTGGTTTTTATAGAGATGATGACCCTGTGTACTGGTCTTTGTACATATGATGACCCTGTGTATAGGTGATGACCCTGTGTACTGGTTTTTATAGAGATGATGACCCTGTGTACTTGTTTTTATAGAGATGATGATCCTGTGTATTGGTCTTTGTACAGATGATGACCCTGTGTACTTGTCTTTGTACATATGATGACCCTGTGTAATGGTCTTTGTACAGATGATGACCCTGTGTACTGGTTTTTATAGAGATGATGACCCTGTGTATTGGTCTTTGTACAGATGATGACCCTGTGTACTGGTCTTTCTAAAGATGATGACCCTGTGTATAGGTGATGACCCTGTGTACTGGTTTTTATATAGATGATGACCCTGTGTACTGGTCTTTGTACAGATAATGACCCTGTGTACTGGTTTTTGTAGAGATGATGACCCTGTGTACTGGTCTTTATATAGATGATGACCCTGTGTACTGGTCTTTGTACAGATGATGACCCTGTGTACTGGTCTTTGTTCAGATGATAACCCTGAATACTATGGTGGTGTTCTATGAAGAGAATGTGTGTACTGTGATGAGATGTGGGTGTACTTTCTTTGGATAGAAACCCTTACTTCTTGTGTCTCCAGGCAAGTCTCTGGTTCATAAGTGCCCTGCTACGAGCCTGTGTGTACTTGCCATCTAGTGCTAGGTTGGCTGATACTTGAGCTGTGTGTTTAGCAACCACATCCATTTTCATCTCTACAAGAAAATGTATCAAAATCATATTGAAGAGATACAAATATATACTCAACAAAAAAAGAAAGGTTAACATGTTTCCTTGGCGAATACCTGTAAATGAGTGAAAACAAAATGACGTTTGTGCAATATTAGAAAATGGTAATGTTTTACATTACAAAATCCAATGGGGTTACCAAAATCATTCAAGCGTGAAAGTCTGTATCAGTGAAAGAGCTGCACAGGGTTTTCTGCGACTAACTTGTATCTTCGCTTGAATTTCATAAACATTCAAACTGACAACTGTTCCTTAAATCCTTAGGACTTAATAATCATCAAATCTTGCTATCTATCAACTTTATCATTATGCCCCGGCTGTCACAAGTACAGAGACAAAGGGCTGTAGGCATGATTCAGGCTGGGGAGTATCACCGTCGAGTTGCACGGCATTTTGGTTGCAATGTTAAGACAATTTGCCAGTTGGTAAGTTGTTTGAACCAAACTGGGTCAACATCTGATCGTCCCCAAAGCGGCCGACCCCGTAAAACGATTGCCAGGGATGACTGTCGTATACGATTGATACACTTGCGCAATCGATTCGTAACCGCAGTAGAGACTACAAGGACATTGTTTGGGCATCGTGTGTCTCCCCAAACAGTTCGCAACAGGTTGAGGGCCTACCAATTGAAAGTGTGGCGTCCCTAAACTGGACCCAATTTGTTGCGACATCACCGTAATAATTGGCATAACTGGACCCGTGTTCACCGTCGTTGGTGACGGAAGGTGCAGAGTGTGGAGGCGACGAGGGGAGCGTTTTGCGAACTGCTGTGTCGCAGATTGGGACCACTTTGGCGGCGGAAGTGTAATGATTTGGGGTGGTATTTGTGGGGTGACTCATACCAGGCTTGTGTTAAATGGCAATTTAACTGGCATTCAATATCAGGACGAATTTTTAAGACCGGTGGTTCTGCCATTCTTAAGACACCATGGCGTTGGCGCCATTTTTCAACAGGATAACGCACCAGCGCACATCAGTCACATAGGCAGAACTTTCTTGCAGCAGAATAACGTCCAGGTGTTAGATTGGCCATCTAAATCACCTGAATTGTCACCGATTGAGCATGTCTGGGACGTTCATGGGCGACGCGTGAGAAAACGTCAAAATCAGCCATCAAACTTGCAGGAGCTGGCCCAAGCCTTGATCGCTGAATGGAACAACATCTCTCCTTGAATTATCCACTGGTTTACGAGTTCCATGCGACGACCCTGCAATGCTGTTTACGGTAGCCATACCGTTACTAACGGTGTTACCTTTGAAATTGACCCCAACGTCCTTTACAGTCGAATAAAATCAACTGAACGCAAAGTTTTATAATGAACCATGACTGCAGTTTTATCAGAATTGATCAATTACTTTATTCGTACATGATTGGTAAGGATTTATGAAGGGGTTAATTAATTAATCACAGAATAAAGTAGTGTTACCGTTCTTTTTTTGTTTAGTATATGTCAAAAACGATCATATTTGATTGTTTCCAGTCTTAAATATCGTTATAATCAAACTCAATCTTAGGTATTGTTTCATATCTGATTTACTTGGTAATTCTACTTTGTAAGAATGTATCAATTAAGTTCATTAGAGAAACAACCACATGATGCCAGCCTGAAATCAAACAATAAGTAACTAAATGATCAATCCAGAGGTCTTAGTAATCAGTCTGGGATTACAGGTTAGATAATTACAAAGGACTACAGGGTTAATAATTATCTAACATAAACATTACTTCTTTTACAGTAACTGCTAAGCAAGTTATATACAGTTATATTAATCATATCTTGATGGCCCAAATGAAAGTGTGACAAGAGTATCACTGTGGGTGGAATTTACAGTATCCAAAGAAACCTCACGTTTTAAGGGTTATTGCCTAACTATAAGGATATTCCACACCACACCATCATACTCGGTTTCATACAATATAATGTACTGATTAATATTGTCCTTACTTTTCTCAGCTTGCTTTCTATCCTTAGTGACAGGCTTGGACTTGGTGAGGACACGGAGTGCAGTAGCACCATCTACATCAGTGTACTTCACCTGCAGCTGGAAAGGCATCTCTTTTGGATGTTCAGCATCATCATCTGAGCTTTGACCTGTTCCTTCTGAACTTTGAACTGAACCTTCTGAACTTTGACCTGCTCCTTCTGAACTTTGACCTCCTGTAGCACCCTCTTGTGGTACTTGATTTGAAGGAGCAGTGGACTGATCTAAAGAGATGATCAAAGTAGGTAGAATCAATTGACAACAAAACACATTAAAAGTCCTATACACTAAGTGAAAAGATTTTAATACTTTATGTATGACATTTAAGTGGCCATACTGTGTCACCTTCAGCAGAAGTATGACTTGTGAAGTTAAGTTCACTGACATGGAAACTATACCAGGATGGTAATCTAACTGACAGGTCTTTTCAGCTAAGCTCATACCCTGTATTTACACTTGGTTGCAGTTTTCATTTTAACTCATATCAGCACTTTGTTAAAAATAAACAACAAATATATCATGTGTGATTTCACCCATTACAACATTACTTAATAGTGGCCATGTACTAAATTAACTGTAAAAGACAAATTCACAATAATTTTCAACATATCTGAATACACTATGTAATAGCTAAGCTTAATCAAAGATCAAATTTTGTAATATCCCCACCCTCACCATTTCCTGTCGTACCACAGCTTCCTTTAATGTATTCACAATTTTTATGTCATTGAATGTAGAGGCATTATTTACTCTCTTATCCTTACCTTTGTCTTTATTTGACTTGGTTCTAACACCATACTCAAAAGTAATCTCAGTGTCAGAGGTTACATTTCCAACACTTTTCACAACTTTGCTTTCTTCTGTGTCTTCATAATGAAAAAACCTTCATGTGGATGAAAAATGATCAAAATAAATATCTTCAGTCAGATTTATTTCAAGCAAAAATCAGATATTACAGTTTGTTTTGATAATAACAGATTACTTGTTAACAAATACTGCAAAGATTGAATTTTTCTGATGATTCACATTTCCATGGTTTTACTACAATCACGGAACAGAAGAATGTGCTTTTCATGAAAGTCATGCAATTGACTACAGAATTCTTTTAAAAAAACAACACACCTACACATATTTTCTAGGTATCCATTTTTTGTAGTTTTATGCCATCCTTCAAGAGTGGAAAATAAAGCCCCACAAAAATAACAACTTTTACAGTACAACAAAAAATGTTTTGAAAGTCAGGAAACTGATAGCAAAAAAGGTTGAAGAAGAAAAACAACAGTAATGGGCCAGTTGATAACCCTATCCTCATGATATAGTTTCTAAAATAATGGATCATGAAAAAAAATCAGGTTACATACAGCTGTTTGTGTAGGATGAATGTGGCCACCACATTTGTTGCTATGATACGACCTTCCAGAATCGTTGAAAATTCTTGTGTCAGCTTCAGAGGGTCCACTATGTTTATCTGTTTTCAGTATTATAAAGAAAAATAAAAGCTTAAAATGACAAACTAAATTTGGCGCAATAAAATTTTAGCAGATTACAATTTTTCGGCAAATAAGTGCAATGTTGAATTTCTGCATCCACTTTAACTGATTAATATTAACACCATACTGTAACTGCAATTAGCTCAAACATATTTCAGTGCAACATTTTTTTAAATAAAATGTGTCAAAATCTAACAAAACTATGGAAAACCATGAAAGTTTAGAAGTTTCTCACTGTTACAGTGGAGTTGAAGAATGATAAAATCACTGTATAATGCAATTTAATTTAACTTTCACACATGTATGATATTATTTTTGATGGCCATTTGATATCAGACCTTTATTAGCACTTGAGTACTAATATCAGGACTCTCGAGGTGATAAGGGGTGTGATATCAAAATGCATGGTCATATAATAATCTCTAGATATTTTCTCCAGAAGATGTAATATAAAGTAACATGATAGAAACCATGAAAGGAGTTAGTTAATGTGATTTACATGTATGTCAATATTTCTTCATAATTTTTTATTGATGTTCCTATCACAGACAGCATGTAATGTCTATACCTGTCCTCCTGTCTTGTCTGCCACTTTACCAAGCTGAATCATCTTACAGTCTGTGCCCTTCATACTAATCACTGAGATAGACACTCTGTAAAACACACAAAAAATAATCCCTCAGTTGATTGTCACACTGTTATACTGAAAATCTTCACAAAGTTCAAGTTTGTGAACAGTAACTGTGGCAAATTCTGACAGAAATGATAAACAACAAACATGGTTAAGCATGATATGTTGTAAAAATATTAATATACATGGAGGAGATTTATAATTTATGATCTCATTTGTCCATAAACTGGGAAAATTTATATAAGCAGATTTATTGAGATTTATCTCTGAATTCAAATGTCGACATAATAGTGACTTTGGGGAAAGCAGATGCAAAGGTTTGTAGCAGTAAAAGAACATAGGTTTACAATATACATTTCATGCTTTTTCAGTCAAACCTAAACAACTTTACTAGGTTTGACTGATGACTGATATTACAGGGGTTAAACAACTGTCTCGTTACATGAATTATCCAATGTAATCTGATGGAGGCAGTTCATGCTGATAAATTCAAACACTTGTCTGTATAAAAATCATGTCAATGATAAGGAAAGCAGTCTGTTTACATTGGTAATCATGTTTAGAAAGACCATTTCAATAAATCTTGATTGTTTGGATATGTTCAAATGTTTCAAGCTGGTTTTCACTGTTAACAAGCTTGGTATGATTTTTAAGCAATTTTGGAGGAGTCGAAAATATTTCATTTACATCAAGAATCAAATAATTAAAAAATATTAAACATTCACTGAAACAGAATCTCTATAACACACATCAAACAAAATTTCTTCAATGAAACAGAATCTCTGTAATAATACACCTTTTCAAGCTTATGGTAAATTGACAAAATTACACTTAAAACATAATAAAATTGTCTTTATGTTTGTTTAAATCCAAACCTCTAAGGTAGACCTACCCCTTATCTGCAGCAGTGTCAGCAACACTCTCATAAAAGTCAAGGGAGCTCTCCTGTACATCTGCTGTGGAAATATCCAGTCGACCAAGGCCAACATTTGCCAGCCCATCAGTGCAGATTATCACCTTAGACCCAGGTTGTTGGGAGGCCATCGTTGACGCAACAAGTAAGGCAGGTCCTAGAGCTGTAGCACCCCCTTCCTCTAGCCTGAAATAATAATATCACAAGGATGTGTCACCTAAATTAATGGTATCACAAGGATATGTCACCTTAATTAATGGTATCACAAGGATGTGTCACCTAAATTAATGGTATCACAAGGATATGTCACCTTAATTAATGGTATCACAAGGATATGTCACCTAAATTAATGGTATCACAAGGATATGTAACCTAAATGAATGGTATCACAAGGATGTGTCACCTAAATTAATGGTATCACAAGGATATGTCACCTTAATTAATGGTATCACAAGGATGTGTCACCTAAATTAATGGTATCACAAGGATGTGTCACCTAAATTAATGGTATCACAAGGATGTGTCACCTAAATTAATGGTATCACAAGGATATGTCACCTAAATTAATGGTATCACAAGGATATGTAACCTAAATTAATGGTATCACAAGGATGTGTCACCTAAATTAATGGTATCACAAGGATGTGTCACCTAAATTAATGGTATCACAAGGATATGTAACCTGAATTAATGGTATCACAAGGATGTGTCACCTAAATTAATTGTATCACAAGGATATGTCACCTAAATTAATGGTATCACAAGGATATGTAACCTAAATTAATGGTATCACAAGGATGTGTCACCTAAATTAATGGTATCACAAGGATGTGTCACCTAAATTAATGGTATCACAAGGATATGTAACCTGAATTAATGGTATCACAAGGATGTGTCACCTAAATTAATGGTATCACAAGGATATGTCACCTAAATTAATGATATCATATGATGTAAAAGTCATGGGAGACTGAAGACTGTGCTTACTCAAAGATTTTGGTGCTGAGTGTTGCACGTGTAGTTCTGATGTCCCCCGGGCATGGCAGGTCAGTGCCTATCTTTACTAACTCCTCTTTTTCTGTTAGCTTGTCCCCAGCAATGACAACCGGTGTGGACTTCCCATCCCCGACTACAACAACCTACAATGGCAGAGAGTAGTTTATTAGACACAACTTCTAGCATTATCACTGCTTCTCTTAATAAAAATGTCTTGTTGTTCTTAATTATCAAAACAGATGCTGGTTCTATTCAAATCCACGATATAGCAGGTTTTGCTGATCTGAACAATGTCCTGATATAAGCCTGCAATATGCTTGCAGAACTTACCTCACTATTGAAAATAATTAAGCCCACTCTTCTGTTTGGGTGGTTTTTGGACATCTCTTCCAGTTGCTGGTCAACAGCAGCTTGTGCAGCTTGTAGTCTTGACACAAATGTCACATTTCTGTTCTGGTTGGGTAAGAACTGGTCATGGCGGTCATCCTGCATACGGCGAACATGTCGAGCACTACCTCCGCCTCTCAGTTTCAATTTACCTGGTACCTAAACAATGGGTATAAAAACAGTATATATATATCAAATATATATAGCAAATATCGTCATGTTAATCTTTCAGAAGAAATAGATTTATGTAAAGTGTTGAAAGCCTTAACATCCAGATCAAAGAGGGCAGATGACAATATCAATACTTGATACCATGAGAACCTTTCTACAATCATAGTCATTATTATCATGATGTTTATAAGCTAGCTTTCATTTCAGTTGATCATTCCATACAATGATAGAGCACTTGTATTTCTGATTGTCATAATAACTTTATGATACCTATAATTTGCACTGGTATAGCAGTTCAATAAAGTGATTTAATCATAATTTCCCAGTTTCTCCCAACTCTTATCAACAATGCTGTCCAGCTGTCCTGGCCCCGACCTCTTACCTCTGTTGTGATGCACATGCTGCCAGAGACATCTATACAAAAAATGACCAGTGAGTTGTTGGTGCCCTTTGGTCCACTACTTGTGGTTGACAAAGCAGGGGTCAACATAAAGGTCACATCATCCCGAGTTGGTTTTTCTTCCTCCATAATGTCCACCTCCATCTTATGACCACAGAACTCACACTTCCACACCTGAATAATGTGTCAGTATGTAAACACATGTAAATGTACCATGAACATTAAAAAATGATTATTTTATAGGTGTTTGTTTAATATTATTCATATCACAAGAATAAGGCAAAATATTGGTATTTTTTCTTATATTAAAAACATGCCAGAATTTCAAAATTATTTTATATTTTTACATGATTCCTTATCATTATTTAGCTAAAATAAAATCTATGCAACAGAGAGCATTCAATTCATCAAATGATACCGAAACAGACATATTGACTAAGAATATGTGAGATGACAGACAGGCAAATAATGTTCCAAGTCATTTCAAGACTTTTAAATCACATCTCACTGTAAATTTTCCTGTCACATTTTTAATTGATGTACTAAATATTATGACAATGTTCTGAGAATAGTATCTTTTTTTCAATTTTCATGCATTTGACTTTTACTTTGTTGTAATGTTTTACCTTGACCTCCCCTTGGTCCTCCAGCTTACACAGGTGGGACAGGATTGCCTGACAGTTATTACAGTACACAGCATCGCCAGTGTGCATGTCGCTGGGCGTAACTAAGGTCTGAAAGTCGATTGACACAATGTTGGTGTCTGCTCGTCTTTCTCTTCGCCCTTTTTGAGGGACTTTTGGAAATTCTGGTTTAGCATCTGAAAATGTCATAAATAAACTTGTAAGTGCTGCTTAAATAGAGATGATATCAGCTGACTCAATAAACTGTGAACTTGGTTGAGGTTATGAAAGTGTAACCTGACACTAACTATCACCTGAACTATGACCTAGCAAAGGACAAATTAAGTACTTCTACATAACATTGGTAAACAGTAATACATACAATGTACCTCAGTACAATATGTGTCTGTTAAAGGGAAATATTACCTTCAACTAATAACTAACTTGGTTAAAAAGCTCTTAAAAACTAATTAAGAATCCAGTAAGATAATAATGCTCCACTAACTTTTCAACTTGTAATAGGTAATTGTGCTATTCCACTCACTATTTACCTGGTTATGGGTAAAAGTGCTTCTAAATCACTATTCACCTGGTTATTGGTTTCATTTTCATAACTCACTATTTCCCTTGTGATGGGTAAAGTGTTTCATAACTCACTATTTACCTGGTTATTGGTGATAGTGTTTCACAACTCACTATTTACCTGGTTATTGGTGATAGTGTTTCATAACTCACTATTTACCTTGTGATGGGTAAACGTGTTTCATAACTCACTATTCACCTGGTTATAGGTAAAAGTGCTTCTAAATCACTATTCACCTGGTTATTGGTTTCATTTTCATAACTCACTATTTCCCTTGTGATGGGTAAAGTGTTTCATAACTCACTATTTACCTGGTTATTGGTGATAGTGTTTCACAACTCACTATTTACCTGGTTATTGGTGATAGTGTTTCATAACTCACTATTTACCTTGTGATGGGTAGAAGTGTTTCATAACTCACCATTAACCTGGTTATTGGTGATAGTGTTTCACAACTCACTATTTACCTGGTTATTGGTGATAGTGTTTCATAACTCATTATTTACCTTGTGATGGGTAAAAGTGTTTCATAACTCACTATTCACCTGGTTATAGGTAAAAGTGCTTCTAAATCACTATTCACCTGGTTATTGGTTTCATTTTCATAACTCACTATTTCCCTTGTGATGGGTAAAGTGTTTCATAACTCACTATTTACCTGGTTATTGGTGATAGTGTTTCACAACTCACTATTTACCTGGTTATTGGTGATAGTGTTTCATAACTCACTATTTACCTTGTGATGGGTAAAAGTGTTTCATAACTCACCATTAACCTGGTTATTGGTGATAGTGTTTCACAACTCACTATTTACCTGGTTATTGGTGATAGTGTTTCATAACTCACTATTCATCTGGTTATGGGTAAAAGTGCTTCTTAACTCATCTTTCACCTGGTTATTGGTAAAAGTGTTTGTTAACTTACTATTTACCTGGTTATTGGTGATAGTGTTTAATAACTCACTATTTACCTTGTGATGGGTAGAAGTGTTTCATAACTCACCATTAACCTGGTTATTGGTGATAGTGTTTCACAACTCACTATTTACCTGGTTATTGGTGATAGTGTTTCATAGCTCACTATTAACCTGGTTATTGGTGATAGTGTTTCATAACCCACTATTTACCTGGTTATTGGTTATAGTGTTTCATAACTCACTATTTACCAAAGGAAAATTTTAACTTACATATTATGCAAATTATATCAAAATTGATGCTACATTTTCTCTTCATTTGCACTTTTTACACCTGTCAGTGGTGCACACAAAAATCCAAACCTTACTGGACAATTTTTTTTAAAATTCTGAGGACATTTTCTACAACTTTGTCAATGTGGAGATTAAAATCCCCTTACATGTGGTTGGTCATCAGTCATGAGAACAAGATGTCACTATTTTGAGCCAGTTAGGAAGAAAACTTTCATGCCTCCATCCCTTTATAGATTGAGTGTCATGAATCTCTCAGCCTAGAGATCAAAATCTTGCAGCAAGGGCAGAATATTAAGATTGTTTATTACTACCACATCAATATGATTTATGTTTTTAGCAACTTAATAATTTTTCTCACCTCCTAGAGGTGCACTTCTCCAATGTCCTCGCTTTTGCTTTTGAGATCTCTTTCTTTCTCCGGATGAATTTGCTGCAAGCAGGATAGGAGGACCAGGCACAGAAGGATTTAGAGATGAAGTGCCAGCAAGTGGTGCCGGTGATACATTTACTATGCTATCTGAAAAAAAAAATACGGAAAAAAAATGCAAAATGAAATTATTGAATGATCAACCATTTACTTACTAATAAGTAAAGTAATTTAATATTCTAATATAGTAAATATACTGTAAATGTGATTGTGATAATTTTATTTTAGCAATTTTCATGGTGATCATCTTGAGCTATTATGAGACTGCACACATATCAATTTGTAGGTGATGTTTATATAACAATTTCTATGGCTGTGCAAATTCATCAATGCACTAATATGTCTAAAAATCATAATGCATTAAATCTGATTATGCTAAATTAAATATGTCTGCATTATAAAATACGACAAATAAGAAGAGGTCCAAAGAGCCTGTATCATTTACCTGGCTTTGCTTGGTTGAAATTGCTTTATTAAAACTAAAGGAAAAGGAATTCTAAATATACGTATCCAAGCACACAACACAAAACATATCTATTTTCCTACTGGACCAAACAGTTTCATTCCTACAGAAGAAGTAGAATTTTAAAGAATTTACTCTATTTCCAATATAAGGCCCATCTGTTCCAAGGAGCTTAGGCCCACAGTTTACACAAAATCGATAACCTGTCACCTTAGAATGCTTCAGATCAAATGTGGACAAAATCTCATCATTCCTATAGGACAATTTTTTTTCTATTGAGCCCCACCTTTGCCACCCCAGGAAGCTGAGACCCACTGTTTATAGAAAGAATTTAATCGCCTTCACTAAAGAATGCTTCTGATGAAGTTTGGGCAAAATCCAATCATTCCTACAGTAGGAGTAGGATTTTAAAGAATTTGCTCCATTTCCCCTATTGGGTCTCGCCCCTCACACCCATGGGGCCACGAGACCCACCATTTGATTTTTACAAAATTTGTTGCCCTTTTTCCAAGCACATACTTCTGACAAAGTTTTGTCAAAATCTGATGTCATTCATGACTAGTAGCAACTTGTAGAAAAAGTTGACAGGCCAGTTGAACTAAATTCAACTCTTCAATATTCAATCCATGTGACAGTCAATAAGTATTAAATGGTAGTAAACATTTTGAAATCATTTGCAAGAGAAACAGGTTTTATTACCCAATGGTGGCAGTAGTACCTTAATCTTGTCGTAACTACAATGTACACATAATGCAAATGTAAACTGTGCACAACATTGACTGCTGTCCCATGTTAAGGCTTCTAACCAAGTTTGAATTAAATGAAATTACACCCAAAAACTGAATTTACCCATACAAAATCTTCCATTAATAGTAGAATATCTTTTAAATTTCAGTCAGTTTGAATCATTTTTGGCCCTGCTCATCAATATGTGCATTTCATCCAACTGCCAGCTTATACTAACAATTCTAACCAAGTTTGAACTATTTCTGAAAAAAATAATGCTCAAAAATGTTCTTTACCTATAAACTATAGTAAATTTTACCCCTCCCCAAAGGAGAAATTTATATGAAACCCTTGAGTCATGAAACTTTTAATTTTGTTAAACCACCATAAGATACTTCCATCCACCAAGAGAATTTGGTTCTACTTTATTTTGGTATTGAAAAGAAGATTTTTGAAATTTCAGTCAATTTGACCCATTTTCGCCCCACCCAACAGTCCCAGGGGTCAGCCAAGGTCAATATGTGCATCTCAACAAATTTTTGTCTTATACTAATAATTCTAACCTTGTTTGGACTATTTCCAACAGAAAATAAAAGAATAATGTTCAAAAATGTCATTTTCCTACATAAACTAAAACTAAAGTAAACTTTGCTACCTCATTGTATAATCTACAATTTAGGTGCACCTTTCGCCAAAGAAGGTTTTTGAAAAATTTCACAGAAATTGATTCAGGAGTTTCCCAGAAGAAGTCGAAAATGTTAAAAGTCCTAAAAGTTTTGGGTTTTCTCAGCCACCTCCTAGGTTTAGAAAAATCAGGCTTTTAGTATCACTGATGAGTTCTTAAAGAAAGATGACATAGCTGTATGAGTAGTGTAATTTTTTTATTTAGGTCTGCTGTGATTAGTTTAAGACTTGAAATAAAAGATGCTTTCCTACAATCTTTGAGGTTGCAGGTGGTAGACACAGCTGGTGGAATATTTTAGTCTCTCAGGTTTTTTATAACTTACATGCCACATTTCAATCACTATTGCACAGTGTTACAGTTCAGGATATACACATATGCTTGGTATTTTAATTGATTTCAGATATAGAAATTATGACACCTATTGAATTATGTGGCTAGTGCACCTCCCAAACTCCAACTGAATTCCTAATTAGCAGCTTAACTACAGTAGTACATGGGTTTTTTGGGGGCAGTCATTGTGTAAGTACAAGAAATTATTAACCAAGTGTACAAGATATTAATCATAATATGAAAAGACTATAAGCAAGAAATTGTGGAAGGATGAAATATTTATGTTTTGTCACCATTTGATGAATTTTTCTCTTGCATTTGAAACATTAATAACTTGTATTGATAAAAGCATTCCTTCTTTTGATTTTCTGATCAATCAAAACTCGGTAAAATATATAATATATTCATTCTTAGAACATGAGCATTAACATACAAAGCAAGCACAAGGAGTCCTTCAAAATTGATTAAAAATTAGATTAACTCACCACCAAAAGTCACATCGGAGTCTGAGTCGGAGTCAGAATCACTACAAAAACAAGAATAAAAATGTCACTCAAGAAATAAATTATCTTAACAAAAACCACACAAACAAAAAGGAAATAATGACCTCTCGCACACTTTGATGAGGGATAACAGGTCATACAACTAGTTTCACAATCGTTTGAAAATAAATAAAGTTTACATTTTATTGATAGTATACAAGATATATATCTCCATTCCAATATCTTACTGCTCATTAAGAAATATGTTTGATGTAAATGTACATGTTGTCTACCGTGTAAAAACTCTGTAATAAGTCCTAGGACTACGGAGTAATATTATCACACACTATTTCTGACTTAAATGAAGAGTTGGATTCTTTACAGAGTACTGACACAGCATTTGCTGGCATTTCTTTAGTTCACTAATAAATAATAAATAGGGCAGTACCACAAAACCCTAAGTGTTCTGGACAACATGTGACAGGCCTCATGTATGTTGTTCAGTAAGGTAGTCATCACCTATTTCAAGGAGGCCCTACCTAAAAAATGACCCGAACTGTTCACAGAGTGATAAACCCAGCTAACAATGTACAAGTTACCTTACCTGACCTGCATACCCAATTCATACTCTTCATCAGATATGACTTCATACTCCAAGCTTTCGTAGGCAAAGACATAATCTGAGCCAAAATTCATGGTGTTGATCTGTTAGTATATTCTGATATAAAAAACGAAAGAAGAATTATTCAATTTCTGAATACTACAATGATATATTGTGACTTGTACATTTACATTTTTATCACCATGTAAGACAGTTGACAATTGTTGGCATGTAGCCATAATATTTTTAAACAAAGTTTTATGAGATTTGATGATTGTTATTATATAAAGTCTATATCTAAAATGTAGTCTACAACTTCTTAAGCATTTACATGCGCCATTTGATTATTAGATCCAATGTTATGACAAAGTATGCAAATGGTTAATAATAGACTTTACTTGACAAAATTACACATTTTTATACCTTTTTCATGATCTAATACATGTATATTTTAGATCAAGCTAACATTACATGATAATTTGAACCAATCATTGATCTACCAATGGACCTAAATGCAAACGCCAACATCTCTTACATAAATGTTAGTCGTGTAGTCCTCCCTGGATAATTATTCATGGCCACCAGGAAGTTGAACGGTAACATTTTTAAATGATGGGGTAAATCAGTGAAGACATATGCCCACAGGCTTGATTGTGACATTTTAGAATTCAAAGATTACATTCCGTTAAAAGTTGGGCCTACTTTACATGACATAGCTTCGTGTAATTCTCAATATAGACAGCGTAAGACAGTCAGTAAGGCAACCAAATACAACCAGGAAGACATAAACTTTCTATGAAACTTTGTATTTTATATAAACATTATCGGAAATTTGACTATAGGTATATGCGATAAATAATTGCAACGGACATCTTTATTTAATAATAACGCGAATTTCTCCGAATAGACGGGATTATCAACAGAAAACCTTGAGGAGAATCGGTGTTGTTTTGGGGAATTCCCACCAAATTTATCCTGACATCTAGCAATTCGCAATCAAATCAATTCCTTGCAAAATAAAAAAGTCATTTACACATGATAGTATATTAAATCATACTTAGATACCAACCAAAGTATACTCACTTCTCAAAGTGTGTCTGTTTGTGCTGAAAAATTACAGGTTGGATCTGCAACATTCTATAGGAAACGGTGTATAATGTCTATAAATACCTTATGACGTCATTTATATTTACAAACTGAGCTGACACAGCAGAATGTTGAGAGGCCTCTTACAGGGTAACTGCTAATCCTAAAAATCCCCCAAAATAAATTTGTCACACCAAGGATGTATTATCGTTCGTCTCTGATCTCACCATCATCATGATAATGGAAGATCAGTTTTATGCGTCCTTTTCATTTGTACCATTTTTATTTATTTTATCTATTAGTTACAAAAAAAAATAAGAAAAATACTTTTTTTTAGTTTAATTATTTATTTGTAATATTAGAGACGTATATAACGTTATATAGCGTTATATCTGTCTCTGGTAATATCTTCTTGATAAACAAATGTTTGATACATATATAATGTAGACATTTACATATATTTACTTTTACCGATAAACACTTATTTTCGTACATGAATTAAGACCGATGTACGCAAGCTATTGATTTAGGCGATGGTGCCATTTTCGGACACTTTACAGTTGCCAAGGTCACTAGTCAATATTATCAATACTGTTGTCTGGTAAAGCGACCTTCCGTTTCGTATGCGATTTATTTTTGCGAAAAAATTGCTATTAAAACAAATTCACAAAAGTTTATCGTGATGAATTTATCAAAATTGGAATAAGAAGGTTCTCGAAAGTCATAAACGCCGTAGTCTTGGTGTATCGACACTGAATATTTGATACTGCATCCTCTTTGTCACAAAGTCTTTGATCTCAGTGGTCCCTCTGAAGTACGGGACGGTAATGGCATGCCTAGTGCCGATCGCCTTCTTTTGGTATTGCTCTGGTATCACGTGACCTCTGAAAGATGGTAGTCAAAGTAGGAGCCAAGTCACCAGCGAAATCGAGAAGAAGCCGTGGCGGGTATCTGGTCATATGCGGACTTTGGCCTTTGGTTGGAATATTGCTGGTATCCTATGTGGTACAAACATATTTAAATTAAATCTGTCTGGATTGGTGCGTCGCTATAAGACAGACCGTCTGAATTCTTTAGTGGGGCTATTCCATTGGAGCCCTGTTTCCGATTTTTTTGCGTATGAACTGAAACTCTTCGAGTTGTCTATCATATCTCTTGTGATGATGTCTTGAACGTACTTGTTATGTTCTTGCCTGATCATTCTTTGACTCCGTGTTTCAGCGTCTTATATCGTTTCCAATCATGGCCCGCATGGTGTTTGTTGTTTTGTTGAAAGAACAGAAGGCACTTACTCGTTCTGAACATATTATTATTATTGTACGGTTTTTTTTCTTTGTGTTAATATTTATTTTGTCTATATTTTTTCCCTTGGGTAATCGAATTTAGCTGAGTTCAATAGATTAAAATATTTTATTAGCATTCCAGTACTGCAAAGATTCGCTTGTTGTTACTGAACACCTTGCATAGGAAAAGGGAGTTAAAATGTCTTATATTCCTATATAGAAGAGTATGAATAACGTAGTCCTGAAGCTAGAAAACGATGATGATAATAATATATACTTGAGGAAATTATTTTAATGATTCCGGAATGTAGTCTCCTATTTTATAACTAGAATTACACATCCGGTACAAAAAATTCAACATGGCGTCCTTGGATGTAAACAAACAGAAACAAAGCATCAATTTATCTGATTCTTCAATTCAAATGGCATAGAATGTTATTCATCATTTTCGTAGCATAAATGTAAATATCTTGTTATTCAATTTATTCTCATAAGTCAAGAATTGTATTTTTAAAGTTCATAAAAAGATGAAAAACAGCTCATTGTCGAGTGACGCATAATAAATATGGTTTAGTGACCATCTAGGCTATCTTGTATTAAATAATTAATTAATAGGGATGTAAAGTTACTTGGTCATAGTAAAATAACAGATGGAGCCGTATTAAATCTCATTGTGTTCATATTGCAGCATTACGTAGTAAAATCAATAAGTAACTATCAATTTTGTTCACTCTTCTAAACACATCTAGATTGAGAAGTGATGTAGAAGAGGATCTTACCAAACCCTACATTGAAGATCTTGTTTAATTGTGTGTCCAATATTTCCTCACCATGAGTTCTCCATTGTCCAGTCTGAGGAAATCTCACAAAAATCCACTACTTCTTGGGTGAGTATAATTTAGATACTATAAAACAAGTCATAGAAAATTCAGTATGCCTCCAAAATAATTCAGCAAAATGCATTTTCATTGTATTCATTCAAAGCAAAACTCTTATCACTGTGCAATAGAGGATTGAAAAAAAGCAAAAAAAAAAAAAAAAAAAACAACAAAAAGACTAAAGCAAACAATTATTTGGATATTTTGAAGTATTTTTTCTTTATTGAAAAGACCTGCCTTCTTTATCCAGCAAAAACCCATTACCTGTAATGATTTAACTTATCCCAGTCTTTGAGTCACAATTTTTATGTTGACCCCTTATTGCAAGTAACTGCTAACCAGTTAGAAATACATTTTGATACAACTCTGTCACCTTCATAAGAAAAAAACCAAATGAACAGTGAAGTATACTTACACTGGCCGACTTTTAGCAATTAATGGGTTATTTACATGAGAAGTAATGTTAACACTACAAAAACAAAAATGTATATATCTTTAATATAACTGACTATAACTTTTACTACAATTTTATCATAATTTTGTAATTTTTTTACCAATAATTGCAATATAAAAGAAAAAACTTGCAAATTTGATAATAATCCTGTACATCTTATACCTCAGTATAAATGTCGTTTTGTCTGATGAGGGTGACAGAGTGTAGTGCTCTTTGAAAACATTACATACAAATATCTATCTCATTGAGCTTCAAAACAAAACAAAAATTCACTGAAATTATTTTTTTTTAAATATTTGTATTATTTCATTATTCCAACTTTTCATATGTTCCTTCAGTTTGTTTATTTCAAGATATATGTGTAGGAGTTGAGAGTACAGGTTGCCTTACTAGCCTCGGCTAGTGGGAATGTCCCTTTAGTTGAGCGGTAGAGTGTCGTGGCTAGAGACTGAAGGGTTGCTAGTTGGAACCCCAGTCTGGCCATGCATTTTTCTGTTCCTGTTAAATTTGGTGCTGTGACCAAACCTTGCTTCAAGCAGTAGGTGAATGCTTATCAAGGGGATACCTGAACTTGGGTTGTTAGATGTATGTCTTTGGGTACAAAGACTAAAAATAAGGAGGGAGGAATGTAGCAGAACTGGACAGGGTTGATCGTCGACGACCATTTAGCTCAGTAGATAGAGCATCCGACTAGAGTTCGGAAGGTCCTGGTTTCGAAACTCAGTCTGGACATGCATTTTTTGCTCCTGTTACATATGTTTATGTCATAATCATATATATGATCAATGAAGTAATAACAGCAGTACAGGCATATAAATTGTGAAAAGTTCAAGGCAATGTACCTCTTAATCAACACACAAAATATTACATAAATTACACGAAAGACATAGCAAAAAAAACAAGACAATGTTACAAGCAATATTCATGAACAATAATGCAAAGTATCTCAATAACTAATCTGTTTGGTCAACAAACACAAAGGCCTTTTTAAGGAGGGAAAAACCATCTTAAGGTGGTGTTTGAAAGATGGTGAATAAAAAAAAGTTCTGCTCTGCTATTACACATACATGCCCTATAGCTATCACACACACTGCAATTGATCTCAAAGTTAATATTTAAACAGCATTTACAAGTAACCTTGGGGATATATCTATATGTAATGATTTTGTCATGTTACAACCACAACTCAGCTAAATCTTACAAACAACTGAGTATGTTTGTCATGTCATGATCATGTCATGAAAGGCTTGTTTACAATTTCTAAATGGCAACTTAGCAATGTTATAACTAAATGTTTATAAGTGCACATTAAAACGTTGTTTGTTTGCTGGGTTTTTTGCTCTGTCAGGGTAATTTTGAGGTCACCTTGAAGTAGCTGAGGCTACTTTACTGAACAACATATGAAAGGGCTATCATATACTATCTGGACACCAGGGAGTAAAGTGTTTTGTGCAAGGATGTAACCATAACAGCAAAAACTGGTCCATTTCTCAGCTTTCTGACAAAAAACAAAACACCATGGGTAGAGAGTGTCAAACTACACACCACCTAGCTTCACATGAGTTTGCATCTAGGACAATGCTCTACCAACTTTATGAATAGCGTCTTGTTCTAATAATGTAGCTGTGTCCTAATAACAACTTATCATCTTATAATAACACATTATTTATATGCTATAATGTTGTTGATAAGTTGTTTCCTATAGAAAAAAATTCCCCCTATTGTACCCTGTTCAGGTCTTGCCAAACCATTTAGAGTCCTGACCCATTGAATGCAAAATAGAGTCCCCTTACTGTAAAGTATTCTTAGGCTGATCAAGTTTGTATTGAAGGCAAAACTAACTTACCATATTAATTCTACAAAAGTAATTGTTATTTTCAGATATAGCACACAATGTCATTATTGAGAGCTTTAAGTCGATTGTTGCTAAATCTGCAAGTCAAAATATGTTCATATTACAAAACAATGTGTTTTATTGGTAGCTCTTTACAGGTTCCTGAAACTAGACTAACCATAGATATTGATAAAAACACAAAATCGTGAAATATTATTCAGAGACTGTCAATATATGTATATATAAAATAAGCATCACTTAAACACTTGGTAAACAAAATTGCTTCGTTCTGATGTATTGTAGTGTATAAATTATCAAGACACATTTCTGTCCACTGTTTATTATAATCTGAAGAAGTTAGAACTATTTTCATACCCACAGGAGATATGATAAAGAAGTAGTTTCGAGTGAAGGGTAAGTGTATACAGCTGACTGTGTGATCTTTGGTTGTTCACTGATGTCTTGTGTTTCAAGCATTACTAGTACTTAATACAACTTTTTCAAACTCAATACAGGAGTGATGATTAAAGGAATGAAATTAAAAGTAATTAATTTCTATATTCTTCTTATGTACATTAATATATAATAAAGAATTAATAAATAAACGTTAGGAAATAACTGAATAACACTGTGAGTGAAATCAATATCCATTGTATCATGTACAGTATGTGCATGTAATGTACCATCCATTTCATATATACAGTGGAATTTAAGAATTTGAATTATAAAGTACATTCAGTGACCCTTGGTATGCCATGTATTAGTTAATGTTCCAAAACCTACTAAATTCACTACCAAACCCTCAGTTTGATTAAAAATAAGGTAAAGGTTTCATGATGCAAAAAGCTTTTTTGATGGCAGTTTACCAACAGTTAGGATAAAAATAAACATTTCTAGGAAATACTGAGAGTGACTCTGTCTTTTGATATTTTGTTTAATTCTCATAATAAGTTGCCTGTTTACAAGAGATATTATGACTATTATCCTATACAACAAACTTTTAGAGACATTGGCAAGCTGGTAGAAAGATCAAGGTGTCCATCATATTTTATTTATTCATTTTTTAGATATGTGACTTTCTACAAACAGTTTCTTCTTCTGTCAAAGTAAATGACAAGTATTTGGTAGAATTAATCTATGTGGGTTTTACCACTGAACCAACCAATCGACTATTGAAGCAATACAAATTGAAACCTTTGTTATATTTTGCATTTCTTTCTATTCAATGCCACATTAATATTGCTTTTTTATAAGTAAGGCCTCCAAACCAAGCCTCTGAATACTACCTTACTATTTCTATGCCTATTGTCTACAAGCCTAGCCTCTGAATACTACCTTACTATTTCTATGCCTATTCTCTACCAGCCTAGCCTCTGAATACTACCTTACTATTTCTATGCCTATTCTCTACCAGCCTGGCCTCTGAATACTACCTTACTATTTCTATGCCTAGTGTCTACAAGCCTAGCCTCTGAATACTACCTTACTATTTCTATGCCTATTCTCTACCAGCCTAGCCTCTGAATACTACCTTACTATTTTTATGTGTAAGGCCTCCAAACCTAGCCATTAGACAAGATACTACCTTACTATTTCTATGTATATAGGCCTTCAAACCTAGCCTCTGGACACCACCTTACTATTTCTATATTTAAGGTCTCCAAACCTTGACCCTGAACAACACCTTACTATTTCTGTATGTAAGGTCTCCAAACCTTGACCCTGGACAACACCTTACTATTTCTCTATGTAAGGTCTCCAAACCTTGACCCTGGACAACACCTTACTATTTCTCTATGTAAGGTCTCCAAGCCTAGACCCTGGACAACACCTTACTATTGCTATATGTAAGGTCTCCAAGCCTAGACCCTGGACAACACCTTACTATTTCTCTATGTAAGGTCTCCAAACCTAGACCCTGGACAACACCTTACTATTTCTCTATGTAAGGTCTCCATACCTAGACCCTGGACAACACCTTACTATTGCTATATGTAAGGTCTCCAAACCTAGACCCTGGACAACACCTTAATATTTCTCTATGTAAGGTCTCCAAACCTAGACCCTGGACAACACCTTACTATTTCTCTATGTAAGGTCTCCATACCTAGACCCTGGACAACACCTTACTATTGCTATATGTAAGGTCTCAAAACCTAGACCCTGGACAACACCTTACTATTGCTATATGTAAGGTCTCCAAGCCTAGACCCTGGACAACACCTTGCTATTTCTATATGTAAGGTCTCCAAACCTAGACCCTGGACAACACCTTGCTATTTCTATATGTAAGGTCTCCAAACCTAGACCCTGGACAACACCTTACTATTTCTCTATGTAAGGTCTCCAAGCCTAGACCCTGGACAACACCTTACTATTTCTATATGTAAGGTCTCCAAGCCTAGACCCTGGGCAACACCTTACTATTTCTCTATGTAAGGTCTCCAAACCTAGACCCTGGACAACACCTTACTATTTCTCTATGTAAGGTCTCCAAACCTAGACCCTGGACAACACCTTACTATTTCTCTATGTAAGGTCTCCAAACCTAGACCCTGGACAACACCTTACTATTTCTTTATGTAAGGTCTCCAAACCTAGACCCTGGACAACACCTTACTATTGCTATATGTAAAGTCTCCATACCTGTGCCCTGGTCAACACTTTACTATTTCTATGTGTAAGGCCTTTAAACCAAAGTCTCTGGTATTGTTCTATCACAAGTCAATATCTTACTTATGAAATATGTTAATATCTTTTGGGGTCAGATATGTTCTCTTCAATCATGCTCAGTATCCAAATAACATTGACCATTGAGTACCAGTTGATTTACTTAGGTATGAGAGGAATAAAGATATACAATAACAGACTAATATATAAATTGTGTGTACTTTTAGCAGGTTTTCTCATCCCATACCAAATTACATGAAAGGTGAGAGACACACAGATCAATTATCTGTAATCTTATATTCAGTGCCATATCGATTGCCATCTACAACAATTTGGCTGCAGATATTTACTATGTACATGGTCGATTTTCCCTGTAACATTTTATAGTTTGTTCTCTGGGAATCACAATCTACATGATTTGTTATATGCTTGTACAGAATGGGATGGATCTAAAGATCTTTGACATTTTTACACATAAGAAAATAAGCTTGCATAATAAGTCAGTGAGGTAAGTTAGATTTATTTGAATATTATTATTATTACAGTAACTCCTTTTTTTGTATAGATGTCTGTGTTCTTCTTTCCCATAACTTTACAGTAGCTTGCGGGTGAGTCCTTGTTTTAGAAAATAACTGAAGCAGGTATTTAGTTTATCAGTAAAGAAATTAAAAAAAATATTGAGTTTTGAAAGTAAACAAAAGACAATAAGGACATGTACATGTTATCACCAAGAAAACTTTGTGTTTGTGTTGTATGATAAAACAAACAACAATTAAAGGGACTAAATAGTTAGATATGCATTTCAGAACTGATAAAAAAACATTATAACATTTAAATATCTGCTAAAAATTGTGTACTTTTTGTTAATTACAATATTTTAAAGTTTGCATAACAATTTTATTAAAAACGTCAAAGAATTAAAATGAAATGGAAGTGACTGGTGTTAGATACAACAGCGAGTGTCGACTTACATTAGTTTGAAGCTCAGAGTGTTATAATTTTGTGAAGAGTCTAATTTTAAGTATCACTATGGTTGTCTGAAATCAAACGCATTGGAAAAAATAATGAAAGTTAACCATTTAGTCCCTTTAAATACTTTGACATATTGGTTACTCCTTCAGTCACAGATTCTTTCTCATATAGTAGAAGTAAACACACATTGTTGCAATACGTTACACTGTGTCAAATGCTCACAATGTATAAATATAGTGCACTTTGCTCCATCCTTATGAAAACTGAAGTACACACATTCAAACACAGTATGTTTTTGTTTCCTGTTAAGTTTCATTGATTAAATTTTTTCATTTGTAAATAAGAAATAAGAAATATTGACCAGATTTCATTACTTCATTGATTTGTTTTTGATTTTGCTATTGTTATATATTACAGACAAAAACAGGTGCCCTTGAAAGGTCCAGGATATACAGGTAGGTACCGTAATAATTATATGTAAGGCCCAGTATATACAGGTAGGTACCGTAATAATTATATGAAAGGCCCATTATATACAGGTAGGTACCGTAATAATTATATGTAAGGCCCAGTATATACAGGTAGGTACCGTAATAATTATATGTAAGGCCCACTATATACAGGTAGGTACCGTAATAATTATATATAAGGCCCTGTATATACAGGTAGGTACCATAATAATTATATATAAGGCCCAGTATGTACAGGTAGGTACCGTAATATTATATATATAAGAGTACTTAAAAGTACCGTAAAAAGGATAAATATGGAACTGGATATATACAGGTAGGTAGCGTAATAATTACAAATCAGGCCCAAGATATACAGGTAGATGATATACTTGGGTAGATATGTTTTAAGTAGATTATTTACATTGGTATCAGAGGGTTGAAGTGCCTGATAAACATAACTTAACGAGGCAGTGTACATATTATTGTCAAGCTGAATGTTAGAGAGACAACTAGCTGTATATATGTATGAACTATTCTTCTGGGATTAAAATGTTTAAATGTCAAACAGCACTTTTCATCTAGTTGTCATCTAGCTGTCAACTTTGATTTATCTGAACACAAGTTTTACACTGAGGGAAGGAAATCATGTACCTATAAGTGCATCTTATTATTTGGAAAAGTGTGCAGCTATATAATTCTATTATATCAGAATTGATAGTTCTGTTTATTTGTGTGATTTCCTGTTAATTAAATGGTGAATTATTCACCTATTTAAGGTTAATATCCTCAAGTTAAGATTTAAAGTTTTGATCCCACATTTAAATATCACCCCAAGTCACACAAGGAAGATTTGCTCCACTTGGGTGGCTCTGTAAGGGTTTGAAATACTGGTCTGTCTCCACACAAGTTGTTGCCTGTTAATTTGTTCATGCAGCATATAAGCACATGGTCACAATATGTTACCTATTAGTGCAACAAAGGTCAATATTGTGAGGTATGACACATTAAGTCTGGACTAACTATGGCTGTGAGATAGAGTGCTGTGTAGTTTACATCTGCTTTATCATGTGAATCAGATTTTACAAAACCTGCTTTATATCCCGTACATATATATACTTGGCATATTTATACCATATTGTCTGGAGAGATGGACTGGAATTATCCATGGTCAAGATCCACCTCAGATCTGTTCAGTAAGTATACATTGTGAACATTAGTTTTCCTATGAATTCAGTATTTCACATTAATACATAATTGTTTACAATGTTCCAGTCTTCTTTTCATGTACCTCCCTCTTTGGTAAACAATAGTAGATTGTAAGGAGAAATAGAGTCATGTACTAAACAGGTTACATCATATCAGTCAGGGTACACCTAATGTATTGTGATATGATGTAAAATAGGATGATAGAAGCTCCTTACAGTTTAGAGTTGGTATGGTGAGCAAGCATATTCAATCAACACTACTGGTATTAAGTGAGGTGCTATTCAATTTTTTTTATTTCAATTCTGAAACACTACTCTAAAATGTATTAGCTATTTTGCTTTGTAAAGATGCCCTTTTATAGGATGTCAGAGACAGATATTGAATGTGTAATTTGTGGAAGTCTGATAGAGAAATCTTCTACAATATAGGAAACTGTTTGTATAGAATTTATGATAAGCTTATCTTACGTGTAACTTAGTTACATATAAAGGAAGGTTTCACCTTTAATGCCTTTAGATTTATACCAGATTTAAGTATCAACATATATTGAATTCCATTTATCACAGTCATTAGTCAAAACTTTGGACTCGGTACTTAATGTCAGTATTTCATGTCTCAGGTGATTGTTTAAACATATAATGGATTTTAAAAATATTATGTTGCTGTTTTTTTAAATTAAATGTATATGTTGCCTAGTTAATATTGAAAGTGAAATAGTGTGTAGTGATAAATCACTGCTCTTTTTTGCTGCAACTAAGAACCAATGCATGATGTAGCAGTGCGTCATCAAAAAATATATATTATAAACGTCCAGAGTTCCATTAAATGTCCGTGATTTAAAAGTTAAGGTCCTACTAAGGAAAAGAAGGACAAGTGAATCAATGTCGCAGGAAGTTTGTACATATATAAACCATTGTAATTGAAATTTGGATATGTGATTTAAGGGGGAAACATTGAAATTAATCCTGAGCTGATCTGGATGGTCACCTGCAGTATATCCACAGTAATGAACTCATCTAGGGTTGAGGCAATGCTTTTAGTTTAAACTGATCATATCCTTTAGACAGTGTATTACTACAGTGTTTTCTAGATGTGAGGATACCCATGTGTACAATTTCTGAGTGTATGTATATATTCTTATATACAAAACCTATGCACCATTTGAATAACAAAAATATAGGTGGCCAGTTGTCATCTAACAAATTAGTAAACTGTATACACACAGAACAGGTGTGTGGATATTGAAATAGTGTGGAGTGGTCTTTTTTCAACTTCAGCCTTTTGAACAATTGTAACCTCTATTGGCTGAGATTGTAACAGGTTTGGATAAGGATCATATTCCATTGTATTGTTTGTTGAAGATGTTTAATCATACATACGTATATACTTACAAGGAGTTCCTCACAAATGTCTCGAGGTAGACAGTATCTCAGGTTATATTAGGAAATCTTTTGTAAGGGTGTAGTAGTTAGGTGATTCCCCATGGGATGCTTTCTTCCTAGGCTGTTAGCCTGAAGATGATATTTTGACCCTGGTGAAAGATTCATGGATCTTTATTTATTGATTGACTTAAGATTATCTACAATATCCCTTTAAGCTACTTGTTCATAATGTTTTTCTATGGAAACACTCTGTCAGATAATTCTTTCTCCTTTGAGTATTGTAATGTTCCATGTAGTTTTACAATGAAGCTTTGTGATCTGTCAGATAATTCTTTCTCCTTTGAATATTGTAATGTTCCACATAGCTTTACAATGAAACTTTGTGATCTGATCTACTTTAAAATCTGATCAGATGTATTGGTAGAAGATTATTTTTTTACTTAATTTGTTCTTATGTTGTAGCATTTTAAACAAATGTTATAATTTACGAAAATAAAATAGGCTTGATACCCAGTGCACACTCTCATTCAAAATGTCCTGTTGCACTGCACCCATACTATTCCTCATAGTTGTGTTAATGACCCTAGGCGTTGTTTTCCTTTCAAACTAGCTATGTCATTCAGCAAACTTACTATTGTTCAGCAGCATCAGTTTTTCCATATAATTGTCCAAAGGCATGCAGTTTGTTTATTTCATAGACTATCAAAAGGATCTTAAGATATTCCCACATCACCAACAACAGTAATATTGTTTAATTACCTTATGATATACATAATAATTGTTTTGTATGTTCATTATCTATCATATCTATGTAACATTAAGACCATGCCGGGTAGTAAGCCTCTGAATTTGAGTCAAAGGTAATGTGTTGGCCCTCTAGATTTATCATAGGATGAATACAGTATCGAATGCTTATGTGTGAATACAACAATAGCAATGGCATGTTGTAGTTTTCAAATAAATGATTCTGTGTTAAAGCTGTATACTGCCTTTGGATCTGTCAGTCAGAGTTAAGGCTGTATACTACCTTGGTATCTGTTGGTCAGTGTTAAGGCTGTATACTACCTTGGTATCTGTTGGTCAGTGTTAAGGCTGTATACTACCTTTGTATCTATTGGTCAGTGTTAAGGGTGTATATACTGCCTTGGTATCTGTCGATCAGTGTTAAGGCTGTATACTACCTTGGTATCTGTTGGTCAGTGTTAAGGCTGTATACTACCTTGGTATCTGTTGGTCAGTATTAAGGCTGTATACTACCTTTGTATCTATTGGTCAGCGTTAAGGGTGTATATACTGCCTTGGTATCTGTCGATCAGTGTTAAGGCTGTATACTACCTTGGTATCTGTTGGTCAGTGTTAAGGCTGTATACTACCTTGGTATCTGTCGATAAGTGTTAAGGCTGTATATTACCTTTGTATCTGTTGGTCAGTGTTGAGGCTGTATACTACCTTGATATCTGTCGATCAGTGTTAAGGCTGTATACTACCTTTGTATCTGTCAGTCAGTGAATACTGTGATAAGTAATTCCAACAAAGATAATTTAACATCTGTTTTGTTTTTTTTCTGACAGAAGATGAAAGCAAACTTCTTGAGGAGATTACAAACAACATGGCTAGCCACCGCATTAAAACACGGGACCCCTTCGCGGGAGGTTTACCAAAACTGGATAATCTACGTCATCCTCATCTAGCTCATAATAGTCCCAGGACATCCAATCCTGGCTCTTTAGGTAAGAAAATATTCCAGCTGGTATATGAATGCTGGTTTGCATATTGAACAAAATATTCATGCATCTCCGAAATATTTCAAAATAAGCATGAAAATGCATGTTATTAAATATATGTCTAATACTAAGAACATTTAGCTGTTCAAACCGTAAGGAATGACCCAAGTACATGTTCAGATGAGTGAAATATGTAGTACCAATCTGATTTAATTCAATATGTAAGTATTCACATGCTTGTGATGGAATAGAATCTGATTTATGCTGCAAACCAGTGTTTTGTAAAATACATGACAGATTTACCTTACAATGGTTAAGAAGTTATTACATTAAATATTTTGATATCCTCGTAGTTCTGACAGTTAACTTTGCACAATATAACAATCCTTGTTTTCAACCATGAATGGTGATGTGCGTTCTAGGTCGTTACCATGACAATAGCACCCCAGTATTTGATCGGCCCTCTAGTGCCGCTTCGAGTACTGGGTTTGATGGTACCCACGTCAATAACACCTTTCTCACAGGTAAGCATCAACGCCTGTCTGCTGACGATGTACAGGGCCAGCTCTTAGATATATACTCTTTTGGCTTGCGGTTTACAAATCCTCTTTACAGTTTTGATTTTTTCCCTTTCTCATTAACCTGTCACTTGAGTTTCCAAGCCTTTTTCAACAATCTGCTCTGAAAAAAACCATATCATATTAATTGTTAGGACTATTACTAAAATTCATAATAACTCAATGAAACAATCCGAAATTTTAGGAGTATCAAAGGATTATGGCAGATCTCGTAAGTCTCTTGTACACATTGTTGTCTTGGTTCAAGGTTGTGAACAATTACAACTTTAATCCAAACTTGAATAAAACCACTACAAGTAGTATAGAAAGTGTGGACTGCAGTGGTTACCTTGTGTGTTTTACTGTCCATTGTAAGGATTCTTTATAAACGTATAATATGGGCCTCTGCTGGTTTACCTTCATTATAACAGAATTTAATCTCTGGTTTTACTAATTATGCATATGAACAGTACATGGTAATATTTAACATTTTCTTATCATTTGAATATGCTGTATATATCTTGTGATATACCCATGCCTAGTAATAAACCCAAACATACTAATTACTGTTCAGTAGAATTACAAACAAATAATATTTCATTTTCCTGTATCAGTCCGCTGACTTCAAGTAAGAATTTGTATGTTGGCCTCCAGGGCTTCTTACTGTAAAGTTATGGTACTTAGAAATGCTATCCGAAGAACGTGTAAGATAGAGAACAGCACATGTTTATATTATGTGTGGTGAAAGATAGACTTTCAAAAACGAAGGTTTCTCAAGTTTTGAAAAATGATAAATGTAATTGATTAATAATTACAAGGTAATTATAATAAGTTTACTTTTGTTTTATTAAAAAGGGACAATTTGAGAAAACCATACTTAATGTACTATCAGTAATATAATATGCTCAGGAGCCAACACACCATCAGTTGGGAGTATCCCTCATGACAAAGAAGCTTTTGTTGGCTTACTATATTAAAACACTGTAGTGGATATGGATTGTTTTGTTGGTGGTTAAATTCACCTACATTCACAATTAGACTTTTCAGTGTTCCATAAGTAGATCCCCTTGTTACATAACAGCATACAATTAAAGTAATTTGACAATATTCAGATCATCATCATAAGGGCTTAAACATAGTTTGAAGCTATTTCTTTATTTTATACCAGGCCTCATAAACAATATTGAATGATACGGAATGAGGAAAAATGTTAAAATTCAAAACATCTTCAGGTTGCATTGGTTTTTTTGTCCAGAGTAGCTTGGTTCAATGACAAATGTATTAGGCGTTTTAAGTATGGAGATCTGAAATAATTGGTGTATAGAACTAATGTGCACTATTTGATATCATTAAAAGGTCTATTTACTTGTACAAATCATAGACCATGTATGTTAACTTTCTTCTGTAACAAAAGTCTTTTGTATCTAAATCAGTGATGCTGTTTCAGTCAATTTTACTTGTAATAAAAGGTTCAGTATATGTGTGGTGATGTGGAAGGTTTTACACACACTTTAGGTACAATTATACTGTTCTATACTAATCAGTAAGTAGATAGATGAGAAATATATTTACCTTATCACCTAGGTTACTGGTATGTAGATGATTACTTTATAAGCTGTATTATTTGCAGTATTTGCTTTGCTATAGAAGTATACCATACCATATAGCCTTGTAGTGAATATTATAACCTGAATTTTTTACACAAGTGTAAATACAATGTAACTGCTGCCAGTTAATATCAATTCCTTTTTTCTGCAAATGAACAGAACATATATACTTTGCACTGGGCCAGGAAATTTTGGATGGTTGTGAATCCTGTCACAGCTGTTTCTATTGGCCTTGACTTGACATGAAAAACAGCTCTTCATAATGAGCTTTATTTCTGAAAGAATGAATTACATTTTATAACAGAATATGTTAAAAAAGATATTTGAGACATATTACTATGACTTAATACTACTGTTAGTTTGATATCACACATTTTTCCCAGTAAGTTTGGTTTTATTCATTAACTTTGACTATCTGTTGATTTGCTGTTGACTAGTTTTTTCCTACTGACAGTCTTACTAATACCCTGTGTGTTACTCAATCCTGTTTGGAGTTTTGTTTCAGTAGAAAACCGTTGTATGTTTGTACCTTTTTGTGATGTCTTTCTGGTTTAAACTAGGAGAGGACTAGTTGGGGTTTGGGGGTTTCTACAGCTCAGATGGTAGAGTAAAGAACTTTGCAACATTGGCAAAGAGAAAATTCTTCACAAAGATGTTTGTGTTTATTAGAAAGGTGAGATTACAGATCACCATGTGCCGACATTGTGTCTTTAGACAAGACTTTATTCCAATTTCTCTCAAGAATGGAAGCTGGCCTTATTGCATGGTATTCATTGAAGTAGCCATCAGTCAATCGACCCCCACCTTAAGCGACCCTGACTGGCAATACAGTGCAAAACAAAAAAACAAACAAATAATTTGACGCCCATTATATTCTGTTAACTTTAACTGTAGATAAATGATTCTATATCTTTGTCAGGGAAAAAGAATCTGAAAAGTATTAAGGATCATTACTATTATTACTATAGAATACCAGAGGAAGATTACACCCTAGATACTTGGCTGCACTTCAGTAAATGTATTGATATTCAAACAATTGAAATTCATCAATTCATGAATTTGAAATAATATCTCCATCCTCTGCCTAAATTAACTACTTCCACAATTCTGTAGCATCATTTATAAAGTCTTACAAAATATCTATAGCAGAGAAATAGAACTAATTCTCTGTGACTTTCACATTGACTTTTGACCTTGTAGTCTGGGGCATTTTCCTTTGATTGTGATCACAGTCACCAAGTGATAATGTTTCAGCAAAATGTTGGTTATACTCTATTTTCAGCAACTTTTAATTTATTCATGGAGTCTGATATCTGAGATGCAATACTTTAGTTCCTACAACATTTGTACAAGATTTCAGTAATGGCTGTAAGACAAGTCCTGTACTATTAGTTTAAAGATAACAGTTCAGAGACAGACAGACAGACAGACAGACAGACAGACAGACAGACAGACAGACAATAAAAACCTTTAAGTACAACTTATATGCTGGTGAAACTACTAAGCATATTTACTATTAAGTAAATAAATTCCATATTGAATTTCAGTGTTCCATGATTGCCTTGATTTAACCTTTGGTTTTAAGTCTGTACTAACTAAACCAAAAGCTAAGTATATCAGTACACATACCATATCCAAAATAAGCATCCCATGTTTTATACATGTAAGAACTTTCTAGCCTATTTCTGGTTTATTATAGCTTCCCATCGCTTCACAATGATTGACCAGATTTATTCTTTTGTTTGATCTGAAAGTGATTTACAGTCATGGTACTTTGATGCTTACATCACTAAACATCCTAAGTGGTTACTGTTTTATTTTTGATGTGGTATATAACGCAGTGATACTATATTTATTATATTAACTGATCTACATCACATTGTCAGTATTTGGTGATGTGAATGTTTACACCTCGGTGACTTTACAATGTATATTTACATTATCATGCTAGTGAGTGTTTATTTCAATATTTGCTTGTTTGATTTAAAATTTGTGGTGATCAATCATCCATATCGTCCTTTGTTATCAGAGAGATCCAAACCAGTGGTAACTTTGTCATTTAGTAACTGTAGGAAGGGAGTAAAGGTAACTTTGGGTTACCATTGTCATTTAGTAACTGTAGGAAGGGAGTAAAGGTAACTTTGGGTTACCATTGTCATTTAGTAACTGTAGGAAGGGAGTAAAGGTAACTTTGTGTTACCATTGTCATTAAGTAACTGTAGGAAGGGAGTAAGGTTAACTTATGGTTACCATTGCCATGTAGTAACTGTAGGAAGGGAGTAAAGGTAACTTTGGGTTACCATTGTCATTTAGTAACTGTAGGAAGGGAGTAAAGGTAACTTTGTGTTACCATTGTCATTAAGTAACTGTAGGAAGGGAGTAAGGTTAACTTATGGTTACCATTGCCATGTAGTAACTGTAGGAAGGGAGTAAAGGTAACTTTGGGTTACCATTGTCATTTAGTAACTGTAGGAAGGGAGTAAAGGTAACTTTGTGTTACCATTGTCATTAAGTAACTGTAGGAAGGGAGTAAAGGTAACTTTGTGTAACCATTGTCATTTAGTAACTGCAGGAAGGGAGTAAAGGTAACTTTGGGTTACCATTGTCATTTAGTAACTGTAGGAAGGGAGTAAGGGTAACTTTGGGTTACCATTGTCATTTAGTAACTGCAGGAAGGGAGTAAGGTTAACTTTGTGTAACCATTGTCATTTAGTAACTGTAGGAAGGAAGTAAAGGTAACTTTGGGTTACCATTGTCATTTAGTAACTGTAGGAAGGGAGTAAAGGTAACTTTGGGTTACCATTGTCATTTAGTAACTGTAGGAAGGGAGTAAAGGTAACTTTGGGTTACCATTGTCATTTAGTAACTGTAGGAAGGGAGTAAAGGTAACTTTGGGTTACCATTGTCATTTAGTAACTGTAGGAAGGGAGTAAAGGTAACTTTGTGTTACCATTGTCATTAAGTAACTGTAGGAAGGGAGTAAGGTTAACTTATGGTTACCATTGCCATGTAGTAACTGTAGGAAGGGAGTAAAGGTAACTTTGGGTTACCATTGTCATTTAGTAACTGTAGGAAGGGAGTAAAGGTAACTTTGTGTTACCATTGTCATTAAGTAACTGTAGGAAGGGAGTAAGGTTAACTTATGGTTACCATTGTCATTTAGTAACTGCAGGAAGGGAGTAAAGGTAACTTTGGGTTACCATTGTCATTTAGTAACTGTAGGAAGGGAGTAAAGGTAACTTTGTGTTACCATTGTCATTAAGTAACTGTAGGAAGGGAGTAAGGTTAACTTATGGTTACCATTGTCATTTAGTAACTGCAGGAAGGGAGTAAAGGTAACTTTGGGTTACCATTGTCATTTAGTAACTGTAGGAAGGGAGTAAAGGTAACTTTGTGTTACCATTGTCATTAAGTAACTGTAGGAAGGGAGTAAGGTTAACTTATGGTTACCATTGTCATTTAGTAACTGTAGGAAGGGAGTAAAGGTAACTTTGGGTTACCATTGTCATTTAGTAACTGTAGGAAGGGAGTAAGGGTAACTTTGGGTTACCATTGTCATTTAGTAACTGCAGGAAGGGAGTAAGGTTAACTTTGTGTAACCATTGTCATTTAGTAACTGTAGGAAGGGAGTAAAGGTAACTTTGGGTTACCATTGTCATTTAGTAACTGCAGGAAGGGAGTAAGGTTAACTTTGTGTAACCATTGTCATTTAGTAACTGTAGGAAGGAAGTAAAGGTAACTTTGGGTTACCATTGTCATTTAGTAACTGTAGGAAGGGAGTAAAGGTAACTTTGGGTTACCATTGTCATTTAGTAACTGTAGGAAGGGAGTAAAGGTAACTTTGGGTTACCATTGTCATTTAGTAACTGTAGGAAGGGAGTAAAGGTAACTTTGGGTTACCATTGTCATTTAGTAACTGTAGGAAGGGAGTAAAGGTAACTTTGTGTTACCATTGTCATTTAGTAACTGTAGGTAACTTTGTGTTACCATTGTCATTAAGTAACTGTAGGAAGGGATTAAGGGTAACTTTGGGTTACCATTGTCATTTAGTAACTGTAGGAAGGGAGTAAAGGTAACTTTGTGTTACCATTGTCATTAAGTAACTGTAGGAAGGGATTAAGGGTAACTTTGGGTTACCATTGTCATTTAGTAACTGTAGGAAGGGAGTAAGGGTAACTTTGGGTTACCATTGCCATGTAGTAACTGTAGGAAGGGAGTAAAGGTAACTTTGGGTTACCATTGTCATTTAGTAACTGTAGGAAGGGAGTAAAGGTAACTTTGGGTTACCATTGTCATTTAGTAACTGTAGGAAGGGAGTAAAGGTAACTTTGGGTTACTATCATTGATGGAGATCTTAGAATTGCCAAATTGATCTATTGATTGACATGACACTTTATAGTTAATCATGGCAACCAACATATATGAAGCTCTGTCACCTACTAATAATGCAGCATAATTGTGGTTCACTATGATCAAATGGTGTTTAAGATTTAACTGTTGTCTGCAAACCTGAACATAATTTGAATCATTCAAGTGATTTGTGTAAATAAATGTGTGTTACAACATCCAAGCATTCTGCCAGTCCAACAAAATGCTGTGTTATCATAGTTTGTTTCATGTCTGATTACAACATATTGTGTTCTTCATGTTGTTAGAATACTCAGAGACAATTTTCTTCGAATTGAGATCACACATTTGGTAATATGTAATTCTTATTAAACATAGTTTTAAAATCATTCATCTAAAGAGTAAGAATCTCTCCTTTTTTATTGGTATTGGTAAATACACGTAAGAAGATAATCTGTGACTGACATTCCCGATGACTCACTGCAGAGTAAGTATCACATAAACATGAAAGATTTGCTGTAAACAATTAAGAAAATCCTACTGTACTAATGTGCTGAATTTTCTTGTTCTCAGCTCCGAATGATCATGAACTGATGACAGCCATGATGAACAGAATTTCCTTGTTAGAGCAACGTGTGTCCCATCAGACCAAGGAAATCACAGAAAAGGTATATAACTACACCTGCATTATCATTAAAAGATAATTGCCTCCTTCGTAATTAGATCAGTTTGAAGATATCAGAAATATAGTAAAACATTTCGGAATCATTTTCTAGTTTATCAAATTTGATGATTTTGATCAGATTTATTTGAAAATACCTCTCCCCAAATCTTTTCTCTTTATATTCAATCTAATTCTGTCATTTAGGATAAACGGATCAGGGTGTTGGATGAGAAACTCAAAATACTTCAAAAGGCACAAGGTATGTAAAGGCTCCCACTTTGAGCTATATAAAAAGCCAAAAACACAAGGTACTCCCAAAACAAGGTATGTAAAAGCTCCCAGCACAAGGTATATAAAAACTCAAAATACAAGGTACTCCCAAAACAAGGTATGTAAAAGCTCCCAGCACAAGGTGTATAAAAACTCAAAATACAAGGTACTTCCAAAACAAGGTATGTGAAAGCTCCCAGCACAAGGTGTATAAAAACTCAAAATACAAGGTACTACCAAAACAAGGTATGTAAAAGCTTCCAGCACAAGGTGTATAAAAACTCAAAATACAAGGTACTGGTACTACCAAAACAAGGTATGTAAAAGCTTCCAGCACAAGGTGTATAAAAACTCAAAATACAAGGTACTGGTACTACCAAAACAAGGTATGTAAAAGCTTCCAGCACAAGGTGTATAAAAACTCAAAATACAAGGTACTCCCAAAACAAGGTATGTAAAACCTCAAAACACAAGGTACTCCCAAAACAAGGTATATAGAAAAAGTCCCAGCACCTGGTATATAGATAACAAGATAACAGCACAAAGTTTTTAAATGTACATTTGAAATAAGGATAATAAGACAACATTTACCAATCCTTCTATTGATCCTCTTATTGTTTCAGCTTTTACAAAAACATTTTTTTTAAATAAAGATTTTTTATTTATTTAACTAGGTGACAGCAGTGACAGCAGAGTCAATGAAGCAGAGAAGAAATGTTTGTTATTACAACAGAAAGTTCATGAGATGGAGGTGAGCAGTGTGTTATGCTACAGAAGGATTCAACATTTTGTAATCTTAAATACTTACTGCTTGTCTCATGACAGTAAATTTCACACTTAGAAATATAAATTGATGCCTACAGTATAATTTACCAACTAAAAATTACCCAGATGTAAATCAAGGCAAGGCTTACCATTAATAGTAAAGATTTCTATATTAAAGAGGAAAGAAAGTTATGAATAAGAGAATATCAATTATATGTACATGTCACATTGACAATGACAGATTTTTATTGTGTTTTGAGTATTGAATATTTCTGCCAGCAGGTAAAATGAGACATTTACAAGAACGTAACTATAGTTCTTATATAGTTAACATCCTGATGATTAGTTAAAGCTGGATGTGTTTGTGAATAATATGGTAACCATAAGATAAAGCAGTACTGTGTCAAATCTATAGCTATGTAGTCTAGTGTTTGTAGACATCAGACCATGCTGATATAGATAGTGTGACAGGCATGTAGTGCTTGTTTTCAGACCATGTTGATGTATATAGTGTGACAGACATGTAGTGCTTGTTTTCAGACCATGCTGATGTATATAGTGTGACAGACATGTAGTGCTTGTTTTCAGACCATGCTGATGTATATAGCGTGACAGACATGTAGTGCTTGTTTTCATACCATGCTGATGTATATAGTGTTACAGACATGTAGTGCTTGTTTTCATACCATGCTGATGTATATAGTGTGACAGACATGTAGTGCTTGTTTTCAGACCATGCTGATGTATATAGTGTGACAGACATGTAGTGCTTGTTTTCAGACCATGCTGATGTATATAGTGTGACAGACATGTAGTGCTTGTTTTCATACCATGCTGATATAGATAGTGTGACAGACATGTAGTGCTTGTTTTCAGACCATGCTGATGTATATAGTGTGACAGACATGTAGTGCTTGTTTTCAGACCGTAATGATATATTTAGTGTGACAGACATGTAGTGCTTGTTTTCAGACTATGCTGATATGCTCTTTACCATAGCTTTATGAAATGGCCCTATCATTATTAGATTAATTTGCTGTGTAACATAATTATGCAAACCTGCAAATATATAAACACAAAAACTGTACAGGATAATTTTGAATGAAGTGAGTTGAACATTTCCTCCAATCTATAATTAATCATCAGGATGTTTTTCATGACTGTTCCACTTGATTGACTTTAAGTTGTACTTTGTTTCTTTTTATGCTCCTAGAAATTTTCGGGGGGCTTATAGTCACTATCATGTCCGTTCATCCTTTTAGTGTCCGAAACATAACTTTGCCTACAGTTAAGCAAGGATCACAAAACTTTTTGTATACACTGGTCATACTATAGCAATGTGCAGTGTATGAAATTCAGGGATGTCATCCCCTTTTTCATGTCCAGAGCATAACTTTGCTTGCATTTAAACTAGGGTAATGAAACTTGTTGTACACATTGATCATGCTAAGTTGTTGTGCAGTGTACCAATGTTAGGACCCACAACCCTTTAATTAGAGGTTATTGCCTTTTGTTAAAATTTTCTTTTTAGAGCAAAACTTTAAATTGCTTACATTTAACCAAGAATGATGAAACTTGGTGGACACATTGATCATACTAAGGCAATGTGCGTTTTAAGGTCCCATGACCCCTCAGTCACAGAGTTATTGTTCTTAGTATAGAAATAGCTTACATTTAAGCTAGGATATTAAAACATGGTGTATACATTGATCATATGAAGACAATGTGCAGTTTACTGATTTGAGGGCTCACAACCCCTTAATTACATAGTTATTGCCCTTCGTTAAAATTTTGTGCCCAGGACATTACTTTGCTTGCAAGTATATATTCACTTGGATATTGAAATGTGATATATACATGTCATTCAAAAGCAAGGTACACTGTAGCAATGTGAAGGTCCATGACCCCCCCAGAGTTATTACCCTCTGTGTCATGAACATAGCTTTGCATGCATTCATGAAACTTGGTGTATACATTGTCGTCATGCTAAGAAACTCTGCAGTATTACAAAATTCCAGACCTCCAACCCTTAATTGCAGAATTACAGCCCTTTGTTAAGATTGTGTGTCCGATAAAGTCGTTTTCTGGGAGCATTCATCAGTTTCACTGATTCTCTTGTTTGTAACTGTTGTTTTGTTTGTAACAGTTGAGTTAGTGGTGATTTTATTTTATTTTTTTTTTATTTGATAATACACAGAAAATATAACATTCTGAATATGGACCATGTTGTAATGTTGAGAATTGAGAAAATAAAAATGGTTTATCAGGTTTTGAAACAAGTTATTAGTGTAAAGAGTCTTGATGACACTGTTGAAGGCCTTCCTGGCTGACTATGGTATGGTATGGGTTGGTGACAAGAGTAACCCTAACTCAGATGTGTACAATGATGAAGGAAGCTCGACAACAAGCAGTGAAGGTGATACATGGCGACCAGGTTTGTAAAAAACAAATTGCTACTTATTCTTCAGTTTTTACAGTTTTCTTCGTTGAAAACCTGATTATTTTGAATGATTTGATATATCACAACATGGAATTATTTCAAACAAAAATATTGAAGTATTCTTTTTCTCTTGTGTTGTAAACTCTATATTCACTTTAAAATGAAGAAGGTATCTTTGTACACCAAGAGAGATTATGGAAGTAATATTGCAACCACTTGCTTATTCGTATCATCCTTGAGGGCATTTTTTAAAACTGCCAGAAAAAAAATAATTTTCACAATGACATGAATATTTAAGAATAATTGTGTTCAATAACATGAATCATATATTTTCCATAAATGCTGCTGTATTTAATGAAAAATACGCCGTACATATATGCAGGAACATTTATGTTGTATATGTATTAAATAAATCTTATTTTCTCTGTGCACAATCAGGTACCTCTGTGTCCAACCAGCCAGAGTTTGAGGTTGACTTCAATTCAGTAATAGAGAATATCAGAGAGCTGAATGTGTTAGCAGGGGAGGGTGTATCTAAAATACAACACACTACAGATGGGGCAAGACTCAAGGTATGTGTATCACTCTATGTGCTGGTAGGGCAAGACTCAAGGTATGTGTATTACTGTACTTGCTGGTAGGGGAGAATGAAGGTAAAACCTTATGCTGAATGTGTTGGCAAGAAAAAAAAAGGGAAATGAAAATACTCTGGGTAGGTATTATACTGAATGTGTTGGTGGGGCCAGACTCTAGGTAAATGTTATACTGAATGTGTTGGTGGGGCCAGACTCTAGGTAAATGTTATACTGAATGTGTTGGTGGGGCCAGACTCTAGGTAAATGTTATACTGAATGTGTTGGTGGGGCCAGACTCTAGGTAGGTGTTATACTGAATGTGTTGGTGGGGCCATACTCTAGGTAGGTGCTATACTGAATGTGTTGGTGGGGCCAGATTCTGGGTAGGTGTTTTACTGACTGTGTTGGTGGGGCCAGACTCTAGGTAAATGTTATACTGAATGTGTTGGTGGGGCCAGACTCTAGGTAAATGTTATACTGAATGTGTTGGTGGGGCCAGACTCTAGGTAGGTGTTATACTGAATGTGTTGGTGGGGCCATACTCTAGGTAGGTGCTATACTGAATGTGTTGGTGGGGCCAGATTCTGGGTAGGTGTTTTACTGAATGTGTTGGTGGGGCCAGACTCTAGGTAAATGTTATACTGAATGTGTTGGTGGGGCCAGACTCTAGGTAAATGTTATACTGAATGTGTTGGTGGGGCCAGACTCTAGGTAGGTGTTATACTGAATGTGTTCGTGGGGCCATACTCTAGGTAGGTGCTATACTGAATGTGTTGGTGGGGCCAGATTCTGGGTAGGTGTTTTACTGAATGTGTTGGTGGGGCCAGACTCTAGGTAAATGTTATACTGAATGTGTTGGTAGGGCTAGACTCTAGGTAAATGTTATACTGAATGTGTTGGTGGGGCCAGACTCTGGGTAGGTGTTTTACTGAATGTGTTGGTGGGGCCAGACTCTGGGTAGGTGTTTTACTGAATGTGTTGGTGGGGCCAGACTCTGGGTAGGTGTTTTACTGAATGTGTTGGTGGGGCCAGACTCTGGGTAGGTGTTTTACTGAATGTGTTGGTGGGGCCAGACTCTAGGTAGGTCTTTTACTGAATGTGTTGGTGGGGCCAGACTCTGGGTAGGTGTTTTACTGAATGTGTTGGTGGGGCAAGACTTTAGATAGGTGTTATACTGAATGTGTTGGTGGGGCAAGGCTCTAGGTAAGTGTTATACTGAATGTGTTGGTGGGGCCAGACTCTGGGTAGGTGTTATACTGAATGTGTTGGTGTGGCCAGACTCTGAGTAGGTGTTTTACTGAATGTGTTGGTGGGGCCAGACTCTGGGTAGGTGTTTTACTGAATGTGTTGGTGGGGCCAGACTCTAGGTAGGTCTTTTACTGAATGTGTTGGTGGGGCCAGACTCTGGGTAGGTGTTTTACTGAATGTGTTGGTGGGGCAAGACTTTAGGTAGGTGTTATACTGAATGTGTTGGTGGGGCCAGACCCTAGGTAGGTGTTATACTGAATGTGTTAGTGGGGCCAGACTCTGGGTAGGTGTTATACTAAATGTGCTGGTGGGGCCAGACTCTAGTTAGGTGTTATACTGAATGTGTTGGCGGGGCCAGACTCTAGGTAAATGTTATACTGAATGTGTTGGCGGGGCCAGATCCTAGGTAGGTGTTATACTGAATGTGTTGGTGGGGCCAGACGCTAGGTAAATGTTATACTGAATGTGTTGGCAGGGCCAGATCCTAGGTAGGTGTTATACTGAATGTGTTGGTGGGGCCAGACTCTAGATAGGTGTTATACTGAATGTGTTGGTGGGGCCAGACTCTGAGTAGGTGTTATACTGAATGTGTTGGTGGGGCCAGACTCTAGGTAGGTGTTATACTGAATGTGTTGGTGGGGCCAGACCCTAGGTAGGTGTTATACTGAATGTGTTGGTGGGATTTGTCAATACTTTCTTTCTTTTTGTTATATTTACAATCTTTTCTTTAATTAATTACGATAACTAAAAAGCCATGTTCAATTAATTCCTATCTCATTGTTAGGTATGTATAATTCAACAAGTTTCTGTTTGCTATATATTGATAAAAAATACAGACAAATTCTACATGTTTCACTGTTTCATATTTTTAACTGGCCTTCTGTTCTCGCTAAGCCCTTATGCTGACTGACAGGACATGTCAGGTAATTGCTTATAAGGTATGGCTTACTGGTCAGAAATCAATGATACATAATTGTAAGGCAAAGTCAGAATGTGATGATGGAGGTTTGTTATCAAGACTATATATATTAAATAATCTTTGATTGCCTATATAATAAGCCATCTTAGTCTTGATGTACCTGTATAGTCTATAGGTGTAAAGTTTGTATAATATTCTAGTATTGATACACTTGTCAATCATTTACAGGGAAAAGATGTACTTATTAGAGCTTTCCATGTCCACTGAAAGGTCAATAGGTGTTAACACTGGACATAAAACCTGCTAAATGAATAATAAATATTAAGAATGTAATAATCCATGTTTTTCAGCCTCCAGACCCTGTCCAGTTCACTCTGTATTCCAATGGGATGATGTTGTATAGCGGCCCGTTCCGATCGTTCAGTGACCCGATGACACAGACTTTTATGCGTGACATCATGGATGGGTACTTCCCATCAGAGCTACAGAACCGTTACCCAGATGGTGTTCCCTTTGTTGTGAGTAGTAATGAACATCTTGCTGTTATAAGATAATATTTGAATACTGCAAACATCAAGCATTTCAAATGGCTTGACCTTTGTTATCGTACCGTGTAAAGTTTAGACTAAAGGAGCTGTATAAAGAATGAAGTAAGAAAATAACGTAACAAAAGTAGTTTACATTGTGTTTATTTACTGAATTTTAGGCCTATAGTCACAATAAATTACTATTTATCACATAATCATGCAAAATGAGTTATATGGTAAAAAGTATCCTCAATTTGTTTTTATTTTATGTGAAACATGGTGTTAGTTTTGAGCTTTTGCTTGCCAATTCGAGTCACAAAAATAAATACTTCTAATACTTGTTTAACTGTGTTAAATCCAGCATTAGGATGGGAGCAATTTGTATCTTTATTTAGGTGATATTACAGGTAAAAAGATATGATTTTGAATATTATATATATCAAGGGTTTTAAAATATTTGATAGGTGTACTGACCACAGAGAGAAACATTTTAAAACCAAATGATGTTTTGTTCCTAGATATTACAGCTTTTCCCTACATGTTTTGACAAATTAGATAAATTTAATGCTTTTTTTTTAAGAGAAAAACTTTCCTAGACCCCATGGTCTTGATAATAGCACATTTATTTGACATCAGAAACATTGTACCTAAATACAAGGTGTGGTGAGATTAGTTTCAGAAACTTCCATGAGAAAAATGTTTGTTCACACCAACCATTAGTATTTGTGTTCAAAGTTATGTACAAATCATTTTCTCAGATTCGAGATTTGAGGTCAGTTCATTTCAATGACAAGCGAGCCGCTGCATTCGCTGGAGCAGGGCAGGTTTTGGGTGGAGACACTAAACCATCACGATTGGTTCCTTCCAATCTGGACAAAGCAAGTCAGGTGTCAGAACCTGTGCGTATGTTCCGCAAAGATACCCAGGAAAAGTTAGAGGTCACAAGTGAACATCCAGGTATACTTATTTGTGTAAAAAACAGTTAATCTGATAAATCTTTAAACATATATTTTGACTGAACACCAAAATAACATACATATATATCCCAGCTAAGACTGAACACCAAAGTAATATATATTTCCTAGGAGAAATCATGTTTTTTTTTACTTTTCAGTTTAAAATCAACACGTTTGTGAAATAATAGTATGTATGCCATGTTTAGAATATTTTTATATGGAAATGTATAATGACTTTTTTGTGCTGTTCAAAATTATACATGGTGCTGTGTATACTGTGTATAAGTTGGTTATAAATGGGGATGTAACAGTAGATGAGTTAATTACCTACTGAGATTAGGGTAGGGGGTGGGAGGGGGTGGTGGTTCCCATTTGCCCTGTCACTTGTCGTGATTTTACATACTCTGACAATGTTGATCATCCAACTAAGCATTGTAATTACAGGCAAAAAGATGTCTTCTGAGCAGTTCCTAAATAAGCTCCCAAAGAATGTCATCAAAGATGGCAAGGTGATTGACATCCGAGAATCTGTTCATGACACTCTCAAGGTATCAAAATTTTCATTGTGGACGCAAATTTGTTAAAACTTTATTCAATTTTTTCTGTTCTCAGTTTAAAACCAACAATTTTTACCGAAAGTTCCTATACAAATTTTTTTGTATGTTGTGGTATTTAAACTGTATTATTGTGTATAAAACTGTATAAAGTGTATTAATCTAATGATTAGAAAATGCAGTATGAAAAAACAGGGTAGGTTCCTTTCAAGGGAAAGGAGTTTAGAATACAACATGGGCTTTGATTGGGTGTCAAATGATATTGAAATTTTATTTTGGCTGTTTGAAATCTTATGCTCTCTCATTTAACTGTTCTATTAAGGCTCTGTAGTCCACTGACTTGTCGTCAATATTCTTATTTGTTCTTAACTTCAATCTGCCCAAGTGAAGAACTTATAAATCAGGAATTCTGCTTCGGTGTTTTCAGGGAGGAAAATCAACAGTTCCACCGGTCACTGTAGTGGACACAGATGTGGTCAAGGATATGAGGAAGAGGTAAGATATAGTATGTTGATCTAATGTGGTATGAGGATCACTTACACTCATTCTTCATCAGTGAGTTATGTGTGGAAAATTAGGGTTAAACTGATACTTTGCATACTAATTTTTGTCAGAAATATGAATGATAAGCATAAGTATCTTATGTTTAATGTGGTGCTAAAAAAGAATGAAGTCTCCTTGAAAATAAAGCTAAGGATGTCCACTTATGATTTAAATGTACTTGGAAAAGGTTAAAATGATAATTGTGATTGGTTGTGATCCACTGATTGTATTTGCTAAGTTGAAAAAGAACATATTCTTATACTGATGCTTAAAATATAATTTCATGTAGTATTAGTTCTTGAACTGGGAACTTGTTTGGTCTTATTTGATATATTTGCTTTTCAATCTTTGTACATACAACTCCTCAAAATACAATTAATAAGTTCTCTGGCTAATAAGGGGAATATAAGAGTTTGTTTACAAAACCAAATTTATACTGTAAATTACCAACCATGTATGTAAATTCTCATGACCTTGTGATTGCTAGGGTTCTGATCTTGGCCAATTTTGCCGCTACTGTATCAAGACGATATACTGGTTACTACAAAAATTTTGTAAGGCATAATAGAAGGACCAAAATTTTTATTTAATTGGAAAAGTGTGCTGACAACATCAGACCAACAAAGTTAGTGAACTGTATATACCACAGACTTTATACAAGGTATTTAGTATAAAATTTTTGTTGCCTTTAAATTTGCATAGTTTCATAATACCTCCCTGGAGTCTTAGATGTTTCAAGGGATAAAACTTACATTCCAATTTGTAGAGAAAGAGATCAACTGTTATATATAGTTACCACATTCCTATGGTTACAGACTGGAGCTGGAAGAGTCAAAACGGCCATCTACACCTCGAGACATCAGTACACTGCGAGTGAAATCAGACAGTGGTAATCAAACATATATCCTCAAGATGAAGTTCTGGGAAACCATCGGAGACCTCAGAAAATATATAGACATACACAGGTATATATCAGATGTTAAGGTAGATATAAGTAAGAACAGATATATAAGTATACACAGAAATATGATCACTGAAGAAAGAGCAACAGCACAAACAAGTAAATTGTCTTAAGTGATTCATCCCTTTCAAGACACAAGATATTGCACAAGTTACTTCAGGTACATCAGCACAGAATGTCAAATAAAGTTACATACTATAAAAATACAGGACAATACAGGTACAAACAAGGCAAGAAACAACATAAACAAAAATAACAAACAACAGGTTGGATATACAGGATCACTGTGTAGATAGACTAGATCATGATGCATTTTACTTAGTGTAACAGATAGAGTATAGGCAGATATATTGACTGTATGGTCAAATATAAGTACTGGATCCTAAAAACAAGAATAGGTATAGGATTGGTGAAGTAATAGAGACAATGCTCAGGTAGGTATACAAGTAACGTCAGATATATATATATAAGTTTGGTCAGGTATATATATATATATATATATATATGTATGGTCAGTTATATATTTATAAGTATGGTAAGATATATATATATATAGAGAGAGAAATTAATCACTTAACATGACAAACAAATTTATCACTAAAGTTTTCTCTGTATATACAATACACAAAGTTTTTATCTTTTTAAATTATATATATATATATATGGTCAGATATATACAAGTATGATCAGGTATATATAAGTATTTTGAAGACCATGCATTCAAATATTGTAAAAGTTATCAATTTTGAGGGAATATTTTCAAGCTATTTTCAAGAATTGAATAAAATATTGAAAAATATAGTTGTTAGATAAAAACAGTCTATTAATGATAGCAAATAGGAAGTCCATTAATGATAGTGCACAGGCTACAATAGGAAGTCCATTAATGATAGCTCAGAGGCTGCAATAGAATGTCTATTAATTATAGCACAGAGGCTGCATTAGATTGTCTATTAATTATAGCACAGAGGCTGCATTAGATTGTCCATTAACGAAAACTGCTGAGGCCTTTACAGTACCAGCTACTTGTGTTTTTACCTCTACTTTTGATCTGTCACAATGAAATATGATCATATCAATCATAACATGAAGGCTAGAATCATATTATACATTATCTGTTGGCACAATGTCATTTAAAAAATATCATTACAAGGATAAAGAAAAATGTATAAAACTGTTGTGCTGTTTTTATCAAAATCTTGATATTGTTCTCATGGTATGCTCAGATCTTCTAGCACCTTATATTTGTTTTTGTATTTTGAACAGTACTATGATGTTTTCTTTCACAGACCAATGGGCTTGCCTGAGTACCAGATAGTTTCAACTTACCCTACGAAAGTGTACGACAATAATTCGGCTTCACTAGAGTCTGCTGGCCTCACTCCCAATGCTGTGCTACATCTACGACAGAAAAAGTCCTAGCCATGTTATAACATTATTCGAAACTTTTCATGTTATAGTCAAACTGCTGTTTATGTCAGATAGACATTGCCCTGATGTGCTTACACACTGTAGCCATTTACAATATTTGCAATGTGGTTAAATTTGCCTAGATAGCTTAAATAGTTTCATATGTTACAACATGTGACATGAACATTTTGTGGGAAAAAATAATTCAAAGAATTTTGTTTTCAATTTTAACAAAAGAAAATGTCACTGTTTAATATATGATATTGTCTGAACATTAAATTTAATAAATCACTCACAAGGAAAAAGACAACCAGAATAGATAATTACCTCATGATTTAAATACAGAATCATTTTGATGTGTTGAAACTAACAGGGACAGATTCACAATAGATTTGCCAGGCATGTGTGTATGATGATAGATGTAGAAAAATGAGTACATATAGATGTGTTGTATCTGATGTTGTCTGACAGGAGTAGATCAATTATGTTCCTGTAGGTTGTTGCACATTTTCTCTTTGTCCAATCTCTGAATCCAAACTAGACAACTGCTGAATATTACTGTTGTAATATTGACACGTGTTAATTATAGATCCTCAGTGTTTGAGGCTTGTGTAGACTGTTAACATTGTTAACGTTACATTAGTCTGGACATACTACAAACTTGAGCATTTTTAGTCTAATACAAACAGTTTTGTTGGGGGTGTGGGGGAAGGGGGCGAGGGGGGTTCAAACCAGAATCTATGTTTGTTTACTTATGGCATTGTTATGACAAGTCAGACTGAGGAGGTTTATTTAAATGGTACTTGGTTTGAGCTTACCTGCCAGAAGGGCTGCTGTACTGATGCCATTGCGCAGCATCTGTCATCATCTGTCTAGTGTCAAGTTTCCCCTTTAAACCAACTTTTCTCAATAATTAAGAGGTTCAGGGTACTAATATTTGGCCTGTAGCATGTTGGTATGAAGAGCTAAATAAGTATGTATATGTTTAAATGTATAACCTTGACCCACTTTAAAGGTCACAAGGGTCAAATGAGTTAAGCATTCTTAATGACTTCTCAATAATCTGACCTATGGTAATGTATTTTTGTTGTAGCATGCTTTGAAATGGACTTTCATGTTAGCAGAAATTGGCTTAATCAACAAAGTCTTCATAACTGCAGAACAGGAGAAATGATACAGGCTCATTGGGCCTCTTACCAAGTATTTATGGAAATATTTGAGTTTTGATTTTAAATATTGTAATAAATGTTACAGAAACAGGGTTACCAGCAATGCAAAGAGTATGTGACGTATCTAAAACTGAGCATTGATAATAACAAGAGTGATAAACTGATATCAACAAAGTAATGTGTAAAACATAGTTCTTCATTGTATCTCAACTTCTTTATATACTGGGTACATTTTTTCATTTATCTGACACTTTTCAATTCAGTGCAAAATTAAGTGTAGATGTGGAAATTGTTTTTTGCATTGTGCAATTGATCATATCAACATGTTTACTACTTGTACTTGGCATTTTTTGTTATCAATGAACTATTTATTGATTGTTTTATATCCGTCCTGATATTTTGAAGTGTTTGTAAATGTGTTGCAAAACTTGACATGATATTTCAATAGACACTATGTTATACAAAAGTACCCCTAGAAAACTTGGAAATATTCATACTACTGTCCAAGGACATTGTGTAACAATGTTATACAGAAGTAACATTGAAATCTAGGAACTAAAATCTGTGTTTTTTTTAATTTTCTTAAAATTTCTTTATTCTTTTCCCAGCTACTGCTGTTTATACAACCCGTCCAATCAAACTTTTAAGCTATTTTGGAGTTTATATATATATATATTATCAGCTGTAGGTATTTGCATGTTTTAATAATTTATACAATGTTTGTGATAGGTAAAGTACTTTTTACTACAGTCTTATTGTGATTGTATTTGTTTTCCTCCTGGTAGCACTGATTCCAGGTTGTCACACAATCAGAAACAACTGTGTTAAAGGTAACAAGTGCCTTTAATTCATCTTGCTATTGTAGTAGGTTTTTTTTTATTCAGAAAATGGTTTCTTTTTGATAATTTGACTATTTTATCCAAAATAGAAAATACCTGTTTAAATTTCAAATGTCAGTTCCATTTGAAGAATAAAAATGAAGTTTTAATTAAATTCTCTCAAGCATCCCAAAATTTAGGATGCCTATTATTAGACTGATGACATGTGATTTGAAGATTTTATACCAGTACGACAATGTTGTGATATATTTCCACTGCAGCTGTTTGTAATCAAAATACATATTCTGCAAACACAAAGTCATTTTTTGATTTGATAATCATATGTATGATTGTTTTATCTAGATCTGTATCAGATGAAGGTTAATAAAGGGACTAGCCATATTTCTCCGAGTGTTTATTGATATTATTTTGATTGGTATATGGTATGATATTAAACAGAGGCCCTGCAGTAAAAAAAACCCTCAAGATAACCTTATAACAGCTCCATAACATCAGGTTGTACTGATAGGACTCATCAGACTCATCAGAGGGTGAACACCATGAGAAAAGTCATCTTTGTGTAGAATAGGTGTTTTAAAAGTGTTTTATGAGCTGATGTTCAAGATCAATCATAGGTCTTTGGAGTTCTACAGAATAAACATTTCCATAATTTCTGTGATTGTAACCCTGATTTTATGTTGAGAATGAAACAAATGAGGTAGACAGATTATATTGGTGTGGTCAAGCAACTAGTCAAAAAAGCAGAAAATTCTTGCAAAGTTTAATAGTGTATTAAAGATAAGACAGATCTGAACATCCCTCTTGTCACAGGAATTGTGAGTGGTGCCTGGAACTTCCTTGTGTGGAATATCTGTCTTTTGTAGACAAAGAAGCATATACCAACACTTTGTTTCACAAATGTCTTCTCCTACACAGCAAACACAAACTAAAATACTCATCTCTCTTCAGGATGTTATTTTTCTGTGACAGCCATTATAATATAATTACCGATTCATTTTCTCCATTTGAACAATGGATACTAACACATGTGGACCGGCTATATTGTCTACCAGAGTAATACCACAAAGCTGTAGCAATCAGATGATCACCCTTGAGGAATAGATAGTTTTTCCCATCTTCTTCTTATGAAAGATAAGCTGCCCTATGGCAGCACATGCAGGCCATATCTTTACACTTCTTCCCTTTTTTTCAGCTATTGTCTCTATAGGCAACTGTCCTGATATAACCTTTCATATTGAGAGGATGTTAACCCACAAATATACCACAGGGACTGAAAGGATGTTTAACCCATATACATACCATAGGGATTCTCTAACTTTATTGTGAGGAAAAATCCACAAACACACTATATTCTCTAAATGTATTGAGAATAAACCTGCAAACACACCATGGAGATTCTCTGAATCTACTGTGAGAACGTTGAACCCGCAAACTCACAAGAGATTCTCCAAATTTATTGTGAGGGTGTTAGACCCACAAGCACACTATAGGAATTCTCTAAATCTATTGTAAGGACATTAAGCCAACAAACACTAAAACATTCTCTAAATCGAATTTGAAAATGTTAGACCAACAAACGCGTCCAGACTGAAAATACATTAAGAGGATGTTGAACCCACAAACGCTTCATAGGGGTTCTCTAAATCTATTAGACACATCATAGGAATTATCTAACTCTCATCCTCAACAGCACCTCTCTTTACAATCTGTATCATTACTATTTACTCTTACCACCAGTTTGTCCACCATCATACATCTCCTAACACAAAGACATATCTGATAACAGCATTGTCTCCAGGACTAGGTAACAGAGTTACATAGACATCCTAGGGGTTTTCATACATCAATGAAGCGAGACGGTAGACAATTTAGCGAGACAACACTTAAAAATACATCATGAATAGCAAAACTTAAAACTGTGTATTCAATTTTTTTGTTGAAAAGTTAGAACATCACAAATATAGTGTTTATACTATGTCCTTGGATGTTGTGTTGCTCTAAGCGCTAAACGTGACATTATGGTGGAGAAGGCAGAAAGTATATATGTTACGATATCATTTGAGCGAGCAGTGTACTGTGTCACTTCAATATTTTTAGGAAACGCAAATTACAAAGATAAATTATCTTGCGGCCTTTGTTCAATTGTATGTACGGAGAATACAACAACTTGTCAAGTACAAAAAGAGACATTATTTTGTACCTACACAAAGTAGGCAGTGAGTTACTACAGCGAGCAGGCTAAGCACGATTTATAAATGACAACATGAGACAAAACGAGAAAGTCCTGCTCACAAGGAATATCACTATAATCTGTGGACTAATCATTATGACTTAAAATGAACTTGGATACTATTTCCAAGATGATGATACTGGTGTTTTGTGTGGCGCTTCTGAGTCTATTTAGTACAAGTGAAACAAACTCTGAAGTTTACTCATCAACACGAGAAGTGCTGCGCGTGGCCAAACAAGAGATGGCAATGATTGGTATATTGGAGGAATTTGTGACGTCAGAAAAGAAGATTGGACGTGACGTCAAACATGACATTATGATGTAAGTACATTAAGGAATATTTACATCTTTGACAGATATTTTGGTAAGTTTATGAGAGTGATCTCGTTGATGGATCTGAAATGATGGAATGTGAAATGTAAGTGTGGCTTCGTGATGGAGGTTAAATTGAGATCTGGAGGAAAATGGTAGTTTATATAGTATATATTGTGTTCAGTACATCTCAAGATGTCATAATACGTTCAGAATTTTAGCATCGTATCACTATGAATATTGTTTTTCCTTCCGTCTACTTTCAGAAGAAAACGAAACCCTGAAAAATTACATTTGGTCCATATTGTGACTGAAGGAGACCAACCATTACCATAATTTCACTGCTGACACTGTCAAACCATACCAGTGTTTAATTGTTCTGGAGCTTGGGGAGGATACCACATCCTCTAAGGCTACATTCTAGCTAACGAAAGCTGCTTAGAAACTCCTTGAACTGTAGTAAAATTGATGAAATCAAAATAATAATCTAAATTCCAGTTCCAGCATAATAATGTAAAAAAACGGAAACACAAATAAAATTTAGCAATGAATAACTG